AACCACCTTACAGGCCGTGATAAGCCGCACGAACTTGCTCCGTTGAGAAGATAGGCGGTTTATTAATGATACACGGCCTTTTCCCTTTGCTGCGGTCTTGCAGAGTACAGAAACGGCGTCGAGACAGGTGCCGCTTTGGCTGGGGCCGGTCTCCCTAAGGGCAACCGCTGTACCCATTGCCGTACGGATGCTTGTGAACCGTGTAGTATGATGGCGCACACGAGGCCATCTTCTGCTCTGGCCGGACTCGGTGCATGGATGTCCCGGGGCACTATGCGCGTTCACCAGCTCGAACCAAACAGAGCACGTAGTCACAATATCAGGCAGATCAAATCGTTCTGGCTCAAAGACAATTCGGTCAAGGAAGGTGCTTCAGGACTCTGGGACTTTGGACTGTGACCCACGACGTAGAAGTCGAAACGAACTTGGCCAGCCAGCCACCAAGCTACCAGTCTATTCCCACTTGACCAGCACGTAATTGATCGGCAAGAGTAACATACGGACACATGTGAACAAAATGTCTTGGATCATGTACCTCTATCGTCGCTAAATGATTGTCTCAATCATTGGAGACCGCTCACCGTGTTCCCGCCTGAGATCGGGGCCCCGCGCAGCTCTGGTGAACACGAGCGTATATCAAGCTCCGAACTACCGCGGGGTTAACGATACAATAGTACAGGTACAGCAGCGCCAACCCCACTTTGCACCTTTGCGGCGCGCCCTTCAAACGTCACGCCCACTGCACCCAAATTGTCTCTATGAAGTTGACCGGAACAGATAAATCCAGCTCATGACGGGCCTTTATTTCATCCCATCAAGCAAGCTCTGAACCTTGTTGTCATTCTTGAAGAGACAAGCCGAAAACCATTGTCACATCGACCGCCAGACACACCGTCGCCATGTCGCAGCCCGTTATCCTCTTCGACTTGCCAAGTCGTGATCCGTGCAAGTGCTGGTCTCTGAACCCCTGGAAGAGTGAGCATTCAGCTGCTCCCGAGTCCTGAGCGACGGCCCCCGCTGATTCACAGATAGCTCGGCTTCTCCTCAACTTCAAGGGCATTGACTACAAGACGGAATGGGTATGCTCATTCTGGTCTCGTAACTATACCGCTTGTGCTGACTGCTTGCAGACCGAGTATCCCGATATCCGGGTCAAATTTCAAGACAAGTAAGTCCTCTTCTCACTCAATGCAGCCCCTGATGTGCACTCGAGTTCTCATGTTGTCCTACCTTGACTAGATTTCCTATTCCCGAAGGGGCGGCGACTTACACCATCCCTACTGTAAAGCTCCCTGATGGCAAATATATCACGGATTCGATAAAGATCGCCGAGTACATCGAGGAGCACTATCCGTCTCCGAGCATCCATCTCGATTCGCCCTACGTTCCAAAGATTCAGAAGCTCATCGCTACACTCATGGAGCTTGGCACCGGGCTGCGCGGTGTCTTCCTCGCCTTGGTTCCAGAACGTCTCCTCAACCCCGAAAGCGTCGACTACTGGATGGAGACCCGCTCCAAAATGCTGCAGAGACCGCTCAGCGAACTCACAGCGGATGAGCGAGGGGGGAAGGCCTGGGATCATGCGGCCAAGTCGCTGCACGAAGTCACTCGGCTTCTGAAGGAGAACGACGGCCCCTTCTTCGCGGGGAAGACCGTCACCTATGCCGATTTCTACTGGGCCGGTTTTCTCCTCTTCTTCCAGAGGTTTGGAACCGAGGTGTTCGAGAAGCTGATCAGCTGCACTGGTGACGGGGAAGGAGCGGACAACGTGCACTTGAAGCTGCTTGAGGCCGTCAAGCCATGGTCTGAGAGGGATGATCACTGATCCGGTTTGCAATTCCTTGTGGTGGCCCAAGGCGTCAGATGAGTTCAAGCAACCACTTATACCGAGAATGAATGCAAAAATAAACAGTTCCACACGAACAAGACACGTTGGTTGTCAAAGACCAGGTTTGGTGAATGTTGACGATCCACCCAAACGACCCCCGAGATTACCTAGGTGCGATTGGCGGCTAGAGCACCGGCATCCTCCCGGCCCCCGGCAATGGACCGACCGTCCTTCTCCACACTCGGATTTCTAATCCGGAGGCCTACGCCATACTTCCCGCTAATCGCGCCATAGCCCAGGCTTATAAGTCGTGCCGAGCAGCCCGGAGGTCAACTCTGATAATGAAGCACCAACTGCGATACATACGCACGTACCTTACTAGACTCTAGATATCATGACTGAGAAGAAACAGCTGCACCTCGGGGCGTTTATGCGGCCCGTCAGTCTGCATACTGGCGCATGGCGGTACCCGGGGTCCTACCCGGACGCCAACTTCAACTTTGCCCATCTGGTGTCCTTTGCGCAGAAGCTCGAGGCGGCCAAGTTCGATGCCTTCTTCATGGCCGACCACCTGGCCGTGCTGAACATGCCTGTTGAGGCCCTCAAGCGCAGCCACACCGTGACCTCGTTCGAGCCTTTCACTCTGCTCTCGGCGCTGGCCGGCTTGACGTCGCGGATCGGCCTGGTCGCGACGGCCAGCACCACATTTGACCAGCCTTACCACATTGCTCGCCGCTTCGCCAGCCTGGATCACATCTCCGGGGGCCGCGCCGGGTGGAACATCGTCACGACTGCCAACCCGGACGCCGCGCCCAACTTTGGCCTGGACGAGCACGTCGAGCACGGCGAGCGCTACGCGCGTGCCCGCGAGTTCTACGACGTTGTCACGGGCCTGTGGGACAGCTTTGCCGACGACGCCTTCGTGCGCGACGTCGAGACCGGGACCTACTTCAACCCGGAGCGCATGCACCGGCTGGACCACAGCGGGCCCGAGCTGAAGGTCCGCGGGCCCCTGAATATCGCCCGCCCCCCGCAGGGGTGGCCGGTCATTGTGCAGGCCGGGCAGTCGGAGCCCGGCCGGCAGCTGGCCGCCGAGACGGCCGAGGTCGTGTTCTGCGCGCCGCGCGACCTGGAGGCCGGCAAGGCCTTCTTCAAGGACATCAAGGCGCGCGTGGTGGCCGCGGGCCGCAGCGCCGACAGCATCAAGCTGCTGCCGGCGGCCTTCATCGTCATCGGCGACACGGCCGCGGAGGCGCAGGCGAAGCGGCTGCGGCTCGACAGCCTCGTGAGCTACGAGAGCTCGATCGCGTCCTTGTCCATCTCGCTGGGCACCGACGCGTCCAAATTCGACCCGGACGGCCCCCTGCCGGCCGACATCCCTGAGACCAACGCCAGCAAGTCCGGCCGGGAGGGCGTGCTGAAGCTGGCGGCCACCGAGGGGCTGACGGTGCGCCAGCTGGCACAGCGCTACGGGGGGTATTCGGGTTTGGCCTTCGTGGGCACTGCTGAGAGTGTGGCCGACGAGATGGAGAAGTGGATTGAGGAGGAGGGATCGGATGGGTTCAACGTCGTGTTCCCCTATCTGCCGCAGGGGCTGGACGACGTTGCTGAGCGCTTGGTCCCCGAGTTGCAACGGAGAGGCGTCTTCAGGAAGGATTACGAAGGAACAACCCTTCGGGAGCACCTGGGACTCGAGAGGCCTCAGAACAAGTTTTTCCCCAGCGACGCGAAGTAGGCACGGCATTGATTTGATGAAGTGACCTGCAGTGAAAGATCCTTTTAGAGCGACAGCGGTTTGTTTTCTAAGTTATGTACATAATGATGGTTCACGATGGTGTATGCTCTCGTCAAGCATGCTAAGACTATGCAGCTTCCTAAATGATACGTATGATGACCAGTACCTGGGTTGTGTAGAACACGGACTCAATTTGAAGCAGGTTTCGATGATGCCACTGCATGCATGAGGGGCAATGCATTTGTGAGCATCCACCACGCATTGTGATAGAATTGGGGGTGCATGGGAGCACAAAATGAGGATTTGGGTCCTTCATCGGGACTACAACTTGGTCGACGTGAGACGTCATGAATTGTTTCCATCTCTATACGTATTGAGATACCTGTCAAAACCCCTAATGGCAGCTCCAATTTCAACGCTTGGCGCCGTACCAGCGGTAACCCAGCTATTGGGTCTTTGCATCAAGGTGGGAAAGGCTGTAAAGAATTCCGTGTGTCAATCTGCGGTGCACCAGAGGACGAGAAACTTGTTATTGTGGCAGACAAAATTCGGCAAAAGAATCGCTACAATTACAGTCCCGTTATCGCACATCGTATACTGTCACAGTCATGAAGCTATTTCTGCTATTGTCACTCACTTTACTGATCTAAGAGCTTCAGCCCAGCCCCTGGTCGCTGTGCAGTCACAGGCAGTAGAGCCACTCCAGGTGTTATATTTGGACTTGAATTTGTACACAAGTACCCACAAACGTGGATCAGCAACTGTGCCTTACGTCAATAGAGTGAACCGAACATACCACACCGAGCAGAGCGGTCTTGAAGTAACGGAGAGTTCTGCAGATGTTATTAGTTGTATCAGACAATTCCCTGCCTCCTTATGCCAACGCCTTGGAGAGCAAATTAACTTACACAGGTAAGGGACAATGTCGAAGGACTACAAAATCAAAAATTGCAACACTCGTATAGCTCCGAAATTCTCCGCCATTGAACAGGGCCATTGGATTGGCCGGCATCGGCGGGAAGATATCAGGAGAGCCATAACCCTGAACGGTATAAAAATATTGTCATCCCGTCGCCGCAGGGCCGGAAGAGGCTCGGTAGATGGCGACTTGTCGTTATATTGTGCACACCATGTAGAAAGCCGGTTACAGATCTGAAATAGATGACGGGGGCGGCATCTAGTACGAGGATGAGAATTGGGGCCCATATGTCGACGTACTTGAACAAAAAGAACCCCATTGGGACGATGCTGCTATCCAAAGCCGCAAGGTTTGTCAACAACCAAACATATGTCACCTGGGTGAGCTCTACGACGAAGTACTTAGGATAAGGAGAGATCTAAGATAAGCTGGCAGCCTAACATGGGAGGAAGAAATGTATGAGGAACAGTGGCGGACCACTAATCGTGGGAAATCACCACATAGAATTGTATCTTATTCTCCAGATATCGTCAAGAATCGTTGAAGTACTTCCAAAACAGAGTTCTGAACAGCTATAGATATCAAGGATACTTTGGAAATGTACAGTGAGGTTAGGCATAATAAATGGAATATGCTATAATTTTGAATTCTCTACTCTAAAACATTAGGGCCGAACTGGTAAGAGGATAGCTTAAAACAATAAAACCAATTTATTTAGTTGGTATATAAATAAATAAATAAATAAATTAGTGCGGGAAGGGAATGTAAGTTTACTCAGGTCTCCGAGCCGATATGAACCGGGCGGGAACATATATCTTCCCAGTCCCGAGCTCCTTCCCGACTTGCTCAACGAGATCAGTGATTTGTTGCTCGTCCATGCCCAACTGAGCCAGTATTTCCTCCGACATCTGCCTCTTTCCAAGCTGCAGATACTCCAAGAACATATTGCCAATTTCCTTGAGCTTCTCATCCTCTACCCAGGCCCCTATCGGCCACTTATAATCCTGCACCTGCACTTTCTCAAACCCAGCTTCCAACAGAGCATCGGGCAGTTGGCCAGCAATGGTATGGTCAAATCCAAGCTTTGACACGGCCTCCAACCGAAGATGGCTCCACTGAATGACCGTTGAACTACTCTCAGGGGCGACGGGGGGTTCGTCCGTTCGAAAGGGCAGCCACAGCTCTTGCATCTCAATGTGCCCCCCCGGCTTCAGGTGTTCAATACATCGGCGGAGGACGGCACGCGCCTCGGTGGCGTGCATGGGAACCATGCGCGAGTGGATGAGGTCGAATTTGGCGTCACTTCCAATGTCCCAGTCTTGCTCCAGATCCCTCTTCACAAACTGGCAATTGCTCGGCGCTTCAACAGTTGGCTGTTCGAATATATCTAGGGCGATGACTTGGGCGTCTGGGTGTTGCTTGGCGAAGTCGGCGGCCCAACCTCCCGAGCCTGCTCCAACATCAAGGACTCGGGTAACTGCATTTGTCAGTGGGCCGCTCAATAGACGGCCATCCAGCGTTTTGCGCCAAAGCTGATGCTGGAGGATCAGGCGGTGGTCCAGTCCACCATCAGGCAAAGGCAGAGCATACGAGCGGCAGCTCATGACTAGTCCACGGACAACCCAGAGGTGGTCTCTTGGCTGCGGTAACTTTTGTCTTATTTGAAGAGTGCAGAATACTTGTTGCTGGGGTTGTTAGGCTTATGTGCGGGGGCGGCGCGGCAGTCAGTATTCGCCATGTCATTCCCGGAGCTGTAAGAACGTATCTCGGTACGTGCCACTGACTGGAATGATAACGTTCACTTCCGATCCTCTCAGCTCAGTTCGGACAAGCTGAGCGAGCTCGGAGGGAGACGTTCAGAAGGAGCGTCCCTTGAATCTTCAGCAATCTTACTCCGTAGACGTTGTATACTCGACGACGCATGTACCCTGTCGATTGCCGCATTCGGCAAGTGTTAGCGCGCTGTGGCTCAGGCAGCGGGTGGTGGGTGTGAATGCAAGGCTGACAAATTGAGGCTTGGTTGCATTGGTTGCTCGGCGTGGTGCTGGCGAGCCAGCGGGTCACGTGCTGGCGGAGAGCAACGTAACTCAAGGCACCTAGGCTGCTAGGGTACGTACTCATGCTCTGTGGCAGCAGGGCCCGAGCTCCCCGGCGACCCAACAGCCCAGCGGATCGGCTAGCGGTGCTGGAGCTTTCTACAGGCACTGGCCAGGGCAGCAATTGGCAAGGCTCAAGGCAGCTCCGGGGCGGCGTCAACACTGGACCTGGGACTGGAGCTGCGAGCGCCCGAGCATCACCACCATCACCACCATCACCACCAACCTCCATCCACGACCTTTGCCAGCCCGCAACACCACCATTCTTGCCTCCGCCCACAACACCGCGGAGCCCATACGACAGTCATACCTGTTCACCCCTCACAAATCACAAAAGTTCGCGCATTTAATTCGCCATGGATCGGTTGAACAGAATGCTGGCGGGCGCCGGCGGCATGGGTGGTCTTGGCGCTGCTCCAGGCTCCGTGAGTATCTGCCATCTCTCTCCGGCCATGGCTGCTACTGGTGGTGGACCGGACGCGGGCGATACCATGTACTAATCGCACCCGCGCGCAGGACAACTCGAATCTCATCGACAACTCCGAGACCGTCTACATCTCCTCGCTCGCCCTGTTAAAGATGTTGCGCCACGGCCGCGCAGGTGTTCCCATGGAGGTCATGGGTCTGATGCTGGGAGAGTTCGTTGACGACTTCACCGTCCGCGTGGTAGACGTCTTCGCCATGCCCCAGAGCGGTACAGGTGTCAGTGTCGAGGCTGTCGACCCCGTATTCCAGCAGAAGATGATGGACATGTTAACACAAACGGGACGGTAAGCATTTGCGACCCAAACCCACAGACCCCATCATCTCTAGAACCATTTCTCTTTGGCTGACTTCTTTTTTCGCCTCTTCGCAGGCCCGAGTCCGTCGTCGGCTGGTACCACTCGCATCCCGGTTTCGGCTGCTGGCTTTCGTCGGTCGATATCAACACCCAGCAGTCCTTCGAGCAGCTGACCCCCCGCGCCGTCGCCGTTGTCGTCGACCCCATCCAGTCCGTCAAGGGCAAGGTCGTCATTGACGCCTTCCGTCTCATCAACCCCCAGTCTCTGATGCTCGGCCAGGAGCCGCGACAGAGCACCTCCAACTTGGGCCACCTCAACAAGCCCTCCATCCAGGCCTTGATCCACGGCCTGAACCGACACTACTACTCGATCGGCATCAACTACCGAAAGACGGCCCTGGAGGAGAACATGCTGATGAACCTGCACAAGCACGTCTGGACCGAGGCCCTGCAGATGGAGGACTTCAGACACGAGGGCGAGCACAACAAGGAGCGCTTCCAGCAACTGGTCACCCTGGCCGATGGCTACGAGAAGAGGGTGAGGGAGGAGACTGAGCTGACTAAGGACCAGCTCAAGACCCGCTATGTTGGCAAGCTCGACCCCAAGAAGCATCTGGAGGATGTCGGCCAGCAGCTCATCGAGGACAACATCGTCTCGGTGTCGAGGCAAATGATCGACAAGGAGGCCACCATGCCCAAGAAGGACGGCGCCGCGAACGGTCAAGCAAACGGCGACCACATGGATGTGGAGGAGTAGGGACGACGCATATTCGACATGGGCATGACTTGCATTTGATGACGCGGTTTGTCTTGGGCTGTGTATCATAGGCGTTGGAAGGGTCCCTGGCCTGGTATAGAGGCTCTGGCAATGAATCGGTGTACTTCTTCACCCCGCGCGCTGGGCCTCTTTGTGACGATTGATCTATCCTCAGAGTGTGTTCTAGAATGTTGAGTCGGGCGCCACCTGCTACTGAGGTTCCAAGTTCCTCTTTGTGTGTCTACTGACAGCTGCTACTAGAGCCCGTCTGTCGTTGCCACTGTTCACCCGCAGCACAAGGCTCTCGGTATGCCCACCCTTTGGCTCAGATACATACCCGCTTTGTTAGTCTTGTGAACATGGCTCTTGACAAGCCGAATCAACAAGGCCATTGTAGGTCTTTCATGGCATACAGTGGTATATATACCTGGGTACACAACCCTGGTCAATACCCGCATCGTGTTTATACTCATCTTCTTTGCTTTTCTTATAGAACCACTCGTTCCTATCATTATAATTCTTCGGAGCAGGACTCTATTCGGGTTGTTACTTGGAGAACGAGTTCGGCCTCGGTACATCGACTATCCGTTTAGTTCAACATGTTTCGAATCACGGAATGTCTGTCTCAATGTTTTGGCGCAACGTCGAAGCCTGCTGTCTCGGAAACACCAAATGACGTCAAATATGTTAACAAGCTTCGCAAGAATCTTGGTAAGCCTGAGCCGCAGCGTCTACAGCCGATCGAGCTGGTCGCTACCCCTGCCGATGCCTTTTCGTCCTCCTCCACTCGTGCGCCGCCCACCACCCGCTTCCCGGTGAAGCCTGCCGTTGCCCCAAAGCCCGAGTCGGGCAACATACTAACACGTGATACCCTTGCTGAGGTGTTGAACGAGATTGACAAGATTGTTCCTTGCCGCTACGCTATCAGCGGGCTTACTGCTCTGATAGACCACGGCTTTACGGGGCGTGGAGCGAAATCGGTTTCAATACTGGTCCCGGCACACTCGAAGGATATAGTACGTCCTTGGGCCCAAACGAACGGCGGAAAGCTGTCTGCCGTGTCACCGGACCGCTTCGAGGTCCGTCTGCCATCGGACGGCTCGTACCGGCCCGTTCGCATCCGGTATCTCAATAAGGGCTTCGATGAGCTGCAGATTGTGCAGAGCAATATGAGCGCCGCCAAGGTGCTCAGCCTTACGAGCCAGCTGGAGCTCATGGCCACGGCCTTCGTCAAGGAGTGCAAGCAGGGCAAAGCGCCGCAGCCGAAGACCGAGGCCGAGGAGGCCCGGGTCCGCACCATCGTCGAGGACATCTACTGGGCTCTGGGATGGGGCATCGAGCAGTCCCGGCCCCTCGACCCGCGGTATCTCAAGATTTTTCTCTCCAGCCTCTTCTGGGAGCCCCTGATCCACTACGTGGGCGAGCCCGCCAGGGAAGCCATGCTGCTCGCCGTGCGGGCCGGTGTCGACCTGGGCCACTACCTGGCGCGCGAGGCCGAGGACAAGCGGCGCAACGCCGACGTCCGCGACCACGACGACTTCCTGCGGCAGTACAACGTCCCGGGTCTGGGCGTTGTCGCGACCCAGCCCGGCCCCTTCGAGGACATGCGCGGGCTGGGCCGCCGGGACTTGCAGAGCATCTATACCGTCCAAAGCAAAGACTCGCGGAGCGAGCTCGGAGCGGCGTCCACTGGCTCGTCCGTGGTCGGCTCGAGCCGCAGGCCCCCGCCCGGTCCCAGCAAGCTGCACATCCAAGAGCGCGTCAGCCTGGACGAGGGCCTACGGCGGTCCAGGACCATGGCTGGGCGCGGCAGCAGGAGCAGCAATAGTGTTCGGCCGCTCCCAAACCAGAATAAGTCTAGGACCAGTATTGATCTGGTGAATGGCACGGGTACGCCGTCGGACTGGCTCTGAGCGGAACGTGGTTTGTAGGCAGGTAAACATGTGACGACATGGTTGGTCTGTTGTCTCTTTGCTGTCTTCTCAATACTAAAATTCCCTTCCCATTCTGTCGATGATCAACCAACTTTCTTTGTCGTGTTCCATTTCGTCACTTTCTATTATGGAAACTCCGCACATGGCAGGGGGTCCATGTTACACACCAGTGTCTTACCCACGTGACCCTACTCTTTTCGTTTTGATCGTCCTCAACATGTAAGACTTTGGTCACGTAACCTTGCCAACTATCTGCCCCGAAGATCTACTTCGGGATGCGTCTTGGAGTACGGTCGTTGCATAGTTTCGTGCCCTGACTGTGCCAACTCTCTGGAGTTGGGCCACGGGGGTGCTGGCTTGCTCGATCCCGATGCAAAAGATTTCAAATCATTCTCGTTTTGAGAACAATGAAAGATGGGACGCCCATAAGGACATCATTGAACACCTCTATTGCACCCTCGACAAGCCTCTTGGTGAAGTTACACAGGTCTTGCGTGAGCAATATGACTTCCATGCTACGTAGGTGTGTCCTGTCCAAGTAATTAAGATTAGAACTAACTTTGGTGATAGCCAGCGGATGTACAAAGCTCGGTTGAAGAAATGGGGATTCCGAAAATATCTCTCGAAAGAGGAGTTCCTAGAAGCTCAGCGCCAGACCCACTCGGGAACGGCGGTATTGCCCGTTGCCCAAGGACGCCAACTCGGTTCAAGACGCCTGAAAGCCGCCATAGAGCTGGCCAACAGACGACGCAGGATTGGGACTTGTGCTAAGCGACTCACAGCCCCCGATTCCATTCGCCTTCCAGAAGGCGCCCTCTATGAGATGCAGAGATACCTGCTTGTTTCGTTTGAACAGCAGCGGTGGGATCATTCAAAATTTGACTTTTTCCAGAACGCAACATGCGAATGGGCCCACGACATCCGGGAGGCAGGGCTGCAGATCAGCAAAAGGGACAACCGCGCGCTTGGTTTCCAGCTGATCGACCAGTGCTGTGCTCGTTTTCAGTCGGTCTTGCGGCAGCAGGAATCGTTGTTAATTTGGGCTATACACCTGGGAATCATTGCGCTTGCAGAGGCTATGAACGATCAAGCGGCGCTGACCCTCGTGAGGTTCATGGTGGGCATGTGCTCTATCGAGCTGGGGAGCAACCACCCTCTGACCATCCTCTGCGCTCGGTTCCAGATGATGGGGATTGACCAAGTAAAAGCTTCCTTCACTTCGATGGTTAGAGCACACCTGGAAGTATTTCGAAAGCAGCTCGGCTCAACCAATGTGTACATTGCGTTGGCGAGGTTGGTAGTGGCACAGTGGCTCTACAGCACAGGGTTGATGTCGTTCGATGCCAGCCTGCGGGAGGTGCGGCGTGTCTTTCTGGACCTCAAGGGCAGCCCGGGAGGTGATGGCGATTCTGCCTTTGGGCTAACCTGGGTCGGATCACTTCTAGCGGGGTGGTTGATGGCTAGCAGGCAGTATGCAGACGCCAGGGCCGCTTTGCAGGACATGAAACAATGGCACCGAGAGCGCGGCCTGACTTATGACGAGAAAGAACTCCCTTGTTTCCAAGCAATCAGGGCCGCAATAAAAGACAACTTGGTCGAACACAATATGAAGGGGTCATCCCCTAGCAGCATTTCCGGCTTGCCGACGGATCACCAGCTGACCGAAATCACCATATCGCAAAAGTCCAAACTATCTTCTCCCACCGCTATGATGGTTAAGTCCGAAGCAGCGGACTGTTATGAGACACTTCAGCCTGATGAGTTGGAGCTCCTATTTCACGGAGACGACAATAGCAAAATGGGTGATCCCCATCTGTGGGACATCGCGCGTGAGTACTACTGGGTGAGGTCCTTATTGTTGAAAGGACCCCTTGGCTGCTTCTCACGCACGCTGAGGGCCCACACAATCTCGCTCTTGGAAACAGGAGAGAAGAAAACGAAGGAACCGCTTTTGGTGAGGACTCCACCCCAGTTGAGGTCAACAGGGGGAGGGAGAGGCCCGTCGAATCGCGCGAGCCCACCCATCTGAACTGCACCAGCGTACTGCAGCTTATCGTCCGGACGAAGAGCAGCACGAATCTTGCTGGAGGAGCCGTCAGCTGCGATGAGGAGGTCGCATTCTTCGTCATGGGTCTCGCCCGTGACCGAGTCGACTATCTGGACTCGCACGCGGTTGTCTTCCAGCCGAGTGGCAGAGACACAGGATTCGCCCCATTCGATCTGGGTGACCTCGGACACTGTGTCAACCAAAATCCGCCGGAGATTCTTCCTGGCTATGCGGATTGTCGAAGTTGGCAGACCCTTGACGGGCTTCTGGCGGATGCTGATGAGTTCCTTCCAGTCCTCGGTCCATACTTTGAAGCACCCCGTACCCTCCATGCCAATGATGGCGTGGGCGAGGGTTCGGTCCAGCAGTCCCAGCTGCATAAGAGTATATAAACCACCGTCCTTGTCGATGCCGTTTATGGACAGCGAGTAGCCTTCCCGGCCCACACTTACTTCCTCGGTATCACGCTCGTAGATGCTAACCCGAGGCGGTGGAAGACGACTGTCCCAGTGCTTGTGTAAGGCGGCAACAAAGCTCAGCCCGGCCATGCCGGCGCCGGCGATGATGATGGACTTGCCAGAGAGGAAGTGAGAACTAGACGGCTCCATCGTGTGCGATGTCATCTGCTGAGCTCTACGGCAACGATTCTCGAGAGTTCATGTTGCTCATATACCTATGGCAAAGCTGGAGCTGCGCCATCCCAAGACTACGTTGACCCGTCTTACAGTATTAGCGCGAGGCCGGCCGTTCTACAGTGCCACACGCCGGGAGCCCTCAAGGCAACCATTTCGGGCAAGCTTAGTTACCTACATACCCGACTCGGCGCCGAAAGCTTGAGTTGACGTCCGCTTGGGGCTTGTCTTGTCACTGAGCTTGGAAAAGTGCCAGTAGGATATTACCATATGCAATCCTTCAACCCCAAGGGTTTGCGTTTGCCTTACGCGTCGAGGCTTATAATTAGGCTGCTGTTTTGACGCAAATCCAATCGCTTACAGGCCTGGAGTCAACTTCCCATCTGTAAATGGTCTTCGCAGGTTAGAGGATTGCGTGTTGGGAGGCGATCTGACGAAGCTATACGACCATGCTCGTGCTCATGGCAACCCCCCAGTTCAGTCGAAGTTGATGGTCACTCACGCAGGTGGACTTGTGGCATAGTAGGTGGTCTCGTCCTCCTGGCACGATTCAGCTCAACTCCATGGCTCTCCATCCATATTGCCGTCCATGCCAAGGGAAAAAGCAGGGTGCTTCCAATGGACTTTCGATGCTTGTATGATATGGTTGCCAATCCCGCCAATTACGGGAAGGGGCCACTGAGAGAGAGGAGAAAATGGCAACGCGCCTGTGGAGTCTCGTTGCATCTAATCAATTGCCGGAGCGGACACTGGACGGGACCCCAGAGTCTGGGTGGGGGGTGGTTTAGGTGGTGGTGCCACCTAGCGCTGTCGCTTCGTTATCAATTTGCAGGGGAACGCGCCTGACTGGACCCTCGACGCGGCGCGCTTCAGCTCTCCCAAGTCGCGTTGCACTTAATAATTTCCAGTCCGAGATATACCACAGCTCTACAGCTTTCCACCCGCGACATTTGCCTCATGTTTGTTCAATAGATACTCCTGCAATCTGCCTATATTGTCCCGTGGCAACTGATTTTCCGACTTTATCTGTGTTTGAGGAGCTTCTGCGTCGGGTTCTTTCAAGATGGGGGAGAAAGCTGCCCCCAAGACGCCGTCTCTGACCAAGAAGTCGAGCTCGTCCATGTCGACCTCGGGAAAGCAGCAGAGCATTCTGGGCTTCTTCTCCAAATCTGCCCAGAATGGAAGTGCTGCGGCGGCATCCGCTGCCAAAGCCTCCGCCAAACCCACCAAGACCGACTCGTCGCCCTGCCTCAAGGAGACCAAATCCAACTCGCTGCAGCTCAATAAGAGACAGCGGCCAGCCAACGTCACCCCCGTGCCGAGCAGCGACGCTATTGAGCCTTCGAGCTCCCAGGAGAACCACTCCGAGGCCACAGTTAAAGTATTCAAGAAGTCGCTTCCCTCGCCCGTCACGCCCGCTGAGCTTCCAATCAAGCAGGTCGCTCCGGCCAAGATGGCTCTGGGAAGTAGTCCGTCTCGCAAGGTATGTGCCCCTTTTTCAGAAATAATCTTCAAGCTCAAGGCTGATACGAGCGCCCCCCCATTTCCAGGTGAAGAAGACTGTTAGCTACGCCGAATCTTCCGACGACGACGAGGACGTGGTTGTCTCTAGGAAGCCGGTTCGGTCTCAGCGGAACCGCGCGCGAGCTGTCGTGCAGGACGACGAGGACGACTACGAGGAGGACGGCCAAGACGCTGCAGCGGATGATGACGAGGGTATGTTTGAGCTTCTGGTTCGGTTTTAAAAGCTCGGTCTAACTTGCTACAGTCGACATGGATGATTTCGTGGTTTCTGACGACTCAGATGCGCCATCCAAGAAACGGAAGCGTCCTGCTCCCAAGGCCCAAACGGCCCGAAAACGGTCACACACTTCCCCTCCAAAGATACAAGAAGACTACGAAGACGACGGCATCGACGAGATCATGGAAGAAATGCCAGCTACATCCACAGCTCAGCAATGGAAGTACGATCCCAACAGCGTCAATCCTGTAAAGATCCGGACACCCAGCCCAGGTGCATCCAAGTCCGCCTCTGCGAAACAGAAGGCCCACACCAGAGAGCCCGAGGAACGATACACATGGCTCGCCAAGATGACCGACCTCAACCGCAACCCGCCGGGCCACCCTGACTATGACCCTTCTACGGTCTTCGTCCCGCCCATGGCCTGGAACAAGTTCTCGGCATTCGAGAAGCAGTACTGGGAGATCAAGCACAAGCTCTGGGACACCGTTGTCTTCTTCAAGAAGGGCAAGTTCTACGAGCTCTACGAGAATGATGCCACTATTGGCCACCAGCTCTTTGATCTGAAGTTGACAGACCGTGTCAACATGCGCATGGTCGGCGTCCCCGAGAGCTCACTGGATATCTGGGTCAACCAGTTCATTGCCAAGGGCTACAAGGTTGCCCGGGTAGATCAAATGGAGAGTGCTCTAGGCAAGGAGATGCGCGAGAGAGATGGTCAAGCAAAGAAACAAGACAAGATCATCCGTCGGGAACTGGCTTGCATTCTCACGGGCGGCACCCTGGTCGACGGAGCCATGCTTCAAGACGACAACGCAACATACTGCGTGGCCATCAAGGAGTCGACGGTGGACGACCATCCCGCGTTCGGTGTCGCATTCGTGGATGCCGCTACCGGCCAGTTCTTCATCTCCGAATTTGACGATGACGTTGATTTGACCAAGTTTGAGACTCTGGTGGCCCAAATCAACCCTCGCGAGTTGCTACTTGAGAAGTCCCGTCTTTCGACCAAAGCTCTCCGGATCCTCAAGAACAACACTGCCCCCACCACCATCTGGAACTACTTCAAGTCGGGAGCTGAGTTCTGGGAGGCTGATCTCACCAGACGCGAGCTAGGCTGCAACGATTACTTCAAAGTTGATGAGGACTCCGAAGACACTTGGCCAGAGGTTCTGGCCAAGGCCAAGGATAAGGACCTTTTGATGTCAGCCCTAGGCGCGCTGGTACAATATCTTCGTGTGCTCAAGATCGAGCGAAGTCTCCTCTCTCAGGGCAACTTTACCTGGTACAACCCCATCCACAAGAACGGCACCCTCATCTTGGACGGCCAGACCCTGATCAACCTCGAGATCTTTGCCAACTCGGCGAACGGCAGCTCCGATGGCACGCTGTTCAGCCTGCTCAATCGTTGTATCACCCCATTTGGCAAGAGACTGTTCCGTCAATGGGTCTGCCACCCCTTGTGCAATATCCAAAAGATCAATGAGAGACTGGACGCCGTCGACCTCCTGAACAACAATGTTGAGATGCGGGAGCAGTTCTCTTCACAAATGACTAGAATGCCAGATCTGGAACGTCTCATCTCCCGAGTCCACGCCGGGGCTTGCAGACCAGAGGACTTTGTCAAGGTTCTGGAAGGATTCGAACAGATCGAGTATACCATGAGTCTCCTTAACGCGTTCGACGGAGGCAGCGGGCTAGTCGACCGTCTCATTTCTTCCATGCCTGACCTCAACGAACCCCTGGCATATTGGAAGACAGCGTTTGATCGCAAGAAGGCTCGCGAGGAGAAGATCCTCATCCCCGGACGCGGAATCGAGGAGGACTTTGATGAGAGCCACGATGCAATCGCGGAGATCAAGGCCGAGCTAGACCGCCTTCTGGCGAGGAAAAAGAATGAACTCAAGTCGAAGGCTCTCAAGTTTACAGACGTCGGCAAGGAGGTCTACCAGATTGAGGTGCCAAAGGCCACCAAGGTCCCCAAGGACTGGCGGCAGATGTCCGCCACCGCCAGTGTGAAGCGCTATTACTTCAAGGAGCTTACCGATCTGGTTCGCCAGCTGCAAGAGGCCGAAGAAACTCACTCTCAACTGGTCAAAGACGTGGCCTTCCGCCTTTTCAGGCGCTTCGACGTGGACTACGCCAGCTGGCTACAGGCCATACGGGTAGTCTCACAGCTCGACTGCCTCATCAGTCTCGCAAAGTCATCGGCCGCTCTAGGATCACCAAGTTGCCGCCCCGTGTTTGTTGACGAGGAGCGAAGTGTTGTCGAGTTTGAAGAGCTTCGTCACCCGTGCATGATCAACACAGTGGGTGACTTTATTCCCAACGATGTCGTCCTGGGAGGGGATTCGGCCAAGATCAATCTCTTGACCGGTGCGAACGCAGCCGGAAAGTCGACCATACTCCGAATGTCATGTGTGGCCGTCATCATGGCACAAATCGGACACTACATTCCCGCAACGAGGGCCCGGTTGACTCCCGTAGACAGGATCATGAGCCGACTCGGTGCCAACGACAACATCTTTGCTGCGCAGTCCACCTTCTTCGTCGAGCTCTCCGAGACCAAGAAGATCCTGTCGGAGGCTACTCCAAGGTCGTTGGTCATCCTGGACGAATTGGGTCGCGGCACCTCCTCGTACGATGGAGTCGCTGTGGCACAGGCCGTGCTGCATCATGTCGCCACCCACATCGGCTGTGTGGGATTCTTTGCTACTCACTACCACTCACTCGCTACCGAGTTCGAATCCCACCCGGAGATCTGCCCCAAGAGGATGCAGATCGACGTGGACGATGCCAATCGCCGGGTGACTTTCCTCTACAAGTTGGAGGACGGGGTGGCTGAGGGCAGCTTCGGTATGCACTGTGCCGCGATGTGTGGCATCAAGGATAGCGTCATCGAGAGAGCAGAGGAAGCAGCACGTGACTGGGAGCACACGTCGAGGCTGAAGGAGAGCCTGGAACGAGCCCGTGAAGGATGCTGGATTCCGCTTGGGTTGCTGAGTGACGTGGCCGCGGTGCTCGATGACTCGAAGAGCGAGGATCTCAGTGCGAAGAGCCTGGACGTCCTGCTCAAGTCGATCGAGGCCCTTTGAGCGCAAGAGAACCCATTTGGGGTTGCCCCGGAGGATATCAAACGCACGTAATGACTTCCGTCCGTGTTTCTGGCCTGCAGGACAATAGTCTGTGGATTGCTTGTGTTTGCTTGGGACAGGGTTTCGACCCGTTGATTTCTGTCAAGTTTAGAGAATGGTGTGCTGTACTTGTACTAGGCGTTTATTACAAGGCTGGACGGCTGGCGTTCTGGTTGTTTGTGTGTGCGCACTGAAGAAGCTTGCTAAATATACAACGAGGCTAATTGCCAATTTGACTCACATTTCCTCCTATGTCCCTCGCAATATGGTTGTTCGTGGGAACCTGTCTACGAGAGCCAACACAATAGTAGCCAGGTACGAGAGGAGTCATTCATGCGCACAGGCAGACGGTGAAACTTTGCATTTTCGTCGCAGCTTGCTGGGGAAAAAAAAAAAAAAAAAAAAGGCCCTTGACAAAGATTTGTGGCCGTGGCTTGCACATAAAAGGGAGGAAGTGGTGCTGGAAGTCATGTACTGCAGAGTTGAGTAGATATGTCAATACAACCAACCCAAGTGACAACCCAAGTGAGGCTGGGTGAGTTTTGGCGCATAGGGAAGTTCCAGCAGGTAGGTGCACCGCCACAAGCTTGTTTAGCGGGCCGATCCCAATGCAGCCCGCCCAGTAGAAACGAAACGAGGCTGAAGCTTTGCCAATTCCTGAGGTGCAATCGCAACGCAGCCATCATATCCACCAGCAACGCATATCCGCCATCGCATCGCCCTGCAGCTTGTCGCGTGCATTCATCGCGTACGTAGGCGCGCCTGATCCCTTCCCTCCACCAATCTCTTGTTTCGCCGCGCCGACCGCACACAGCCACGATGGGCAAGAAGAAGAGAAAGCAACCCAACGTCGAGGAGCTCCTGTCGCGTCCGTGGTGCTACTACTGCGAGAGAGATTTCGAGGACTTGAAGCTGTTGATCTCACATCAGAAGGCCAAGCACTTCAAATGTGACCGCTGCGGTAGGAGGCTCAACACTGCCGGAGGTACGCGCTTCCCTTTCCCTGCCCGCCGGCTGTTGCTTTGGCTGACATTGGCCCCCCTCCAGGTCTATCCGTGCACATGAACCAGGTCCACAAAGAGTCCCTGTCCCTCGTCGAGAATGCCCTTCCCAACCGCCAAGGCCTCGAGGTCGAGATCTTTGGCATGGAGGGTATTCCCGAGGACGTAGTCCAGCAACACAACCAGCGCCTCATCCAGAACTTCTACCAGGCCCAGGCCGACCGGTACGCCGCGACGGGCAACCCTCCCGCCGGCCAGAATGGCAACGGCCCTGTGAAAAAGATCAAGATCGAGACGGCAGAGGAGATCAAGAAGCGACTAGCCGAGCATCGCGCGAGAGTGAAGAATGGAGGCCTGGCTGCCAATCCCACTCCGCCAATGGGCGTACCCGACGGCCAGAGCCCTGGACAGTCTGTACGTATACTACAAAAGCCCGGTCCGCCATGGTTCAACGATTGGATTGCTAATGTACATGAACAAACAGAACTCTCCCTTCCCACCGCCCGGTGGCCAGTATCCACCCGGCTATCCTGCACAAGGCGTTCCTGGCTTCACTCCGCCGCCGCAATATCCCCAGGGCGGATTCAATTACCCTCCTGGAAACCTTCCGTCGCGGCCAGGTGGCAACCTCCCGGCGCCAACTGGCTTGCCGCCACGTCCTGGCCAGCCTGGATTCCCCAGCACGGTGGATGAGCTCGTCGCAGGCGCGTCGAGGCAAGGGGACGAGATCGAGGAGCTGATCAGGAGGGCCGAGCTCGGAATTCCGCCCCCGAAGAAGCCCGACTCAGCTACACCTACCGCTGGTGAGGCTGCGGCCGGGGAGGAGAAGAAGGGAAAGAAGGACAAGGACAAGAACGTCAAGATGATCTACGACGATGAGCTGAGTCCGGAGGAGAGGATGGCGCTGATGCCGAAATATGCCTACGTGCCGACTGCGGCTTGAGCTTGGGAGGAAAAAGGAAAAGGGAACCACTGTGTAATAGTAGATTTTCATGGCCGATACCTCAACGAGGAATTGGAAAACGTCCACAAGGGTTTTACGAAATCAAGACACGCTTGCAAGCCTAATCAACGAGTTGTAACCTCTGCATGGAGCTGGCCAATCGTGATACTGAGGAATAGACACATCAGTACAAAGCTTCTACTGACATGTCACCATTCATGTCCCTTTGTCCTTTGATCTGGTTGTTGGTGTGTGTTTTCGCACGGCGTTTCAAGACTTCATTCGTGGCTACCAACGATGCTTTCCGTCATCAGACCTCGTAGGTCATGTCTAGTACAAGACATACCTGGCTATCAGACTTGGCCAAAGCCATACGCGCGTTTCCAACCTTTGTCACCGCGGAAACTTCGGTGGAGAGTACGTTGCTCTCATTTGGTGGTTCTAGGCCAACGTATACTGTTAGCGTCTATGAATAGGAACGCGCGGAACGCAGTTTTTCAAACGCTTTTCTGCCCTTGTTCCTTTCCATAGATGCTTTCCAGTGTTCGTAGAGGGCTAATGTTCCCATCCAGTGCTTGTCGGCCACCCGACGCTGCTCATCGCTGCATCTCCCAAGATGGCTGACGGTTCATCCACAGGCGCATCTGGCGGGAGCCAAGCTTATACTCCGTACACGATCAGACTGACCCCAACCAAGGGATACGGCATGTTTGCTACTCAGCAGATTCAGCAAGGCGCCTGCATCCTTGAGGAATCTCCCTTGGTCGTTTTCCTATCAGCAGAAGAGGGCGACCAGACTCCTTGGCACATGGCATTAAGGATTGAGGTAGCCGCCCTGTCTCCTAGCGATAAGGCGAAGTTTTTCAGCCTTCACTGCTGCGTAGATGAGCTCGAGGATGAGTATAAGAAGCACGTTCGACAGGACCTGTTCGAGACGGGAGAGTTCGACCACATGGACAGCCCAGCGCTGGATGCCGAGCTCGAGTTGGTGTCTCGCGAGATCCGAATCCGGAACACCAACTGCACGCAATTTGCATCACGCAGCGAGTCGGGCTGCGGTATCTACTATACATACAGCCGAATCAACCACTCCTGCGTACCGAATGCTTACGGCACCTGCGACGCGGCTAACAACATGTATCTGCGAGCCCTGCGCCCCATCTCTCTCGGCGAGGAGATCACCATTTCCTACCACGAGCAAGACAACCTGCCCCGGGACGAGCGAGCCAAGATGATCGAGAGCTGGCATTTCACGTGTTCATGCCCGGCTTGTGACGGTCCTGAGAGGGATAAGCACGAGATTCTTCGCATGGACATGATGGATATCGAGGGCACCCTCCACGGCTACGATCTCGCCCCTCAGCGGCAAGGGGGGCCCCTGGTGGAGCAAGGTCTTCTTTTCCTCCCCGATGAGAACGCTGCCCTCCTGGCAATAAGGTACATTGGCGTCTTGGCTGCGGCCGGTATTAAGGGACCTAGCAAGACGGAGGCCTACGAGAGGGCATCCAAGTACTGCACGTCTCTCGGAAGCTTCCAAGAAGCAGTGAATCTGGCCGAACTGGCACACCGACACGAGTGCATCGTCCATGGCGAGGATATGGCCGGCTGGACGCAGAAGCTGCTGAAGCGTGCTCGTCGTAGACTCGAGAAGGAGGCCCAGGCCTCAGATCCAGAGGGCGGCCAGGATTCGGTATTGCTTCGTGCTTCGCAGGAGGCCATGCGAGGTTTCTAACGGCTTCAGGTGGAGGTGGATAGCCCGACCGACAGAATGACAACCAATATAGAGGGACAGTCATTGTAAACCGATGAGCCATTAGTATCGTTGGTGCCGCTGGCAAAAAGAAGCTGCATTCGTCCAACTAATAGTATCGACTTGGCAACTGGTAATAGTGAAAACTTGACGTGAAGATTTCTGACATGAAGGTTCCTTGAACCTGGTACACAGCGGTCAGTTTCAACGTACCTGGCGACTGGTTTTACGATTAACTGGCTAGCTTAAGCACCCTACCGAGGCTCTGAGAAGACTTAAGACCACATGGACCAGAAAAACCATCGGGAATCTACGGTTCGCTTCACAGATGAAATTGTAATTTAAAGAGCTAAACGAATGTATTGAAACCTGAGATGAAACGCTCTCAAGGAAATCTAAGGTTGGAGACAGAAGTAAACATATGCACACCGCCTGCCTGGCGGGACCCGTACACGTTGCACGCCCAGGAGCTGATAACAACGCTGCTTCACTGCTCAGAACTCTCAAATCCCGGAACGCCAAGCGTAATGCTATATGTCCCTCATAGCGGCACAGAAAAGACACGAAAACCCTCTAGTCCTCGTTCTTGACCGCCTTTGCCACCGCCTGGGGGCACCCGTCGCACTCAGATGGCGGGTCAGAGATAGTGGTGAGCACCTAGCGCGAGACATGTCAGCGAAACCTCCTCTCGACTATGTTCTCATGTACAACGTCAAAGGAACGGGGGATTTACGCCGGCAATACAAGGCAGCGGACTGATGAGCTCGGATGTGACGCAGGTCACGACGGTGGGACCCAGGGCTGCGGCGCACTGCACAACCAGGCAGTCGTCCACCTTCTTCCCCCATGCGCCGCTCGCCGCCTCCTTGACGTCGTCGCCGATGTCTTCGAGCTGGCTCAGGAGCTGGCCCTTGTTTTCGTCGCTAAAGGCATCCTTGAAGGCGTCGCCGATATCGTCGAAGTCGAAGGCCTCGTCGGGCGCAGGGGCCGGGTACGGGTTCGGCGCTGCGAGGAGCGTTAGCAGGAAAGGGGCCAGGAGGGCAAGGGGGGTAGAGAACTGCATTTTCGGGCTTGTGCTGTCTGTATTGCTGGCCCACAAACCAATTTGTGAAACAGGAAACACTGAAATTGGGATTGAGGCGGCTTGCTTCGTCGGTCTGGAATGATTGCTTGCTTGATGTTGTTGGTATTGTAGGTTGACGTGAAGCTGTCATTTTATATAGAATTCGTTGTGACACAGATGCGCCGAACTACCTGCCTCTTCATCCATTCCGAGAATAGAAATAAGCGACGTATCTTTGTTTACGATGACGAGATATCATGTTGTAAGGATCGATCCAACTGATTGTCCTTGCCAGTCAAACTCTGCTGTAGGGGATTCAGCTGAGGCTTCGTGGTTCCCAACTTCCATAGAATCTAGGTCTCAATATCTAAACAGTGTTGGCGGACCTGGGAATCAAAGTTGAGGCTGAGGATGAGGCTAATGCAGAAGTGTTGTAGATCGCGGGAATTTCAACCTCGCTATCCATAGACTTCTCAGGTACGTCAGGGGTAGGTAGAGGCGAAACCCGGACCAACAGCACAAGTGCGCCCGCCTACCGGACCGATCCTGTGCACTCACCGGTGACATCAGCTGCAGTTAGTCCTCCGTAAAACAACTACAACTCCTTTAATTTCCGTCATCAATAATTTCTGACTTTTTCAATTGATTTTGGGGATTAGCGGGAGCCAACTACGACTTTATCAAGGAAATCAACCCCCCTTTGGAATCATTGGCTTCAAAAAAAAAAAAAATTTGCTAGCTATTGAGAATGCACTTAAAGCCTCGCCGAGAGCATAGTGAATGAACCACCCAAGTGCCGTCACTTCCCTAGAAACAATTACTCAAGCTACCTATCTAAGCTAGTCTGTTCCGTTAGTGGACCCTTGCCATCTCTGCTTTGTAAATTCAGCTTAGAGAACTTTTGTTCCAACACCCGATGGGGATGGGGATTGTGGCTGCAGCAGGAACTGTCCAGTGTCCAGTTCATGATATGATGTCTAATCCTTCCAGATGAGCCTACGTTTATCACGGCTTGGCAGAATACATCCTTCGACAGATCTTTCAAACTCGACTCTAGCTCAGTACTATGCTTTCCTTGCTGCACGAGGTTCAGTTTGTCATAATGATATGTGAGTTTAAAACCGTGTACTCACTCTGATCCTATTCTGCCACTTAGCACTGACGTTGGTAACTACCTACTTTAAACAGATGCTCAATAGCTTGCAAGGTTACAGCAACAGCTCGAAAAGAAACCGCGTCTAGTGGCATTGAAGTAAACATCACGAGACATAGAGACTTTTGCGTCGCTGAAATTCAGTCACAGGGGAGGAGTAACGTCGGTTACACAGACATGCAACCTTATATATTTCGGTTTAGTCTCTGAAGTGACGGTTTGCATGCACCAAGTTCACGGGGTAGTTCTGGAAACACGATGAAAACTTCACTGTCTGATCGGTAATGAGTATACCACCGTCAACGTACCAATGCGATAACCGAGAGGATGTAGAGTCAGTCCAGCGACGGAAAACTGTCACAACAGCTCCGCCTGACGCTTGGATATCAAGGGAGACCTGAAGAATTGACTCCCTGCATATCAAAAGGACTCAAAGCTACACTTTTAAAAAAGAAGGGGGGGGGGGGAAGAGCCGGAGCGCGAGCTCCTCAAGGAAGGAAAATCGGATCTGCAATCTCTATGTGATGCCTCCCGGAAACATGTCCTCAGGGTTGAGGCAGACCGTGGGAACTAGAGCGCGAGCTCTTTAAAAATTACATATTGCATGCACGCTTTCTACCACAGTCCTACTTGAATGAGAAATGAGAATTGAAACATGATGTACATACACCTCTTGTCCTGTCGTGGCTACTCCTGGCCCTGTCCGAAAGGTCATTGCCGGCATGCGTGTCTTGTTGCCACTGTCACCGTTCCCAGAACAGGAAAATACATCGTATAAAGGGTACACCGCTCGCCCTCCGACCTGGCCATATGGAAATTTTTACTACTCCCAGTGAGAAGATTCTTGTCTACACAATCTTACCGCCTGAGGTCGACACAAGGAATCTGTGCAATGCACACTTCGCTGTGCACAGTGCGGACTAACCAGCTTCAAATCAACCACGTGATAAATTTCAGGATTCACGAGAGCATCAACGTGGTAATAACTTGGTCTTGGCGAAAATTAATCTCCATTAAGCGCACACGATTCATCCAAGAGCTTGTACAATGAAGAGATCTGGGTATATCTTGTAGGAACGAAGGTTTCGCCCAAGAATTCATCAGTAAATCGACTCAGTAACTAGAACGCAGTGCAAGTAAAAATTATTCAAGAAGCAGCCTTAGACCTGCAGCAAATACTTCATTGGCGCTCAGAAAACCATAAAAGCTACAGACAGATAAGTGTTGTTCGATCCGGAACAGCGAGATCAAGATTTTGCAAAGCGCAAGACTCTAGATCCATTCAAGTCACCGCGCGTCAAGCTCTTTCTCTCGGGTCGTCGATTACTGTATCCAAAACCGCTCGACGAAGCACGGGGTTTGGGTAACGACCAGATGTCTTTAGAATATGAGCCGTTGCGGAGTTGACTAAAGAATTAATACCTCATCTGGCAGTATTTATATCATTTCATTAATACACACCTTGGTGATCCATCTTCGCTCTATTCCTCGCATAAGCTGACGTTTCAGGCCGCCCTACTTCGTGGCTGCATATTGAGCAATTACAGAATAGAACTTTTGGGTTTGAAAGATCCTGATCCATCTCGGGAGACGGTAGTCGTGGGACGATGGGTGCTCTTGGAGGAACAGCTGCAGGTACATGCCGGTCCGACATCGGAAACAGTTCTTCACCAGCGCCAACTCGGTTGACCTGGGATCTCTTCATTTCTTCTCGATGTTGCTTTCCGAATCTTTTCAGCTGCGGGGACGATCTTGGAACACCTGGCGCGCGTCCGAGTGATAAAGATGAAGGGTCATAGTTTAATTTCGAATTTACAGGGCCGGCGCTCAATGTCATGTGTTCAGACTTGAACATACTATCATCCCTTCTCGTATGCACCTGAGAATCTTTTAGTGGCGATGGAAGCCCTGGATATTTCTTCACTTTTGATGACAGAGTCCTTCGGCGTTGTTCAGTGCTAGAATTGGGATGGTGGCGATAAACCGATCGTGGTGCCTCTGGAGTCGAGTTTTTTGAGCTTGACCGGTCCAAGTCGAGTTCTTGAGTAGTCGAGGCTGCTAGAATAGTTTGGCTGTCTGAATTGCATGCCGACATATCATACGAGCCTTCGATAACAACTCTTGCTGAATGCTCATTGAGGTAAGGTATTTGCCGTCTTGGCGACATGTGCAACGACCCTCGAGAGGGACACCAATACATGCACAAGGAACATCTGCATACATGACGAGCGCAAGGAGCTGTGAACCATCAATCTATTATTCCCTCCGTATCTCCTGAGACGATGTGACTTACGACGGACAGTGACGTGTTCGAAGTGCTCAAGGGTTATGTACTCTGATTCTTGATGAAACATGGTTGACTTAGGCATTCTGAACGTTGACTTTGATGAAATGGGTAGATGTTTAATGAAATCAAGATGATGAAGAAAAGAAGAAAGGAGGGTAGAGATGAGGAGGAAAAGATATTTATGTGCCAGGCAACTGGATGTGGGCGCAGACATATCAGACCAGCCCGACCAATCAGAAGGAGAGATTCGGCGCACCCCTGTTCCATATTCAACTACCCAGCGCGGGCTACCTATCTTCCGACCCTCCATTACAGGTAATTATCCTAGACATATTCTTCAGTATGGTTAGGTTTATCGATTTCTCGTAACAAATATCAACAGTTCAAACAAATGGCTTAGATGTCTTTGGGGCTTATCTGGGTGTATCACAAAGCCCCTAGACGGCTGAGTTTCTAGCAGCCTTCTCGCAGCATTCGCGTAAGGAACTCTGATAATCAAGACGAGTGGCTTAACCGATATATATGAGGATGAGAGAGAGTGGCGTAAAGCAGTCCACTTGCGTTCATACCAGTGATGGAACTGCTATGGGCAATGAAATCGCCCGTTAGTACTCCACAAGCGGCCTATGAGTCTTGATCTTGCTTGTACTAAATAAATCCACATATAATGACCAAAATATTGATATTAATTGACCGCAGCTGATTCATATTAAACATTTTTTTTTCAAGCCCGCTATTTTCATAAAATGCTGTTGCCATTCTATATACAACTGGGGAAGATATAATAGCAAACCTGTCACGACGAGTGTTATACATGCAATATATATACATATAAATACGACATCTTTACACTTTAAATGGCTTTCTTGAGACAGTCGTCGTTAGGCGCCACGAGAGAGCTTTAATAGGGGATACACACGGATGGGAGCAAGCCACCTCTTGCGGCACATGCACAAGCCACCCCTAGTTCGTCTAAGACGAACACCATATGTCGGACATGCCAATAGGGCATTCGTCGACGATACAACGATCACATGAAATGATTAAACCGACCAGACCGTATACATACAGTGGCATAATAGTATGCACGGGAGGAACCTGCTTATGCGATTGGGATGCGCGTTTATTGCATCAGATATCGAATGAGAAAACACATTAAGACCACTTAACACACAGTCTTTGGGTTGGCAGTCGTGGGACTGCGGTATTTCAATACATACTCCTTTTCTGTAACGGCATATGTACAATATTTACATATAACATCCTTCAATACATGTATCTGAAAGTGGGAGCCTTGTCTCCTTTCGCAGCAAGCTCCTCGTTGCTGAAGTCACCGCTTTCCTGCATGATTCTGGCCCTCCTCTTGTTTGCAGCTGCATATGATATAACGAGGATAAATGCCGCAATTATTCCTGCCGAGATGAAGCCAAGCTCCAGAGCATGACCTAAAATGTAGCGCGGTGAGTCCTTCTGACGGTACATGTTTGACGCGATGGCTCCTCCCAAATTGCCCACTCCGATCTGTATTGCCATTCCGGCACTTCTCTTGTACCCACCACGTAGGTTTCCACTTAGCCATGCTATATTTCCTGGAAATGATGGGTAGATAGCGCAAGCAGCAAGGAAGACGCCTGCGTACACCACTCGAGGGTTCGTGGTCGATATACACATCGCGAACCCGACGAGCATTACGAAGAGAAAGCTTATAACAAATGGGGATCTCTTTCCCACTCGATCCGATATGTAGGCAAAGATAACTGCCAGAATTGCAGCTGTAACGTACTGTGATGATTCCAGGTTAGCAAATGGTCTATGACCCTTCTCCCAAATCCGTCAATGGCAAGTTGCAGACTGTCTGGCATCGCAGCGACTTACGATAGGCACTGTCAGCAATTGTGCCGTACTTGCTGTATACCCCAGGTTGTTGATGATTGAAGGTAAGAACAAGCTTATGCCATATAGTGGACAGACAATCTACACCTTGTTAGTCTTAATTACGCAACAGTGACGATGTTACTGACACCCCAGTAAACGATGATATTTGTCCAAATTTGCCAATCGCGAAATGCTTGCCAAACGTATTCCCAACGGAACTCGTCTGCTTCCGCAACTTGAGCGCGACCGTCCTGTGATACCTTCTTGTCTTGCCTGTAGCGTAGCCTATATACCACAAAAGCTCTCTCTTCCTCAGTAAGAAAACTGGGAGTGTAAGCTATGAAGGATTAACGCGGAACAAAATAACTTACCTAGCAGTTTCTGGGAAATCATGCAACACTGCAAACGCTACAAAAGCAATCACAACCGTGGCCAAGCCCTCAAGGATGAAGATCCATCGCCACCCCTCTAGGCCGCCTACGCCATCCATCTTGGATATAGCAAACGCCAATAACCCACTGAATGCGCCAGCAATGGAGGCTGCGCTGAAAAACATTGCCTGCCGAAGTTGTATCTCGTGCCGACAGTACCACATTGTGAGCTGAGAAAGGTTAGTCAAGACTATTCATAAGAATCATAAGCTGCAAGGGCCCCAATCGATTCAAGTCATGTATGAATATTTCTCTGTTGAACTCGATCAGCATTAATTTCCATCTGTGCGTGCGCTTCTAAGAGCGAAACTTCGTGACGAAGTACTCACTACATAATACTAAAATTGACTTAGTCAACGCTCCATGGGAGTAGACGATTGGAAGACTTACAGCACATCCAGGGTACAGACCAGCTTCGGCAATGCCGAGAAAGAAACGCGCAGCCAGGAGTCCCTCGTAGTTACGAACAATTCCCATCAATGTCATCACCGTGCCCCAGGCTACCATGATTAACGGAAGCCTTGCAAAGTTAGCGTCTCTCTTGTCAAGATTTTGTCTGTGGATTGATTGAATTTATTTAGAGCATGTTTCTCCTTAAGCACCGTTATTTGCCCTAGAGCTCTGCAATCAAAATGAAAAAAAGGGGACCCTTGGTTATACATACCAACGACTGGGGCGGAGCTTCTTTAACAGCAAGTTACTTGGTACTTCGAAAGCTGCGTAGCTGAAAAAGAATACCGTGAGACACCTAAATTCGGGTCAGTGACTTCCTAACCAAGCACGATTGCCAAACGGTGGCTCCAGCATAGCCCCCTTGGGTCATAGCTCTGGAGCTCTTGTCTTGCTTGAAAGAAGTGAATTTTCTCACCAGTTGTATTGATCTGAAGTCATTCCTAGGTCGTCCTGCAGACCCTCAATCTTGGCATTCCCAATATTACCTCTATCCAGGAAAGATAGAAGGTACAAAACCGCAAGCATTGGAATCAGACGCATGTCCATCTAGGAACCTTTAGCAAGCGACCTGAAAGAACTTTGATATGACAGACCTTCCGCAATATTTTTTTCTCATCCAAGTGGGAAAAGGTGTCCAATGTGACACCAGGGGCATCAGCCATAGCATCAATTCGGCCGATCTCATCCCTTTCAGTAGACTTGCTGTGTCTTCGCTCATGGTGGGTGGGATCGGCTACTGCCACTTCCCCCTTCTCAGAACTTAGTGTCGCATCCATCTTTGCTAAATAAATGCAGGACAAGATATAGATAGAATTCGATACGTTGTCAAGGCCATATATGATGTTCAGTGTTGAGGAATTGATGTTTTTGTCAATGGACTTTAAGATTTGTAGGCAGATATCATGATTAGGCCAAGATGTTTAGTAGAAAACTTGGGGGCAATGTTTGGGGATTTGGATGCGGGGGAAGCTTCGGTACCTTGGTCGGGTTCAATCCCTAGGTAACGGAGGGCATCTGACTCCTCCCCCACGTACCAAGTGGGCTCATACTAGGGTATACCAAAACGGCGGAACCATTCCGGTTCATTAGCACAGTTGGACGAGGTAGTCAGCCCGCGCAGATGTGGCCCGGGTGTCATACCAACAAGATTATAATCAGGATCATTGCAACTGACCATTTTCATTGCCACTATCGATTGAGGGTGTTAGGCTGGTATCGTCCACCATAGTCGAGGGGGATATCCCCTTGCCATGACGCCTGGATCTTGAACATGGCCTAGAAACATTTCAAGTCTCTCGAGGGATTAGTAAACAAAGTTTTATCAGCAGAATTCGCCGTCGGATGAAGGCATGGCGGAAAACAGCTGGGGTTCTTCATTGCTATAGGCTTATTGCTTAACACTCAAGTCTAGTCATTTTGAGGCTACCGGAAACTATTTAGCACTCGCAAGCATGTCAAGTCAGCCTTCTCGAGCACAGGAGAGATTGGTTTCTCATACCTATCATGCCACCCCAGACTCGGAGAAAGGATTGGAATGAGTCCTGCAGTCCATCCTGTAATCGGCAAGTTTACGCACTGTCAACCCTATCCCCGCACTCTCCGCCCGCTACCCCGGAAGCTTGTCTAGTAGCGTGGAGATATAGGACCCACTCAATGACGACACGCCGACTTATATTCAAGTACGGCAAATTGGTCCACAATAGCATGGAACTTTCATCCCGGCATGATGCCACCATTTTCCCATGCTAGCCCCATGATGGGCCCAATCATGTTACATATCTTTTACCCCAACTGAACTGCTCTGAGTCTCTCGCGAGCCCAAGCGCACCACTGTCAGCGTCAACAGCGTTCCATAGTTATTTCCGGCCCTTTCCTCAAATAGCATCCCGAGCAGCTGCCTCTGAAATAAAATGCAAAGGGAAATTCTCCTTTGAGTCCAATCCTAACCAAAGTCTTCCAATCATCGCTACCAGCCTAGTCTCACGACACGATGGCTCCGCACTACAACTTCTTTGGCACTGGCTTTAAGCTACGGGCTGCCATTACCGTAGCGTGCCAGTGTGCTTTCGTGTTATTCGGATATGATCAAGGTGTGTTTAGTGGGATCGTTGGAAACGAAGGTAATTGTTGATAGTGCGCAAATGAAACTGAAAACTGCTGACTTGGGGAAGATTTTCTTAACCAGTTTGGACATCCGAATCCGAGCCTTGAGGGGATCATAGTATCTATTTACAATCTCGGAGCGTTCTCGGGATGTATTCTTGCTTTCATGGTCTGTGACAAAACTGGCCGGAGACTGGCGATGTGGATAGCTATGGCATTCATCATTGTCGGTGCGGTTTTGCAAGCCTCAGCGTTCACTGTACCGCACCTAATGATAGCACGGTACATCACTGGTATCGGGACTGGGAAGTATTTCAGTATCTAGCGAGATGTTGCCGTGCTGACTTGGTTATAGGTATTGAGACATCTACTGTTCCAATGTATCAATCTGAGCTCTGCGAAGCATCGAAAAGAGGTAGACTCGTATCAAGTGAGCCGCTATGTGTCGGAGCTGGTATCGAGATAGCGTATTGGTTTGACTATGGCATGTCATTCACGAGTGGTTCAATAGCTTGGCGCCTACCAATTGCGTGCCAAATTCTATTTGCCTTCGTATGTACTTCGTCAACGTGAGTAGGAACACTATTGACTAACTGAATTAGCTGGTCATAATCCTTGTTTTTGGCTTGCCAGAGAGTCCACGATGGCTTCATAAACATGGACGTCACGAGGAGGCATTGAAGGTGCTCTGCGAGGTTTATGATAGAAAACCAGACCACCCCAAGATCGTCAAGGAAGAGAAGGATGTTTTAGAGGCACTCGCTGTTGAACAGGAGCACGGGGAGTACCGCTGGTCACAACTACTTAAGAAAGATGAGGTGCAAACTGGGCGAAGGGTCTTGCTAGCATATGGCATGCAGTTCATGAACCAGATGGGTGGTATCAATTTGGTCGTGTAAGCACTCCTCCTATTGCCCCCCTGGCCTTGATACTAACATTTAGGCAGATATTATATAACGTCTGTCTTACAATTCAACGTAGGACTTGACAGGAATCTATCACTCCTGATCGGCGGAGTGATCAACGCCATGTTCTTCTTCGGGTCTCTGTTTCCCACCTTCTTCCTAGACAAGTATGGTCGACGAAAGCCGATGATGTGGGGATCTTTTGGACTCGGTATATCCATGATGCTAGTTGCTATTCTTCTCAGTTTCCAAGACAGAGGAGGCATGGTAGCAAAGAATACGGCCAGTGCGAGCGTAACCTTCTTTTTTACTGTGAGTCGTCTCGCCCCTGGTTGACAAGCGATCACGCATTAACCAGTTACCATGTAGTACATGCTTATCTTCGGCGCAACGGCAAACTGTATTCCTTGGTAAGCATTATTATTACGTCTTTTCAGTTGCTATTTCGCTTATCTTTGACTACAGGGTATACGTACCAGAGATACTACCGCTACATGTCAGAGCTAAGGGCACCGCCGTCGGTGTTTCCTCAAACTGGTTATGGAACTTCTTCGTCGTTATGATCACCCCTACTCTAATCAATAACCTGATGTGGAAGGGTTACCTCATATTCATGGCTTTGAACTTTGCATTCATACCGCTAGTTTACTTTTGCTATCCTGAAACAAGCAACCTCACTCTGGAAGAGATTGACTGGCTTTTTCTGGAGCCCGGCGCTGTCAAAAGAAGCAGGCACGTTTCTAAACATGGCTGGGGTGGTGAATCGGGATGGGAAAGGCGGAGAAGCTCACTTGCGGCTGTTGTGCCCAATCAAGAAGGGAAAGAGGACGCACCCGGTGCTTCGCAGATCGAAAACGGGGGTTCTGAAAAGGTGACGGGTTCCGGTGTGTAATCGGGGTAGAAGATGGTGTAGTCGTCTTCGAAGAGTCGTCTTCAACGGTTTCTAGGACTTTGGTGATTCATAATGCGAGGAACTACACGACGGAAGAGCTAGATTTATTGATGAGGTGCGTGGAAATAAAAGTATAAACTTTGACGGAGTGGTTCTAAGTGCCCTCTATCGCATGTAAGATGGGGTACTTGATTTTGATCTGAAGGACTATTGGCTATGACGGATGTAATGGTGAGGATAGGAAGACATCAAATGGCCACAATGAACCGATTCGAACTAGAACTGCCGAATAGGATATAGGGTATCATTTCGATTATTCGAATGAGTCTCGGTGTTTATTCCGTTGCAAGAAAGGTGAATAAGCTAATGCGGACAGATTATCCCAATGCCATTCTTACGGATAACTTGTGCATGTTGAGATCTAATCGATTAGTCAATTTTCAAAGTACATATAATTCATGGCTTCGGCTACTCAACAGGGTTCTGGACATTGGGGATTGAATAAGAAATTCGCAAAAGTAGACTTTTTCTAGGAGAGAAGACATGGACAGTTTTCTCTCTCAGCGTCTTCCATGCTTCAGGTAATGGAGGGACATATTTACAACATGCGCCAGAGCTGCCAATTTGTGTCGGTCCAGCAGGCGAGGGAGTGGCAGGGAGACAATGGGTCGCTGATGGCGCAGCCACTCCTAGCTGCGCGGTATAACCACACAGCGATCCAAACCCCAATCAACAATGCTTAGTTTCGTATCGTGATTCATTCCTCGATACCATTTCCGCGGTTAACACATCAGTATTGGTTCCTCAGGTTAATATGCAAGACTTCCGGACTCATTTACGGGATCTCTTAGGAGCAGCAGTTCATCTGTTTCCTCCAAAGAGCTAAACTGTTAAATTTTCTCGATGCCCTTGTTCTTTCCCAGAATAAAGCTAAAGCGGCACACTCCATCGACCATTTAACCCCTATCGTCATTAATTCAAGATTCCTCAATCGAGGATCATTGCATCCAAGGGGAGAAAAGAAAGAGAGGGCGGCGTCCAGAGAAGTTCCAGTCGTCTAGGCGGACTGTTGTAGGGCTTGAGGGGGTAGCCGAGCGGGTTGGGTTACTGGTTTCGCGGCCAGTATGTCCTCGCCAAATGGCTTCCTTTACCCAATCGTTTACGGGATAGCAACGTACCTAGGAAGATAGATAGGTCCCGGTAATCGGTACTACTGTGGTAATCTCCATAGCTAGTCGCAAACAAACTGCCCCAGACCCCAGATCCCCGCACCAGAGCTCGCCGAGAGCGGCTAACAACATGCACGTTGTACCATGTAGGCTGGGGTAGCTGTTACAGGTTCCTTTCAAGACCTACAAGCTACATACCCGGATCCAAGATTCCTGATGGTAATTTTGGACTGCGTATTGACATCACCCAGTGCTTTGCAATTCAGTTTAGGGGATTGAGCAACCCCTTTTCAGAACCAAAGTTCACAGAATGGCCCCAAAACCCCGATTGGAGGGCAAGGTCGCCATAGTCACGGGCGGGGCATCGGGATTCGGCCGAGGAATCGCAACGAAGTTTACTGATGAGGGAGCGAAGGTCATCATCGCGGATCTGTCCGCAGAAGCTGGCCAGCGTGCTGCGAAAGAACTGCAGTGCGAGTTTGCTACCGCGGATGTGACAAAGTTGGAAGACTGGAAAAAGTTGCTGAAACAAGCCGTCGACTCATTTGGCCGTCTAGACATTATTGTCAACAATGCTGGAGCTACCTACGCCAACAAGCCCACAGAAGAGGTAACGGAGAAGGTTGGTGTATCCTCCACGATGGTGATCGATTGCGGTGCTAATTTCGATTAGGACTTCGATCTCGTCATGAACGTCAACGTCAAGTCAATCTACCTGTCTACCAACGCACTGCTCCCTTACTTCCTTGAGAGCAAAAGACCTGGATGCTTTATCCAGGTTGCGTCGACGGCAGGAGTCAGACCTCGACCAAACTTGACCTGGTATAATGCATCGAAAGCGGCTGTTATCAATGCCACAAAGGCATGCTACCCCTCATCTGATAGCTGGATTCAAGCTGATACTCTTCCAGACCATGGCAGTGGAGTATGGACCAAAGAATATCAGGTTTAACTCCGTAGCTCCCGTTGTGGGCTCAACAGGAATGTAGGATACCAATGTCAGAAAACATGAAATAATGCAATACTGACTATTCTCGAAGGACCCATTTGTTTCTGGGAAAACCAGACACCGAGGAGAACCGGAAGGGGTTTGTCTCAGTCATCCCGATGGGCAGGGGATCGACTCCCGAAGACGTGGCAAATGCCACCTGCTACTTGGCGAGTGATGAGGCCTCATTTATCACGGGTGTTAATATTGAAGTCGACGGTGGTCGATGTGTGTAATGGCTGGCTGAACAAAACATGTGTCCGCGATAACTGTCAGCCAGGTACCTTTTCTCCTTTTCTTGTGATGTTGCCATTGTGGATGCAAGTGATACGTGGATAGCTGCAGGGAGCACACAAACAAAGTCGCAAGCGTGACATCAATGCTATCAACCTTCATATCCAAGTGCCGGAGCTTTCCATAAATTTGTTACAGCTTCGCAAATACCGTCTGGAGATACCCTGGAAAGAGATTCCTCATAGTCCATGCGCCTAGCGGCCCGCTCCCGCGTGTTCCAGGAAGGCGCAAACGCCGCCAGTCACTATCCCACCCCGCAGTCCCCGCACCTCCCCCGCCCCGCAGTCTGGCTTGCGGATCTCGTCAGCGAGGGGAGGCTAATGTATTTTTGGACGTAATGATCGTGAAGAGGATGAGCCATTGAAGTACTATCGAACACCATCGAAATCATCAAGGGACAGGCTGAAAATTTTGAGCTGTTCACATATCATCCAGACAGTACCAAGCTATCACACCAGCCTTGGTGTAGTATTGTCTCTACATCAAGCGAGAAACCAGTCGCACGGTCCATCGACCCAATGGGCGAGGCTCAATATACCAGGCCCTTCGAGCTGAAGGACGATAGCCTCCTCCAGAAAGATTGCTACATACATGGAAAATGGGTCCCAGCAAGGCGTAGCGGGCGGTTTCCTGTGATCGATCCTGGCTCCGGCAAGACGTGGGCAGAATGCGCCGACGGTACCAGCGACGATGTCGAACCAGCTGTACACTCGTCGGCCATCGCATTTGAGGCATACTCGAAGTTCACCCCCAGGAAGCGGGCGCAATTACTGCTCAAATGGCACCAGTTGATTGATGCAGCAAGAGATGATCTGGCAAAGATTCTGGTCCATGAAACTGGTAAGCCTCTTGCCGAGGCACAGGGCGAAATAGACTACGCGCTCAGTTTCGTGTGGTGGTTCATGGGAGAGGCGGACCGGATCAATGGCACTGTGACGACGTCAGCCATCCCGGGCAGACGTTCACTGGTTATCAAGCAACCGATTGGAGTCGTAGCCGGGCTTGTCCCCTGGAACTTCCCAATTGCTCTAATGTTGAGGAAGGCGAGCGCCGCCCTCGCCGCAGGATGCACAATGGTCGTCAAACCGTCCCCCGAAACACCCTTTACAGCCACTGCTCTCGCACATCTCGCAACGCAGGCTGGATTCCCCCCTGGTGTTCTGAACGTGATACCGACCAGCCTTGAGAATACCCCCATCCTGGCCGAAGCACTCTGTCTGCATCCCGTTGTCAAGAAGGTTACTTTCACTGGTAGTACGCGCGTAGGGAAAATCATCTCTGGTCTCTGTGCCAGGAATCTGAAGAAGGCAACGTTCGAGCTGGGGGGAAACTGCCCGTTCATCGTGTTCGACGACGCGAATATGGACCACGCCATCGATCAGCTGATGGCCCTCAAATGGAGACACGCTGGGCAAGCCTGTATCACAGCGAACAGGGTGTACGTACAAGATGGCATACACGACGCCTTTGTTCAGAAGCTCGTAGAGAAAGTGTCCACTATCAAGGTGGGCCACGGCATGGCTGATGGGACAACGATGGGTCCAGTCACGACTTCGCGCGGACTCGACAACGCGGAAGAGCTCGTGAAGGATGCTGTCAGCGCTGGTGCGAAGCTTGCCCTCGGGCAAGGCCAGAAGCACAAAGTTGATGGATACCCGGATGGATACTACATGTCCCCTACGATCTTAACTAACATGGCAGACGATATGTTCATGAGCTGTGAGGAAAACTTCGCCCCCATTCTCGGCATTTACGTATTCGAGAATGAACGTGAAGTCGTCCAGCGAGCCAATGACACGAGTATGGGCTTGTCAAGCTATGTCTTCACGAAGGATGTGGATAGGCTCTGGCGGCTCTTCGAGAAGCTGGAGGCTGGCATGATTGGTTTGGTAAGGTATCTATCTACCCTGGTTTCGTACTCATCAACTAACTTTCGGCAGAATACAGGAAATTGCTCTGCGGCCGAAACTCCCTTTGGTGGAATCAAGGACAGTGGAATGGGAAAAGAAAGTGGCAAGGACGTTGCTATCAACGAGTTCATGATCACGAAAGCAGGAACCTTAACCGTGGAGGATCATTTTTAGACAGAACACAGTACTACGATCTTTTTGGTTCATCAGCTTGTTGCGATGGGGGAAGAGAATCCATGATCGGCATTTACCAAGACAATCTACCAAAAACAGCGAATAATGAGCAAAGAGGTCTCCCTCTGAATGTAGAGCAGATAATAAGAGCTTGCGCTCTGGCGCTGGAGTAAAAAAGAGATGGCTCTGTGGCTGCTGATGTGATGTCAAGAGGTCACCCTCTGGCGGTAGATCAGACAAGAGCTCGCGCTCTGGCGGATAGCCATGTTAATGAGATGAGATGTCATCACTCCCATGGGTTGTCTCTGGCACGACGACGGGGAGTTGGTCGGTATCGCTCCTTGTGCTCCTGTGTAGGGTTTAACTTTTCCCAAAGAGACTTCAAGTTGCTGTTTTCTTCCTTTCCTGCTAGTACAAGTGTGTCGCTGGGGTCATCAGCTTTAGCTAGGACGAGTGGCTCCTGTCCCTTGTTCCAGTTCTTCCTCTCCACCATATTTTTCTTTACCTGGCGGCCCGCTCTTTGCCATGGGATGAAACTATCGTAGTCTCCCCATCCCAGACCGACACCTGCAGGACGAGGATACGTAACAACGAATGCAGAGTGTGTTGCGGTGCGTGGGTCTAGAGATAGGTCGGATCGAGGCAGAACACCCGCCGGGGCAAACGAGAGGGAAGTAGAGGCTTTGTTGTCTGGGCCAACCAGATGTCCGGGTGTAAAGAGTCGCCGACTGTCACCAATCTTTCGGTGATCCAGGTCCCGGAAAAGAAACACCGTGTCTTCGTGCGGCTTATCAGTTTCCAGCACATCTCTTGCAGACGGGATTGAACGGGGATCCCTGCCACCCTTCTCTTTGTCACAAGGGCGTTGCGGGTGATCCCACAAGGTCCAGCCCTGAGCCTCCCAGTCGCCAATCTCATCCATGGCTACCGTAGTTGATTCTGTTCGGTCGTTGATAAAGTCATGGCGGATCAAGGGGACGTAGACCCTGTCGGAGTCGGCATTGATTGGGACTGGTGAAGCATACTGGCGGGAGTGGAACTTGAAATCGGGCCGCATCCCGCGAGGTGCATCCATCACAAACTTGGTAGTAGGGGTGGCCTCCTGGAATGCACTGTCCCAGCTCTTGTAGTCCTGGTATATGGCCTCCACGTAGGCGTTGGGGTCCTCTGGGCTGTAGGCCCAGGATTTCTGCCATCCTCTGGGCATGCTGATGAGAGCGGTGTGAGCAGCATCGCTGGGCTGGGACGGGGCCGGTGCCGTTTCTTGAGCTGGAGGAGTTCGCACTCCGTTTGATGCTTCTCCAGAAGCACTCGTATCGTCGATGATATCTATGGCAGTTTGCACTCCGGCTGATGTCGAGCCTTGCGGGTTGTTGGTATCCTCTGCAGCAGCCACGTCCTGCTTTGTGTTAGATATGTTCGAATTCGAGAACTCGGATTGAAGGCTCATGGGCATACCTTGGACAGCTCGGCAGGAAGCGTGAGGCCGTTATCATGCGGATGGGTGTCCATTTCTACCAAAATTGATGAGCGGAACGATCGTGACTTGGTATTTAAGACATGTGACTTACTAGTGGAAATGATGGCGGTGGTGATATGGAAGTGTGAAATATTTGACGAAAAGGAAGCAGAGAGGTTTAGATTCCAGAGACCGGTGCGGGCCGAAGGAAGTTGGACATGCCGGCCTGGAACGTCTACGCTTGTTTCTGTGCGGTTTTCCATGGCAAACGGGCAGAAGTTTACCTCCTACTGGTTAATAATCGGGTCAAGTCCATGCTAAGTAGTCACTCCAAAACAATGCGGGACCAGATGTTCCAGAAATAAAAAGCCAAATGATGTCCTGGCATCTTACTAGGCCATTAGAGATGCGAATCGGGTCATTTTCGTCCGCTCTCGTAGGGGCCGCCGTCCGAAATAACGCTACCACCTGGGCATGGTCCAAGCCCCGTGAGATCTGCCCGATTTTTGAGGTCGAGAAATCCCCAATCCTCTGAGAGACCGCTCTGAAATCTCTCCCTTCCGGCGAAAGGCGATATTTTTCACGTTCAATGGTGGAATAATCCCGAGTCTTATACTCGAGGTACCATTGTCCCATGAATCCTGCATGTGACACGCTGCCTGACGGCTTCAGGGTGACCACAGTCACACACCCGGTCACTCGTCCCCACCTTCTTCTCAACTATCACATGCCCCTCGTGCTCCATATTCTCAAAACAATCGCCACAGAAATCAACCTCATCGTCGAAGCCGCAGGTGAGGCATTGGAACACCCTCTGACCCTTCGTGAGACGTGCTTCACACGTACTCCCTGGAGTGGGTTTCGACAAGGCTTTGGTCCCCTTTGGACGACTGCTCTTTGACGGGCGGGCCCAGTTGGAGGCCAAAAATTCCACGTAGTCGTCCTCAGAATCAGATGACTCTTCTGATAAAGCTGATTCACCCCAGGACTTGGTGACGCTTGCGTACGATCCTCGAGCCTTGCCAACCCTGATGGGTATTTGAGAACTCTCACGTCTCGGGGGTGAGTACTCCTTCGAACTGGCTATGATTTCGGTATAAGCAACGGATTCTGTTGTTGTAGCTCCCCGCCTATGATCAAGTCGCAATCTTTCTACAGCGCTGATTTCGTTGCTCTGCTGTATGAGTTGCTCGAGGTAACTGTCCGGTAGAGAATCATGTATATTGATCATGTTCTGCAGGAACTGCTCCGGTCGTCAGTATGTGATATGTATAGGCAATGACAAGGTACGGTAATGCATACTGGATCATTCAACCAACGAATACTACACTTGTCCAGCAGCTCTAGAGATATCAAACCACGATCTAATCTCAGAACTGTACCGTACTGTCTTGCAGCCGGCGCTGGTATAGTTGATGCTTGGTCGAGACCCTTGGCCGGCGGGGATGGATCATGCACGAGGGTTGAGAATCCGCCCCCATATATGTCTTCTGAATGTGTTTGCGGTGCCTCGGTGTTGGGCAGATGGACCGCAGAGTAACTCGGGGGTTTCTTATGGCTCTCTCGAAGCAGTTGAATCATGACCTTCATCTCGTCGAGTGCGTTGCGGTCGTCAGAGCTAATACTTTTCAATCACGCTTAGCATATTTCAAAAGTGTCAAATAATGCCGACCTACCGATGGTCTTTACGAGATAGGGCGATCTGATTCACCGAGTTGATCAGGACAATGTTTTGTTTCGTGCATTTCAACTCCTCTCGAAGAAGACGCAAGTCACCGTCATATCGCAAATACATTGCCCTCTGTGTCAAGGTTAGCTTGGATGGCGCAGTGCTGTGGATTGCATCGCCAAGGATCTTGCCGAGAATGTCCTGTATTTCTCGAAAGACGGCGGTGCACCGCCCAACGCATTTGAGAGCAATGTCTACAGCCTCTTCGCCCAGGTTGAGGACTTCTTTCCCCTTATCTGGTCTGAGTGTTTTGCGAAGCTGCTCCAGAATCCTCTGCAGCAGAGAGACATCGGATGAGATGTGCTTGACGTGCTTCGGAGCTGTAGCGAACTTCTCGACCTGGGCAGCGATTGCTTGTGCGATGCCAAGGCATGCCGAAATAGTCCCCACGACTTCGGCCATGATTTGGATGGGCCAGCCAGCAACACGTAAAGAAAAGTTGAGGGAATGATCTCCTATGTCGAGGTATCGCGGTGCAGTAGCATCAGTGTCCTTCACGCATAAGCACCAACTTGTCGTCGGATCTCATGCAGCAACACAGCAAACTTGGGTTCTTTTGTTTACGTCACCTCAGCCGCAGTGCCATTTATGCCCCCCTCCTCTGAGAAAGTGACGATCTAACTAGAGTGGGTAAAATATCTTCCTGGTGGATAAGTTAACTACTACGTTATTAGTGCCGCCAGCCTTCCAGCATGGATGAGGCTTAACCTGGGCCTGCGGACGTCTACCAGGGTCTTCCCCGACTGCCACGCACCAGGGGGGCGCGCTGGCAGGCCACAGGCTGTGTGAAGCGAAGAAGCCGAAGCCGTAGGGAGTTAAGCAAATACCTAGGGCAGGTAACTAAGCTGAGGACCCAGAGACGCTGAGAACGATTGGCATCCACCTACAGGTTGCACCCAGGTCAGACAGCCCACTGCTCATTGAGTCTGGGCGTAGGAAATGCTACGAGCCACCGTTTCGAATTGTGTCCTCCGGGTTCGACCAACTTGAGCTGATAATGAAAGTGCTCATTTCCTTCTACTGTCAGTGCAGGGCCAAGTTGAAGTGCCACCGCACGCCCTAGTGCCCCCGCGTTCTGCCGCACTTAGTGGGCTCCCCCGCGGCGCCGCTTACGCTTATCTGAGACGCTGCGACGGCAACTCCAGGCGTCTGATAGGCCTGCACATACACAGCTCCCTTCCAATCGACGAGCTTCACGTCCAACGGATGAGCACATTTATCTACCTAAGTAGTTGCCTAAGTCCCGCCCCGTAAGGCTGCCAGTTGCGCAACCCAGAGTCACAGCTGTGCTTAAAGACTGCGCAAAATTCCCGGATGGACGTAGCGAGGCAGTCGTTTGCATTCTCTGCGCATCCAGGATGAGAGAGCCTCATCGAGCCTTGTTGAACCCCATCACATCACGGGCATCGGTCAGCCTGTTCCCAGCAACTGCATGATTTCGAACCACCGCTGCCCTGCTTGACTCCTGTCAGATCGACCACCCCAGCGCCGTGGAGCTACAATTCAATATGGCTGCGAAGAACGATGCCATCTCCGACGATTGGGAGGAGGTTCCTGACGACAACTTCTCCGTTGTCTCCCTACCCACATCCGAAGATGCCATCGAGGTCACCGGTGGTGCCGGCGCCCACTCTGACATGCCGAATCCGACCATTGACAGCCCCATAGCTACGGTTTCCGAGAGGTTTGCATTACTAGCAATAGATTCCAAGGCTAAAGGGAAAGAGAAGGCCGCAGAGAACAACGGAGGACTGGACCCCGGCGCAGCCGCCGCTCCGCATCATGGCCTAGACAAATTCGTCACCAGTGCCTCGCCTCACAGAACAGATGCGCACCACCTAGCCGATAATCTGGATGTCGACATGGATCCCACGTTTCTTCACAAAGTCTCGACCTCGCTGATCAAGCTTATCGGCGAGATCGTGGGCATCCTCCACTTTGGCGGCCACCGTCATCTGCAGGACGGAACGCGTGATATCCGGCAGGGGATCCACAACGTATGTGACTGCCTCCGGCGTCATCTTCGTACTCTTGGCCCTATTATGGAGGGCTATTCGAAGCACTGGGACCCAGAGCAAGTCACCGTCGATCTTCCCCTCGACCCATGTCTTTACGAGTGGATGACCGACCTCAAGATCGAGCTTCTCGGCTTACAGGCTCTGCTTCAAAGCCAGATGCATTGCTCCTCGTCAAGTACATATTCTGCGTCATCCGCCCTCCAAGATCTCGTTGGGTACAGAAACTCCCTGAGAGAATTCAACGATCAAGTGTCCGGTTTCATTCCTATAATGCAAGCAGACTTCGAAGAGTTCCACACGGCTAATTTGCCCATTGTTGGTGATCCCGCCGGGTCTATCTCGCCTTGTCGTGAGAGCTTGCAGCATGTTGGAGGAACAAGGCCTGCCGCTGCAGTCTCTCTACTCAAACGTGAGCTTTATGGCCTGAAGGATCAAGTTTCTGCGTGTCTCGCAACGTTGCGTGGCTTTCTGAATAATCGCCCCTACATCAACGAGCGCACAATCCTCACACATCTTGAAGGATCATATCTCAAGGTCAAGAGTACTTTGGATGTTCTACTATCCAATCACGCTTCCGAGTGGATCGAGCATGGGCTCTCTGGTGGCATGACATATCCTGAATTCTGTCGCCTTAACTCTGATACTATTCGCTCACTGAATCTTCAACTGAAAGATGTCACAGAGAATATGAGGGAGGAAGAGTCTCGTATCTCGGCGCTCAAATACGTCAATGACCCCGACTCCCTATTGGCTGATGAGAAGCTTGAAGTTCGGGCATCAGATCTGGATGCGCTGAGGAGCATCGAAGAAGTTTTGGCATCACTTTTCCATATCAAGAAGGGCCATTCACTGGCTGACAGACTCGAAAACCTCCTCTAGAAGTAGAGGGAGGCCTTGGTTGTATGGTATCTTCCCTGTGGGGAGGACTTTCCCGTTCTATGCTGGTATTTATATTCCCATTTTAAGGCCCACATTGCGCTCTCGTAGTAGTTTCAGCCGGTAGGAAAGAACCACGCTGTTGGTTCGAGGACGTCGGTTTCCATTGTACGGAATTTGTACCTCAGAGAGCTATAAAACACGACTTCAATTCAATTGAGACATATCACACGACGAGGATCATGTCGCTCTTCACATAGGATTCGGATTTCTTTAAGTAGGAAAATGGGACGGCAGTGGATGCCTCCATCAAAACGACACAAGAACAAGCAGTGCTAGTCCTTGGGATGAGCCTAGACTGCAGAAGCAACTGAACAGACGGTGCCCGCAAACGAGTATATGGTAGGACCCCCATTATTCTCCACTCAGGGTGGGTGGCGAGAAGTCTGCACTCATAAACTGTATGGGGGCTTTATACCAGAAGGTTCTTGCACATTCTGATAAACAACTTATGCATAAGAATAAAATCCGACTCGGTAGAATGGCCGTTACATCACCGCGGGCGCTGCGGTGTCAATGTGATATAAGCTTCATGCACTGGATGATAAGACTTGCATATGTAGGATCATCCCTTAACAACGCCAAAATGGTAACCCTGCGGACGCTATGCGGCGCAGCTGAAGGAGCACTTTGCAGGTCGCGGGTCGAGCCAATTAAGCGTACGCCGTAGCAAGGGAGGCGAAGAGGGGGTAGCGTGCAAGGTCGCTACCAAAGAGTACGGCACTTTTTAAGGCATCGGAGCTGCAGCCAACAAGCAGCATGGTACCAACATAGCTATTCAATGTTATTCCAGTGCTCTCTCTACGGGATTCCTGTTCTTGTCAACTTGGGACCATACAGCTTGATACCCACCTTCAGTTTCAGTCCTCAACTTTCCCAAACGACCCACCAACTCCAGTCCTTCTTTAACCATGGCTTCCGCCGCTGCTACACAGGCATGCGATCTGCTGAAGGCTGCATTTCCTGGGCAGGTCACAACCCTTGCCGATGGGCCAGAGTATGAGTCCAAACGAGACCAGCCATGGTGGGTAGATAGTCCTGACTGCCCTGTGCTTCCTCACTAATGGCTTTTGAAGGTCTCAGACCTGTTGGGTGCCATCTACCGCTTTCGTCGCCCTGAATAGTGCCGGTGAAGTTGCCTCCGCGCTTGCAATCATCAAGAAAACAGGTTGCAAATTCGCAATCCGATCCAGCGGCCATAACCCCAACGTTGGCTTCAGCAGTGTTGACGACTCAGGAGTGGTATTCGACCTGCGCGGACTGAACGAGAAAACCTTGGATAGCGACGGTGTCCTGCATGCTGGACCTGGAAACACGTGGGGAGAAGTTTACCAATACCTTCAGGGGAAGGGACTTTCGCCTACCGGTGGTCGAGAGGTCCAAGTCGGACTTGGGGGCTTCCTCACTGGAGGTATTGTTTCTGCCCATAGTGCAATCAAGAATATTAACGAGCTATAGGCGGTTATCCCCCTTTCCCCAGCCTCCACGGAACTGGACCGGACAATGTTAAGGGGTTCGAGGTGGGCTTTTTGAACATTTCCAATTGTATTTCTGTTGAGCGTTGCTTGCTGACAACCTTGATGAAAGATTGTTCTGGCCGATGGAAATATTGTTGAAGCTAACGCCAGTATCAACGAGAGCTTGTGGCGTGCCATTAAAGGCGGCACCTCCAACTTCGGTTAGTTGAAAGCTCATGTCGCTAAGTTAGTCATTAACGTTGTCGGAGGCATTGTCACTCGTTTCGACATTGAGACACACCCATTGATCAAGGCCCAGTTCACCATTGACATGTATGACCCGTCTGACTATATGAACATCAATGCGGCAACTCTCTCTGTACAGGACGAGATGGAAAAGGACCCTAAGCTCAACCTATTCACTAACTACAATATGGGTTTTGTCGCCGTATTCCAATTGTACGCGGACTGCCCCACGGAACGACCTAAGGCTTTCGAAGTGTTGGAAAATCTCCCGAGCAAGATTAACACGCCTTTGCCAAAAACCGACGGTACCGTTCTTTCCTTCGTTGAAACACTTAGCAAGATGGGTCATGTGCCCTTTTCCCTCAAGTAAGCCTCAACGTGCCGGCCTTCGGAAGGTAACAACATTTACTGACCTTTACAGTCGTAAGATTGCTACCCTCACCACCAAGCTTTCTCAGGAGCTGTACGACGACGTATATAAGCTTTGGCAAGGGATCTCAAAGAAAATACCAGACGGGGCCATGCTTCATTACACTATCCAGCCTCTGTCGACGCATGCTGTTCAAGCGGGGGAGCACAGGGGAGCAAATATGCTGGGATTGAAGAAGATCCCACAGACTTGTAAGCGCCTTACCAGATGGCTCATTTTTGTCTACTTAATCTTAACTTATCTTAACTTCACAGGGTGGGTGTTTACTGCCGAATGGCCAAAGGATCTTGAAAAAGGCTCAGCTGTAGTAGAAGCTCATGAGGAGCTACTTCAGGGCGTGGAAAAGATGGCCCGGGACAAGGGTATACTCCTCGACTACCTGTGCCCGAGTTTTGCCGGGGCCTCGCAGAAGGTGATGCGTAGCTTTGGAGGACCAAATCTACAGAGGATTCAGGATATAGCAGCGAACTATGACCCTGATGGAGTGTTCCAGAAGTTACAGAATGACGGCTTCCTGCTCAGGTATGCTTAATCTGATAGAGCCAAGGCTTGATCAGACAGAGGGCATCAGTGGTTGGGGCAAAATGAAACAGGCGCCAAAGGAATCTTCTCGGCATCAGGAAATGGCACGTCAACTGGGACATGGATGGCCGTCCTAAGCACAGTTCCAGGCTTGTACCAGTTGTGCCGTAGACCTACATTTCGCGGTACTACTTGAGCAGAGATGGATAAGAATTAAATGTACGGTGTCTAGCGAATGGCTGTCCGTAAGCAGTGTAGTAAGCCAGGGCTATCAAGGGATGTGTTTTGCGAGATACTCAGACGCATTGATTCCTCCAGAAATTACTCAGCGATACATTTATCACAAGGTCAATGCTACGTGCCATTCCGTGCCGCAACTCTGCATCGAGTCGACTCCTGTATAAGCCCTAAGAACATCGTGGTGGCCAATCGAAGGCATGCCTGATGTGAGCGCCAGTGGCAGTGGATCCATCCTCAGCTGCCACCAACTGTGAGCGATAAGGTGCGAAGATAATAGATAGAGAGAGACAGAGGTGAGATGTCGTGCCCCACGACGAGATCCTAGGAACCTATTCTTTTGCACTTACACAGATTGATCCCTACACTTAGTTACCAGCCAGCCTCCTTTCTTTCCCCCTGCCTTTCCCGAAAAGATTCAAAATTCTCGCAGCCGTTTCACGTTGAAAAGCTATGCCTCAAAGTCGCCGACTTGCTGGCTTTACCCGTCCATGTGGCATGATCTGGTTCTCTATTTGCCGTAAGGCTTCGTCATTTATCGCTTCCACAGCTCTACTAATCCTCCACTATAGTGCACTGGGAAGCTTTACTAGATGCAATACGTCGTGATGGTCTCGGAGCATTCGCACGACTATCGCAAGTTCGAGATACCGCTTTAGCAAAATTGCTCTGTATAACCTGTAACCTGCTTGCTTGCCGTGTCTGCCATCAACTTGGTTTCAGGCTGACAATTCTGCGCAGCTGACGGTTTTATCGCTTTCGAAGACACAACCATTGTCCCCTCGCTTGTACAGGCCGCTAGTGGTGTTGTCCTCGAACTAGGACCTGGGTCAGGCAATCAGATTCATCGTTTTGATACCTCTCGTGTTAGTCATGTTTACGGTGTGGAACCCAACCCCCACTTTAAACCCGATATAAATGCCAAGTTAGAAAAACATAGCTTGCAAGATAAGTATAAGCTTGTAGTTGCTAGCGTTGAAGATAGCGATATTCTGAGAAAGGAAGCAATAACGGAAGGTAGTTTGGATACCGTGCTATGCATCCAAGTCCTGTGTGCAGTGCAGGACCCAAAGGCTGTAATGAAGGAGTTGTGGAAGCTGCTAAAACCTGGAGGAAAATTCATATTTTGGGAACATGGATGGAGTAAAAACCGTTTAACGATTGCAGAGCAAGGTATGTCTCTCGTGAATCTAGAGAATGGTACTGAGAGACTAACATGAAGAAAGCCTTGTTGAATCCTGCTTGGAGCACATTTGTCGGATGCCACATGACACGAAATGTGTTGGCCGACATTCTTAACAGTGGAGAGTGGGAGAACCCAGAGGCTATTGAAGAGCCTGAAGATCATTTTAGCTGTCTACCTCGGATTCAGGGTGTGCTCATTAAGAAAGCTTAATGCAGCTCTTTGACGGCATCGACCAGAAGGTTAACACCCGTACTGTTGAGGCAAACCTCCCTCCGGGGCTTGTCCTGTAGGTAATGAACATATCATTGTTGAAGTGGTTTCCGCCATCAAACCCGACATAACTTTCTCAGTAATTCTACTTCATGCACAATAAAGAAACCATGGAGCAAAGACAAGAAGTTGTCTCGTGACAGAGGGCACTTGACAAACTCTCTCACTTGTTTCAACTCATTCTGATCAACACACGATAATAAGACACTAGGTACCATCGGGATTCTCATCTGGACCACTCCCTGCGTCGAATTGATTGACTCAAGGCCATTGAATCTGGTGTGTCATTTGCAGCAAAGTGGAAAATTCGCTCAGGGTCACGAATTCATTCCAAAATCAGGCTCTCTTGGTACTTCTTACTGGCAACTGGAACTCTACCTGCATGCCTGGCGGCGCCCGCATCAACTACCAGCGGATCATGCCTGCTGACTATGATACATGATAATCCGTTACCAGTGTAGGAGGCACGAATGCACACCAATTTCGCCTGAACCGTTCGCTGGTTGCTTATTGGCAATTCTGACAAGACGAGCCCTGCAGAAGCTTACATATGTATTACATATGTCCATATGAAGCCAAACCTTGCAGCGCATGCCGCATTCCCGAGAGGTGCTCCAAAGGGCATCGAGGTTGCCAGTCTGCAGTATTGGAAACAAGCTTGGGGGCGAGTAGCGCTAAGGTATTGGGTATTAGCTATTTCCATCGAACGCTGCAAGCCACTTGATGTTTACTAGTTGGTGCAATGAGGGGACCGGTATGGCAGTCAAACGATCGACATCGTTGATGGTTTAGCGACGATCGATATGTAAGATAACAAGGTACTATTGGTGGCACTTGTGGCGCAGGAGCCACCCTGGAGTATGTAATAATAGATTAATGAACCAGCGGATTTTCAAGTCACCATATCTTTATCATGGGAGGACAAAAGATCGAACGGGCCCTGCGATTGATGACAGTACCAAGCCCAATGTTTGGTATGGGCTGCCTCACTGCTTGGCCCACCACGCACCAGAGGTGGATTGGGTCATGGCCCCTCTCGTAATATTGACAGATGCCCTCATGGAGTGGACCTTGACATCGCAACGTGTCAATGTTGAGCGCTCCGGTGAAAAGGCGGTGCCGAGCATGAAGTGGAGCCATTGATTGAAGCCGATGGAGCCGGTTTATAAAGTGGCTCGGGGCAACGGGGCTCTATTGGTATTAGGACGACCCTTCCTGCATCTACGCGACCCTTATGCCATGCTTGTGCAACTTCACGATTGCCTCCGTTGCCGATCAGCCGTTTGACACCAGCCAGATGTGAAAGACCAAAGAAACTGACAGGCCTTAGCTCGCCCATCTCAGCCCTTCTAAAGGGCTGGATCTTGACCGCCTGGCCGGCCCCTGGCCGGACTGGATCCACACCCCTGGCGGACCCCACGCCAGAACACCGGCTCGGTTTCGTGATGGGTCAATGTGCCCATTCACTCGCCATGCGGGGACGGATTGCCAAAATTGTGCAGCTGATCTTGTAGAGCAACAGCCTCAACAAGCACTCTGGCGGGCCTGGGCACAGGTCTTCGAGAGGGGTAACCGAGATATGACACCATTCCGCTGCTGCGGTCACTCGTAGCATCGACACCAGAAACGAGGGGTTCGATATCGCCCGGACCACCAGAAGGCCTTACGAGCATATTCCCGCTGCACGTGAATGACACGGCAGCATTATGGAGAGGTGTCCTTGTTACGTGGACCCTGTGCTCGTTAAGATCAGCCACCGTACGAGGGGAAGCCGCCAATGACGACGGGCCAAAGAGTGCAACTGAGGCGTAGGATGTAGACCTGACCTGACATGCTTCAGCTTGAGGCTGCATTACGCATTAGGTCTTGACTATGGACCAAGGTGGAGTATGGGGGAGATCCATCACTTCTGCCTATAAAAGGTGGTCAGGCTACTCTGTCTCCTCGTTCGATTCTGTGTTTCTCCTGTTCACCATTATCAAATTTCTAAATCATACACAATGGCTGGAAACTTCTTCGCTACGAGCCAAGACATTCGTCTTGAGGACCGCCACATCCTCCGCGCCCGCCTGCAAAGAGTCGATGGCGAGTGGGTTGATGCTGAGATCAACTTGAACGACCACATTGGCAATGACAACGGTAAGTTATCGTTCAATAGTTTGGCTAGAGCCATTGCTAATATGCACGCTCGCAGGTCGCTTCGCATGGGATAGTGCTGGTAAGCTCAATGAAGACAGCTTGAATGTTCAGGAACACAGCAAACTCACGCGTCATTAGGTTTTGCCGACTCGGCTGAGGACATCTCCGTCTCCGTTGAGGGTGCTGGTCCTGTCTGCGTCCTTCGCGCCAGACTTCGCAATGAGTCGGGCGAGTGGCAGGACTCTGACCTCAACTTGAGCGAGCGCATGGCCAACAACGATGGTGGCTTCTACTGGAGTGAGTAGATCCTATCCTACATTCATACAAGTGGCACTGAGAACTTACAATGTTGTATAGCCTAAGAGGTTCATATGAAGATGGTGGCAAAGACCCTATGAGTACAATGTGTAGTGCATAGCTAGCCTAGGCCCCTAATAAAGATTGCAAAAACATCCGTGTCAAAGTATATCACTTGGTGGTAAATTGTGTAACACACGAATTTGGTGTCAACCCCAGAACAGAGGACGTCACATGTTTCCAGTCCCAGGATATAACTTATATTCTTTGACTAATTATGATAGTTTCAAGGTGGTACAGTCCCTGAAATCTTGGAAGGGTTGCATAGTAATAATCAGTCACGATGTTGACTATAGAAGTTAGGACGTATCAAGGCCGGAAGGCCGGTGGCGTACTTACGGCCTTAAACCAACTCCCTGTGCGGATCTTCAACTGCAGGCCCAGCAGAAGTGAACAACTACCAACGTAAGTTTATACGCCTCAATTGACGCTACTACACCATCTGTAGCAGACAGTAGGTACACAGCACCGAGGGGAAAGAACCCCCCTCCCCTGGTTATGTTCCCTAGAGAAGAAACTATAAAGCGTTCACTACAATGCGTCGTTGATATTCGGCCCAATAATGTAAACTAGATACATCATTGTGTTATGGAAAGGCTACTTGAATGCTGGTAAGTATGAGTTGTATCGTAAGTGGGTTCGTTGGGTTATGGCGAGAAGTCTCACGCCTGGTGGCACAGTTGTGGTAAGTTGGTTAATGCAGCCCGGATGACATTGTAGTTATTGACAAAATCTCCAATATCCCAGTAGCTTGCTCATGGAGCACCCTATCGGGCAGAATGTTTTCTTTCTTCATATATCTTCTCTTCATAAGTACGATCAAACCTAGTTCAGCAAGGAACGGCAAATTTAAACACATCAGTGCGAAGTCCTCTTGAAATGCATATCACTCTTCCGAGATTGCTAACCTAGGTATTTGAAAGCATCGGCGTTCTAGGCCTGAGAGGGGAAGAAACTGGCGACATAATCTGTATCGTGCACATAACCCTCCATGACGGGATATGGACACGCCGATGGCACGTCAAGAACCAACACAGGTCCTCCGTGCACAGTTCGCCACCAACTTTCTCCATCCACAACTTTGCAAGTCGGCAGCCATGGCATGCACGATGATACCCGCGGACTGCCAAATTCAGTAACCGACCTTCTCACGGAAAGCTTAAGTTCAGCGCGATCGTAACCTTAAGTCGGTTCCATTGTACAAATCTTAGCGGCCGAGACCCGAGACCCTGGAAACCCCCTGTCAGCACTTTTTTGCTTCCAAATTTGTCGAAGGACCTAAGATCACAGCCCCTGGGCCGAAGTCTAATGTCATCTTTCTGACCCATCCCGCCTAAATTTAGAGACCACCAGAAAGCGGCCTTATCATCAGCCTGACTTGTACCAGCACATTGGCAGACAGTCCACAATGTGAATATACATGCGGCATTCGTGATGAATCAATGAGATAAGGCCATGCCACCTTATCTGAAACCACAGTTGGAAGTTATCCTCGGGGATGAAGGGGGTCGGCGGCAAAATCACGAGTCCCCGATGCTAGCGCCGCGGTGTAAGACATTCTGCGATGCCCTAGCCGAAGCTTGACGTGGGCCTGATGGGCCGCTCAGCCGTTCTACTGCTAGCAATAACCTTGCTGACGACTTCACAGAAGGCTTTCCTCTCTCTTCATCCGCGACACCACTACGGATGGCACATGCAGGTTGGTCTCGGCGTGTGGCCAGAACACCGAGTTGACTTTGTGGTCGGCAGGTCGGCGCCTCGAAGGAGCGATAGAGTCGGTGCCCAGTCACTTCAGGAAGTCTATACGTCGCGTCTGGCTTGGGCAATATCTGATATATATTCTCACAGGGTCTCTGCCGTTGCCAATTTGTCTTATTATCTGTCTTGGCATTCTTTCTTTTCATAGAATTCCCCGATTCAACACTTCCAAGAGTCCATCTGTCCTGCATAGACTTGCATAACTGTTATACTTATATATTTATCAGCACATCTTTCTCCGTCCCAAGTATATCAGTGCCCCTCCTTATAAGAAGAAATGGCTTCGGCCTTCAATTGGGTGGTAGCTGCGGGCTTTACTTCAAGGCTTGTAGCTGCATTCCAAATCGCAGGGTCTGGGTGTAAGTATATTACACAATCGTTCTGCACCAGCCGATATACTAACATGGCTAGCTATGTCCAATCTTGGCACTCCGGAGGCCGCTTTCCTACCGAAGTTCATTGGAGCCCAAGTCAATCAGACCTTGAATCTGCCATGGGGTGGAATGAATGTTACAAATACAGACCCTTACTCATCCCGCCCAGACACAGGTGTCACGCGTACATATGACTGGACGATTACAAGACAAACTGGTTCACCTGATGGCGTACCAAATGAACTTCTTCTCATCAATGGTCAATTCCCAGGACCTTTGGTGGAGGCCAACTGGGGCGATTGGCTCGAAAGTAAGTGTTCAACACTTGGCTGCCTATATAGTCATCGCTGACTCGTCTCAGTCACCGTTCACAACAACATCGATAATGAAGGAACAGCTATTCACTGGCACGGCACACTACAACAAGAATCACCATGGCAAGACGGTGTCCCTGGAATAACTCAGTGTCCCATTGCTCCTGGCTCTACGTATACCTACAGGTTCAAGCCAGATCTATACGGAACTTCTTGGTACCATTCACACTGGGAATCACAGTATGCCAGTGGCCTTACCGGGCCGATGGTTGTGTATGGACCTAATCATGTGGACTACGACCTTGACCTTGGCCCTGTCATCGTCTCGGACTACTTCCATGAGTACTACACCGAGATCGAGGCCGGCTTTCTGGCCAAGAATGTGGAGGTGACATCCTCGGACAACAATTTGATCAACGGGAAGAACTCCTTCGGCGACAACGATGCGCCGCTGGCCTCCTTCAATTTCACCTCGGGCAAGTCTATCCGACTTCGTCTCATCAACCCATCGGCCTTCGCGGTTGAGAAGATATCCATTGATGGCCACAGCATGACAGTGATCGCCAACGACTTCGTGCCCGTGCAGCCGTACGTGATCGACACGGTCACGCTCGCCGCCGGGCAGCGCACCGATGTCGTGGTGCAGGCAAACGGTAGCTCTACCGACTCAATCTGGCTGCGTGCTTTCAAACCGCCCAACTGCTCGCCCAGCAAGCCGGACTCCAACCTGGCTCTGGCCGCCATCTTCTACGAGAACGCCGACCGGACTCAGGCGCCCGCGTCCGTTGCCAACGCCGATGCCTACAACGACTACTGCGGGAACGACCCGCTGTCCCAGACGGTGCCCTTCTTCCCGATGACGCCCGGCGATCCGGACGTGACGGAGATTGTGCCGATCGAGCTGCGTGACAACGGCACTGCCGATCTCTGGTACATGGCCGACCGCACGTTCCGCGTCGACTACAATACCCCGCAGCTGCTGAACGCGGAGGAGGGCAACCTGACGTTCCCGTACATTCAGAACGTGCACAACTATGGATCCAACAATTCGTTGCGCTTCGTCATCGAGAACCCCGGTGCCGAGCCTCATCCCATGCATCTCCACGGCCACAACTTCTGGGTCTTGCAAGAGGGCCCATGTGGCGGCGATACCGTGGGCTCAGACACGCAGGGCGATACTTCGGGGGGCATGGCCAGTGCCGCAGGTATAGGACCTGGTCAGGTCGGCCACGGCCCTCCTGGTGGGCCGGTCGGTCAGCCCGGTGCTGGTGTGCATATGAATTACGCCCGCGATAAGGCCGTGAAGCGTGATGGGAGTGATAGCGGCAGCGGCAGCTCCGGCCTGTATGGGAACTGCTGGGACGGAAGCATCACAAACCCAAACAACCCGCAGCGCCGCGATGTCCAAATGCTGCTCCCTGGACACTACATGGTAATCCAGTGGAACCAAGATAACCCAGGCATCTGGCCTCTTCACTGTAAGTATCCTTCACCGAGTCTATCATAGCTCATACTGACAATCTTCAGGTCACATTGCCTGGCACGTGGCTGCTGGCTTCGCCTGGATAGTTCTTGAGAGACCCGACGACATCATGAAGTACGGTGACATTCCTAGCTTCATGAGTCAGACTTGTCAAGACTGGGACACCTGGTCTAGTGCGGATGTCGTTGGTAAGTAGTTTGTGCTCTTGTCGCAGCTCATGACAGTAAGCTAACAGTTGAAGACCAAATTGGCGACGGCATCTAAGTGCGATATCTTCGGTGCAAGTAGAGGATGCTTTAAAGTTGGGGGTTTCCTTTTCAGTTCATAATCTATACACAGCGATCATCGTTGGCGTTTTGTTTCGTATATTAGACTCATGGATCAACCTCTGGTCCACACATAATGTATCATTAATGACACTATTCTTCGTTTGAAGCACTATACATTGTCGTAGTACCGAAACCTGTGCCTCAGGCATAAAGCCGTAAAGAAGTATTGTGAGCTCAGAAGCAATGCCTTCGGGGATGTCTGTGGAAGAATAGAAGCTTGGATGAGCGTTAATCCATCAATCGACACCCGCTCCCGTTCCCCTCTAAGAATCTCGAGACGCTTTGCTATATTGTTGAGAACCTGATCAATCGTCAAGCCCACCCCATTCGCTATCCTGCCCATTATCGTTACCAGCCTCTGGTTCTTCGAGCTTGCGCTTTTTGCTTCCAGCAATCGCGCCTCGTTTATTATTCTCACGCTTCCGTTCCCAAGCACTCTTGGTTGTAACCTGGGCTTTAGTTCCTCTCCGGGATTCCACACCTCTCTCCTTGAGTTTCTTCCTGTCCTCCTTCTTTACCTTTGGCAGTGCGTCCATGAGCCACTTCGGAATTCCTTCCTCGCTGCCCTTTCCGGCCTGTTTTTCGCTGAGGGAAATTACATTGGCAATGTTCTTCAGGTAAGGCAGATCCTCCTTGGTGTAGAATGTGACCGCAACACCGCCTTCGTGACCAGCCCGGCCAGTTCGACCGACCCTGTGGACGTACGCTGCTGCAGAGAGTGGAATGTCATAGTTGATAACACCATTGACGCCACGCAGGTCAATCCCACGCATTAGCAAGTCGGTCGTGATCAGTACCCAAATCTCGCCAGCCCGGAATCGTGCTATGATCTTGGATCGAGCGTATTCGGAAAGGGACGAGTGGAGAGTCGCAATCCGTGAGGATCCTCCAGCCTCGGCAGGAAACTCAAACTTGAGTTCGTCGTGCAGCGAAGTCGCTCTCTCAATGGTCTGCACAAAGACCAGGAACGGCAAGCGCATGTCCGGAATGGTGGAGCTGGAAGAACTAGGATGAAGCAGCTGTCGCAATGTATAGAGTTTCCCTCGTTCGTTGTCACCAGTGAAGAGTAGTCGGTGATTGACACTTGGCACCGCGGTATCCTTTAGTCCAACCACTAACCTGACCAAGGGAGCCATGGACGAGTTGGAGTTGGGCGACGAAAGGGTCTCCAATAGGAAAGCCTCTATGTTTGACCCCATGGTGGCAGACCAACACGTGAACTGGAGGTCTTCATGAATGCAAGATGACACCAAGCCAAGTGTTTGGTCCCGGAATAGGGGGTCAAGCAGGACGTCGGCTTCGTCAAGAACGATCGATCGAACTGTCGGTAATGTCCTTTTCGACTTGGTCCCTTTTTTCAGAAAGTTGAGAAGTAACATGGGTGTCGTGACCAATATATCAGCTTTTGTTACTGGTCGGTTCGCTGAATCCGCCTCGCTTTCTTCCTCCTCTTCCTCCTCAGACTCATTCGAGTTCGCGGCATCTTCGCTTTTGCTGTCGCTTTCATTGTCACTTTCGTCGAGAGCACTGTCGCCATGGGCCGATTCCGCCGTCCCGGCTTCTGCTGTGATCCGCATTCCCTTCTTGAACCCCACGATCTTCACTCCCATGCCTTCGGACAGTCGCTGCCCCTCGGTGACAATTTGATGTGCAAGCTCCCGGGTCGGTGCAATCACGAGAGCTTCGAGAGTGTGACCTTTAGATTGAGCACCTCCCGCTCGGCGCCGCAGAATCGCATTCATAATCGGGATCAAGAAGGACAGTGTCTTCCCACTTCCAGTCGGTGCCACCGCAAGGAGGTTCACGGGCTTGTCTGTGGGCATCTCTAGACCCTCAGGCAAGGCCTGTCGTAGCGCAAGACTCGAATCGATCAGCAGCGGCAGGGTGGCGAGCTGAGGCTCAGTGGGTAGCCTGAAACCTTGCTTGGCCAGATTCTCGACCAGCCGCGGGGAGATGTTGTAGGTCGACCGCAATTCATTGAAGCTGACCAAAGGCTGAGGGTACAGGGACTTCTTCTCTTTGCCTTTCTGCTGCACCTGCGCTTTGCGCTTGGGCTTCTTGACCTTGGACTTTTCGTTCTCGTGTTTGGATAGCAGGGTAAATTTCAGGCGGTGCGACCGAAGGACTTGTCGAATCTCGTCCTGGTCAAGGAGTTGCGGGCTCGGTCCACCTTGGGAGCTCTTGGGAATGTCCTGGGTGGCCGTCGCGGCAGCTGCAGGCTTCTTGTTCTCGGGTGGTGCGAAGAAGTCGATGTCTTGTTCGTCGTCTTTGGAGGCGACGTTGAGCGCCTCTTCGTTGCGTTTCCGCTTCACGCCGCGGGTCGCATCGTGGTATAGCTGGGGGTTGCTCGGTTTGGAGGGCGGCGCAAGCGTGTCTGCAGACTTCGGCGTCTTCTTTGTCCCTCGTGAAAGGACCTTGAGGAGGTCCATGGCTGTTACGGTGAAGCTCTACAGCAAGGAAGTATTAGACAATTGCCTGCTTCAGCACTGTCATCGTAGCTTACACGGCACTGCAGGAGACAGGAAAAAAAAATCTCGGCAGAGGTAGGTAGGTGGGTTCTTTCTGCCATTACGGATACTTTTTGCTGGGTCGCCCAGTCTGCTTAGTGGGGCAGGCGGTGTACTTCGACCTTCAGCCCCACTAAGTTGCAGAGGTCAGAGGGGTCGGTCGAGGTTGTGTAGCGACAAAGCAGCTCGTAAACGTGGGATGCAAGTCGGAGCTCGGGTTCGGAATACCACGCGCTCGTCGCCCGGCCTGCATGTAACCAATCGGGTGTCTCATGTGCGACGTTCTTCCTAGGCATCTGCCAAATGTTCGCGTCCCTTGTCAACTAGTCTCATCGGTGGCTTGTCGGGCAAGGGGTTGCGACACGCGTGGTCCAAGTCGGACAGTATTGTGCCTCATTGACCAGTGCTGTGTTGTCTGCTTATCGGATTGCTGGCCCCACGGCTGAACCTGGCAGTTCGGAGTCATTGGTGATGAATTATGTTGATGACTGATTCGCGCATGAACGGAGGCATAGGTGGTGTACGCAACCAGTCATACATATACTTAAGTAGGCAAACATTCCAATCACAATCCTCCGCTCTCGTAAGCCGTCATCAAATATTCGAAGACGGCGGCGACCACGCGTAGAGATGCGCATTACATGATTCTCCCACCCGTATTGACCCATCACCCGCCGTCATCTCCAGCCCTTGAGTTGGGCTTTGCACCTTTGTGGCATACAGACAGGCAAGCATCACAATGGCACCGGAATTCTGCCTTCCCGCTAGTGACAAGACTTTTGGTCCTCGAGTCGATGTCAGCTGCCGTTCCTTTGACTTTACACTTTTGTTCGAGGATGTTGTCTTTGCAAGCCTGCCCGTCGCTGCGTTCCTAGCGCTAATACCTCCTCACGTTACTTTCCTGGCGAGGAGGTCTGCGAGCTGCTCCGTGAGATCGAAGCTGTTAGGGAGCAAACTGGTAGGAACTTTCTATTTGGAACTTAATACCAAAACTGAGCTGAGCCCATATCACAGACCGCTTTGGCGGGCGTCCTCATAACACAGGTGGTGTTTCTTGCTCTCAGATCACAGAATGAAGACCTCACTACTGCCGCATCGTCAAGCGCGGATGTGCTCTCTGTGGTTGGAACTGCAGCTGCCGCCTGGCTCTCGTACATGGACCATCAGCGCTCGCTTCGCCCATCCACTCTTTTGAGCCTATACCTTTCTGCCCTGACCATTGTTGATATAGCGAGGGTTAGGACTTTGTGGCTCATTGGCAATGGTTCTCGAGAGTCAAGCGTGATGACGGCGACACTTATTCTTACAGGCATCGCTTTAATACTGGAATCAATCGAGAAGAAATCCTCTCTGGCAAAAGATAAGCGTGCTGGTGCTCCAGAAGAGTATAGCGGTGTTTGGATCAGGACAGCGTTCGCATGGCTTCTCGCTACATTCCGCACCGGGTACGCCAGAATCATTACCTTGGATGATCTGCCAAGTCTGGACACCCGGCTAGAGAGCAAAGTGTTGCGCGCGAAGCTGGCGAAGACCTGGGGTGGTTGTAAGTCCCCATCTCCTATTGGATGCCCACTGCACCCATGTTAACGAGAACAGATGACCATCAAAAGAAGCACAGTCTTCTGAAGGCATGCATGCGCAGCTACCTTCCCTCGTTTTTGTCAGCAGTCATTCCTCGGCTTTGCAAGACGGCTTTCAGTTTCACACAGCCATTTTTGATTGACACGACGGTTTCTTATGTCGGCGAGACTCAACCTGATGCCAATTACGGCAAAGGCTTGATCGGTGCGTGGGCTTTGGTTTTCTTGGGGATGGCGGTAAGGGTTTACGTTGACTAATGGTTGTCGTTCCAGCTGACGAGAAAGACTAGACATCACAGGCGATATATCAATACCAAAATACTCGCTGGGTGACCAGACTGAAAGGGGGGCTCATCGGGCTAGTTTACCAAGAAACGTTGAAAGCAAGAGCAGTTGACCTTGGCGAAACCACAGCTATAGCCTTGGTGGGCACTGATATCGAACGGATTGGTCAAAGTGTGCGAGTCGCTCACGAGGTCTGGGGTTGCCTGCTTGACATTGGGATCGCGATCTGGCTTTTAGTAGATCAAGTGTCATTAGCTGCGTAAGTCCTCGGTCTCATACCCCATTCAATTTGGAGATCAGTACGTCAATAGTGATGCACATCGAGCTCTCTGGGGTATGATCAGGTTTCAGGTCAAGCTTGACGGCGCCGACGTGCAAAGCTCCATTACATCCCAACGAAACGCATCGTTGAGAATGAGAGATTGGCTGACATGCAATGTAATCAAGACTTGCCCCTGTTGCAATCATTATTAGTAAGCCTCTTGATATTGCTCCTGATGGGGAGAACACAAGCTGACTGATCAAATATAGTATTCTTTGCTGCGACACATCCTTTGACACGGGCAGCGAAAAGTGCTCAGAAGCAGTGGATCGAACGAGTCCAAGATCGCCTTCGTGTCACTTCAAGTATGTTGGATGACATGAAAGCGGTCAAGATGCTCGGACTTTCTCGAGTCATGTCAAACATTGTCCATGGATTGCGAAAAACCGAGATTGAAACCTCAAAAAGGTACCGAAAGCTACTTGTCTACTTAATACTGATGTGTAAGTCTTGGTATTTGTTTGCCTTGTTTCTTGCATGAGCACGATGCTTATTTCAGTACTTAGCCAACTCCCCGATCAACCTCGCCCCCGTTGCGACATTTGCCGTTTATGTGGTTATGTCGGTGTACTGGAAGAGCGGATCTCTCCTTACGGCACAGGCGTTTACTTCCATCACCTTGATCAACTTGCTCATAACCCCAGTTATAATATTCATACAGAATGTTCCTGAGCTCTTCAAGTCCGTCGGCAGTTTTGAACGAATCCAAGAATACTGCAACTGCGCACCGCAAGGTACTAACCCTGACACAGCAGTCACTAGGATGCAGGACGGATCAGCGATTGGTCTTGAACCACTCTCTCGCTCTACATCAAAGCCCACCCAAGGCGATAATAAATATTCCGTTATCATGGAGTCCCAAAGCTTTTCCTGGGGCAGATCCAAGTCTTCGGTGTTGAATGACATCAGTATGGACATTGCTCGGGGGAGTATTACCATCCTGGTAGGGGCAGTGGGAAGCGGCAAGTCTACACTCTTAGAAAGCTTGCTGGGTGAAACATTCAGTACGCAGGGAAATCCTTGGAAGGGATTATCCTCGGTTGCGTACTGTTCGCAGCAGCCTTGGCTCGAAAATGGAACGATACGCAGCAACATCATTGGCGTGACTCCATACGATAGAGATTGGTACAGTACCGTAAAGTTTGCGTGTAATCTGGACCAAGATCTGCAAGAGCTGGATAAAGGTGACCGAACACTGGTTGGAAGCAAAGGGCTGAACCTCAGCGGTGGGCAGAAACAGCGCATTGTGAGCTAAGCTCCGGCCCAGTGCTTCATACTGTTGACACTAACACCATCTAGGCTTTGGCCCGAGCAGTCTACTCACGTAAGAACATCGTCTTTCTAGACGACGTATTCAGTGGCATGGATGCGCATACAGTCGATGCTGTATCACGTAGGCTTCTGGGCAACGACGGTCTTTTCCGTGCACGATCTACGACGGTCCTCCTAGCTACGCACAGCCGTAGGTGGTTGAGAAAGCCCGATATTGGGATGAAAAAGCTGACTTCTTTAGACAAGCTTATGAAGCTGGCTGACAGTATCATTGCGCTCCAGGATAGCAAGATCATAGAAACCGGAAGTCCCGATTCTCTCCTAAACAACGGTGGATATGTATCGAAACTTGGCCTACACCTGCAGGAAGCTGGCGACTGTTGCGACTCTGACAGAGACAACGTGGCGCGCGTAAGCAGTACAACTGCCGAATCGACAGCATCAGCGGAGTTCAGAGATGAACCGGATGATACAGCCTGGGACACAAGACGCAAGAACGGCGATTTTTCTGTGTATGGATACTATTTTGCAAGTTCCGGATATTCTGTCGTTGGGGTATCCGTGCTCTTTATCGGCACTTGGGTCTTCTGTAGCGAGTTTCCTAGTAAGGGTCCCTTCAGTCTCTCAACTGAACAGGCGAAACTGATTCTGTTCCGCAGCGGTCTGGTTGAAGTGGTGGTCGGAAGCAAATGCTGCTGAGCCGAATGCCAATGTCGGCATGTACATGGGCGTCTACGTCGCACTCAGTCTAACAGGACTTTTGCTCGCCTGCATTGCCTGTTGGTTTATATTTATAACCATACTAGCAAATTCGGCGTACCGATTACATTCTGACCTTTTAGAGGCTACTCTAAGGTATGATGGGCTTTGATGTCTTGTATGCAATCATCCACTGACCAGCCAGTGCTCCGTTTCGGTTCTTCACTTCAACTGATACAGGATCATTGACCAACCGGTAATTCAACAACAGTAAATCGCCATGGATTATACTAACGTTTGATTATGTAGCTTTAGTCAAGATATGGAACTGATAGATATGAATCTTCCTATGTACATGGTAAACTACATCACGAGTGAGTAGGCTTCCTCATTCCACGCACCATACAGCACCTTTCTAACGGATATGAACAGCCGCTTTTTCTACCATCATCAAAGGCATAATTCTGCTAGTATTCTCGCAGTACCTTGCTGTGACTATGCCCTTCGTGATTGCAGTACTGTATGTCCTTCAGTCCTTCTACCTACAGACCTCACGACAAGTCCGTTTGCTTGAGATCGAAGCAAAAGCCCCGCTGTACACCCACTTCATCGAATCTGTGGCCGGTGCTGCGACAATACGCGCGTTTGGCTGGCAGAAACATTATCAAGAACGCAATTATCGCTTCATCGACAGCTCGCAGAGGCCCGCCTACCTGCAGTACTGCATCCAGCATTGGTTGTCGTTCGTGATGGATATGGTCGTCACTGGCATAGCAGTTATTCTCCTAGCTATTGTGGTGACTTGGAGGGATAAATTTAGCGCAGGAAGCGTCGGTGTCTCTCTCGTCATGGTAATTACATTTAGCACGAACTTGATGCGGCTTATTCAGATGTGGACAATGATGGAATCCAGCATCGGGGCAGTGGCGCGTGTGAAGCGATTTGTCAACGAGACCGAGTCTGAAGAGGAGAAGGGTGGACAGATTGAGGTTGCTCCTAATTGGCCACAGGCGGGCCAATTGGGTTTCAAAGCCGTGGTTGCTGCTCACAGGTTAGTCGATCTCTATTGATGTGGAGGTTCTCACAGCTCAATGATCCCACAGACCCAACGCAGAGCCAGTCATGAGGGGGGTTTCCATGGAAATCAAGCCTCAAGAGCACGTTGCAATCTGCGGCCGTTCTGGCAGTGGTAAGACCTCCTTGATACTGGCCTTACTGCGAATGATCGAGACGCAAAGAGGACAGATCGTGGTTGACGGGGTCGATGTCGCGAATCTGTCCTGTACTGATGTCCGTTCGCACCTCAACGTCGTTCCACAAGACCCATTCCTGCTACCGGGAACGATTCGTCTAAACCTTGACCCCTTTGGTACTGCCTCTGATGAGCAAATCACCTGCGCACTTGAGCGGGTCAGACTCTGGACCATCGTCAAGGAGCAAGGTGGACTCAGTCAGGTAATCGACACTGCAGCCTGGTCCGCAGGGCAGAGGCAGCTGCTGTGTCTTGCGCGCGCCATGGTCCGCAAAAGTAACATCTTGATTCTTGACGAGGCTACGAGCAGGTGTGTATTTGGATACGCCACGACAAGTTGTTGCACTACTAACGAATGGCAGCGTTGATGACGGGACAGAAGCTGTGATGCAGGAAATCATCGACACAGAATTCAAAACCTGCACTGTCCTGGCTGTCATGCACCGACTCAAGCATATCGCTCGGTATGACAAGGTCGCGTTGCTGGACAAGGGGATGCTGGTCGAGTACGATGCGCCGACTACATTGCTTCAGCAGGCGTCCAGGTTCAGCGACCTCTATCAGTCCAGCTCAAAATAGGGTATCCGGGATTCTCTAGATTTCCCTCGGTAAAGACCGTCAAATCTCCCAGCGGTGAGTGATGGGCTTGTTCACTGTTACTGTCACGAGAAAGTGGACACTGGCGTTTTTCACGAGGACCCCTCAGCGTGTAAAATGATTGGTGCGGTTATATGAAGCGGGTAAAAGCAACTAGCCTGGGTCTCTCTAAAAATCTAGAAGCTCCAAAGCTCCAAGCTCCCCCCAAGTATCAGCGCCATGGCGTAATGGAGTTCCATCTCAGTGGCCTATCAAGCCCAAGGCAACTGCTAGCTCTAGTGGGGTTGCCCCCCCTGAACCTCCCCCGCGCCGCGGGTCCAGCTGCCATCATCGTGATGTAGGTCATTGGCCTTCCTATTGCAAAGACCTCCACGAGGAAGAGAGGGGCTTCTCAGGACGATTCCTACGCGGTCGAATGAGGTAGACGCAGGCATATCACTTGATTACGTCCGACCGCGGCGGTAGGGCACACTTTGGACTTATTCACTTTTTCTGTTTTGATTTCTGCCGGTTCGTATTCCTGTCGTCGAACTTGCTTGCGTAGACTCTTTTAACTTCAACCTCGTCGAACCTTGCCTGGTCGAAAAAGTCCTTTCTCTTCTGTGCATATTGATCACTACATTGCTTGATCAAGAGGACAAGTCTTTTCATTACGATTTCAGACCTCCTCTCGCCATGGATCCCAATTCCGCCAGTGTAAGAAGATCTTATCTCACCGCGATCATGGTTTCTGTTCAAAAACTGCATGGTGGCGTTGATTGAAGTGTGCTGTGACACGATGGTGCATTACGTATGGTTGTGGACAAGTAAAGACCCCGTGGTTTGACGAGAGCTCAATCACGAAGCAAGGGCAACTTACAAACCATATCAGTGGACCGTTCTTTGCTGGTGCCGTTCGCTGATACATCTCCAACTGCGCAGAACCTCTCCTTCATCCTCGACAAGCCCAACTCAGTCTCCTTCGCCGACCGGCCTGTGCCCTCGATCAAATCTCCCCATGATGTCCTGGTCGGCGTGAACTACACCGGCATTTGCGGCTCCGACGTGCACTACTGGAAGCATGGCGCCATTGGACACTTTGTAGTCAAGGACCCCATGGTGCTGGGCCACGAGAGCGCCGGTACTGTGGTGGCCGTCGGCGATGAAGTCAAGACCTTGAAGAAAGGCGACCGCGTTGCCCTCGAGCCAGGCTACCCGTGCCGTCGTTGCGGCCCCTGCCTTGGGGGCAAGTATAATCTCTGCCCGGACATGCGCTTTGCCGCCACGCCGCCGTACGACGGTACCCTGACCGGGTTCTGGACCGCCCCCGCCGACTTCTGCTACAGACTACCTGACAATGTGTCTTTGCAGGAGGGTGCTCTTATCGAGCCCCTGGCTGTAGCTGTTCACATCGTGAAGCAGGCAGCGGTAACGCCCGGGCAGAGCGTCGTAGTCATGGGGGCGGGGCCTGTTGGCCTGCTCTGCGCGGCGGTCGCGAAGGCCTTTGGTGCCACTAAAGTGTGCAGCGTCGACATTGTGGAGTCCAAGCTTGAGTTTGCGCGGGGCTTCTCGAGCACCCACGCATACATCTCACAGCGGGTCAGCGCTGAGGAGAATGCGGCCAACATCAAGAAGGAGATCGGCTGCCCCGACGGTGCGGATGCGGTCATTGACGCCAGCGGCGCTGAGCCGTCTATCCAGACAAGTCTGCACACGGTTCGCATGGGCGGCACATATGTCCAGGGCGGCATGGGCAAGTCCGATATCAACTTCCCAATTATGGCCATGTGCCTGAAGGAGGTCACCGCCAAGGGCTCGTTCCGTTATGGAAGTGGCGACTACAAGCTCGCTGTTGAGCTCGTGGCCAACGGACAGGTAGACGTGAAAAAGCTGGTCAGCGAGACCGTCGCATTCAAGCAGGCGGAGCAGGCGTTTGCCAAAGTCGCCGAAGGCAAGGTCATTAAGATTCTGATTGCAGGCCCGAACGAGAAGCTTGAATAATGCGTCTCGAATGAGACGAGCATTTGATAGTATCAACTTGAGCGTTGGAGAGCATGGCGCTGCTTGAGCGGTGGGTGGTGGTGGCGTATTGGGAGGCAGGAACCTACGATTACGGACGTGTTTGAAGCTAGGAGACAGTATCGCGCATTGAATGGATGTCTTCAAAAGGAAGCAACTCGACCATTGTGCTTCAAACCGAAACATGTGCTGTCAGATGTAGCTATCTTTTATTGTACGCATTGCAATTTTTAAACTCACTATTGCCCCCTAACCCCTATTCCCTATATCATGCCAAGATACCGCGTTGTGATGGCGCTCGACTCCACCGCACCATTGACAGCAATAATAACCGTCTCGCCCGGCACTATATCAACCAGATTGTCTTCGAATTTGACCTCGTCGTCTTCACACTCAAGTGCAACACCCTTGACCGGCACCTCCGCACTGACGTGGACGGACTTGGCATCGGCACTGAGTGTAGCAGCAAGCTTGCCTGGCTTCTGCAGATGAAGGTACTTCAACGGCTCTGGCCAGTTTACGTATCGCGCAATCTGCTTTCCGTCCTGGACCAGATAACTAGCCACCACTGTCTTAGCCTCATCTCCTTTCTTAGGAGCGGGGACTTCCAAAGCTACGATCTCGGTGCTTTGGTTCTTGGGTAGAGATATCTTTTCGGCGATGGTCTTGGAAAATGTCTCCTTGCCGGTCTCCACATCCCAGGCCTTGACAACGCAGTCAACTACAAGGTCCTCGAGTGTGAGGTTGGAGCCCCAAATTTCGATCTCGACCTTGGTTTCGATGTCCACACGGGTATACTTATTCTTCGGGTGCTTATGCTCTCTCCTCGTCATACCCACACTAACAGGGGCCATCTCTCGCTTCACTGTGAAGTAGGCATGCTTGGGGCGCAGATAATAATCGCAGATGGCCCAGCTCGTCACAGGCCAGCAATCATTGATCTGCCAGACCAAGGCGCCAGCGCAGTACTCCCGTCCAGGACCCTTCCACTGTCTCTTCCATAATCGATACGCCGAGGCGAGGCACTCAGCTTGCATCAACTGGGTAGAGTACACAAACTGCTCCAAGGGATCCGGTGCATACCGCATATTCTCGACGAGATACAGCGCAATACGGCGCTCGTGACCGTCGGCTTTGTTGTGGAAGTCAATGGTGGAGGACTGCGGGTAACGATCGGGATCGTCCCTTCCAAGGGGCAAGAAAGCGTCGATTGTCTTAACTGACGGGAATGCTTCCATGCCAAACTCAGACACAAATCGACCGACAAGCTTGTCAAAATTTTGGTACTTTTCCTGCGTGCCGTGCCAGACGTTCCACTGATGGATGTCCCCTACAGTTGGGTCGCGAGTATCTACACCGCCCCAAGGGCTGCCGGGATGATAGTACGTAGCGGGGATCAAATCTTTACAGGCATCTGAAAGGACCTTCTCGTAGATGTAGCGAGCGGGAAAGTCGGTCTTTAGCCAGCTTTCGGCGTCATGGTCATGCTGGTCCCAGGTCAAGTTGACACTCTCCGCGTACTGGTAGTCCTCGTTGTTGCCGGCCCAGATGACGATACTAGGATGGTGTCTTAGCAGCTTGATGTTTTCCTCAGCCTCACGCTTGATGGAGTCCAACATTTCAGGCCAGGCAGGATAGTTGCCACAGCCGAACATGAAGTCTTGCCATACGAGAATACCGAGCTCATCGCAAGCATCGTAGAAAGCCTGTTCCTCATAGATGCCGCCGCCCCACACGCGGATCATGAATTGGTTGCCATCAGCAACAAGCTTGACCCAATCATAATACCTCTCCTTGCTGATACGTGGAATAAAGTTGTCAGCGGGGATCCAGTCGCTGCCTCCGCAGAAAACTGGGATGTTGTTGATCTCGAAGAAGAAGGAGGTGCCTGGTTGGTCTTTGAGAGGTCTCTGGACAAGCTCAGCTCTTCTCAAGCCTATCTTCTTTGTGATGCAGTCGATCTCCTTTCCATTGTCGACCAGCGTAGCTTTGACCGTGTAGAGAGACTGGCTACCGTATCGGACGGGGTACCAGAGTTCAGGATTGGCGATTGTGAAAGTAACATCAGTACCCTCGACTTCTTGTGCGGCCAGGAGCTGGTCATTTAGCAAGACATCGAATCGAACCTTTGCGGGCTTCCCTTCCACACTAGTGTTCACCTTCACAGTCGCAGACTTGAGAGACTTTTCTACTGTAGTGTCGCACCACAGATCTGAGAGCCTGGATTCATAGACCTCAAGCTGAATTGGTCGCCAAGGACCGCAAGTCAACAGGGTCGGACCCCAATCCCATCCCTAGATACATGGTGAGTTCTCTATGAGGCAAGACAATAGATCATGACTCACCCAATGGTACTGTGATTTCCTGACGGCCAATCTTGAATTGTCGCCATTCCAGCAACCCCACTTGTGGTCAGGATACTTCTCGACCCGTTCCCAACCCCGAAGATACGCGCTGTCAAAGGTAATCTCGAGTTCGTTATCACCCTCTTCGGCCAGAACTGAGGTGACATCAACACGTTCAGGGACGAACATGTTGTCTGTCTTCAGGATGGTGTGGCCGTTGAGCACTACAGTCGCAAAAGTATCGAGACCATCAAAAGCTAGGATGGCTTTTGCAGACGCCCCAATGCTAAGGGACGGGAACGTCGTCTTGTAAATCCAAACGGCTTCCCCGATCCATTGCACGTCTAGCTCATTCTTGCCGATGAACGGGTCTGGAATGAGTTTATGAGCAAGTAGGTCGAGATGGACATTAGTGGGGAATTGTGCGACTGGAAGATACTTGCTATCCTCCTTGTCAGCTTGCTTGAACTCCCACTTCTTGTCAAGCGGGATCACGCTGCGGGGCTCCATTCTGCGGCAAGTGGCAGCGGACCAGGACAGAGGTCAGAGTGAGTAAATGTTAAGGCTAGAAGGCAGATGAAGAACTAGAAAAGCAGAAAAAATAGTTGTCCCGGTGGGCCTTAAGTAGTAAGAAAGCGCAGTCGTAGGGTGTTAGTCCTGAATGACAGTTCCTACCGAGACCGACACGGCGGAGTGATACAGGCCGAAGGAACGCCTGCCAGGGGTAGTGACCCAACTTAGCTACTTGCAGTACACTCACAGCAGGCCCCACCCATGGAATGCACCTATGGCAGTAGGAGTAACTACGCGACGGGTGAGGCTGCTGAGAGCCGCAACCTCGAGAGTCCCTATAGAATGCATGCATATTCGATAACATCCTCCTGCCAATGGAACTCCCTGCTCGCTGACAATTGTCATTTAATGAGCTCGGTATCAGTTTCACTTCACTCTGGAGATTCAGGTATCATGCATCGAGCTAGCAGAACATCGAGGGATCCCATGCTATTGCAAACGAATCATGATGGGTGACATAACATTCACAAGCATCGCAATCCTCTGTCGCCATATTCCCCATTGAATACAATGGGTAACCCCCCGAACAAGATATCGCCAAGAGAATCGATCGCCAAGGCGGACTCAACTCCTCCGGGCCTATTTAGGACTAGTGCGATTCGATTGAAAGCCCCACGTAAATGCCGAGTTCAAATACCTGACGGCGAAGCTGCCCGAACATCAGCAACAGTCGGAGTAAAGAATCATCCTTTGCGGGACGTTATTACGAGAATGGCATGAATAATTCAGATTCGAGCCTGTTATAAAGTGGTGATGAGTTCCTCGGAAGATACAGTCTTGATATTATGCCATGTAAGTGATGATTGTACTGTGGTACTACGACGTGGAATGACTTTCGTGCTTACACGTAATGATTTCCGATAGATAGCTTATCATTGGGTTTACATTATTTTGTTGCGAAGTATATATATGTATATATATGTATATCGTCCTCACAGGTGGTCGCTTGTTGGCACTCACCCCGTATCTGTGGAGACAAGAACTATCGTTACTTTACAGGTTCGCCCCTTCCAAACTGTTGTATTCCTGGGCTCCTGGTATTTCCAAAAAGACTAGACTTGATTAACCTTATCACCTTTCTCCATAGATATCATAACATGTCTCTGCCCCCCTGTGTCTATTTGCTAAGTGACGGCTTACAGGGCCACATTCATCTATTCTATCTAGTTCTGCTTGGTCACAACAGTTGGAGACCAACCCTCACTACCACTGTACTCTCACAGATAAAGCAGGACACTGAAACTTGCCTTCCATTGGACTACCGCGCCTGCATACTTGCCCAAACACCATCTCCGTATTCTAGGGGCGATGCCTTACACCAGCATGCCAGCTATCATTGGAAGTTTTGGAACAGATGGTATAGGCGGCATAATGACCAGTGTCTAGCGTCACGGTAATTTGAACACATCCGTTTACGTGGCATACGAGCTCTGAACGGCCAAGTGAGAAACCGTTCCCACCATTACTCAATGCTCGTCTACAAGTTTTGACTGTTGGGCATAATTCTGCTATGGCGTTAGGCCCAGGGCGAAATAGCGAATGTGCATGGGTCCGAGTCCTTGACACATGGGATATATCAGGATGGAAAGGAAACTTCTCCGAAACTCATGGATGGGGGGCATTAATTCGAGGATTCCGTTTGCCGTGAGCATTTAAAAGTTGATGACATAGTGGCTAATAATGTACATTATCATGCAAGCCTCTAAGAGGTTGGAACCGTCCATAAATTGTACACTTGTACGCCCAGATAGCGATACCTCGTTACTTGATATGCTCCTGCGCAGCTTCAATTCAGATGTTCCGGTCCAAGGTATAATCTGATAGTGGGATCGAGTCCTACAAAAACGTTGCTCCTTCATCCCGTGAGCTTCCGTTTCCCGCATTGTAATCTTTGATCTTTCTAGAATCCGTACAAGCATGACACAATTCATACCAATTTCTTCAGATGTAAGTCAAGTGACCTCACGAAGGGAAAAAGTGGAACCCCATGGTCTTGTCGGGGCTCATGTGCGGGGGGACTCAAAACTGCAGAACCACGGCGCCGAGGCAAGACAGAGCTCACCGTATACGTGTCGGCATCTTACCCCACAACGCCTCATGCCCTACTTGGGTACCCAAATGGAATTCGTAGTAATTACGCACTCTGTTGAGCATTGTTAAGATCATTGTCAGCCTCGGCTGTTGGATATGGAATATGTCGCTAATAATATAACCTACCAGACTTAAGTAGTTGGACACCATTGACAAAGCCTTCAGTGCACGTCTCCTAGCAGCGTATTTCAATGTGACCAGTGAGAACTACAAACAACACATAAATTATATGCTGCACAATATGGCATGTCCCATGGGTCTTGGTCGCACGCTGGACGGTCCAGCCCCGTTTGAGAGACCGCGTATTTTCGATACAATTGCGGAACCAAACGAACTGAAGAATTACGTCGATGACGCTATCTACCTGACTGGTGGGCAGTTCGCAATCTTGTGCCAATTCGCACACCCAGGATTGGCAGAGGGTTCATTCAAACATTCGAACTTCGCATACCGTATCCTCAACCGGTTGCAGACGACGGCACGCTTTCTGAACGCTGCCGTGTATGGCACCCAACAGGAGAAGGAGGCTATTTTCAGTGTCATCCATCATGCCCACGGTATGTCGTGAGATACCGAGTGCTACGTAACTACTGAAGAACTTACAACTGATCCATAATCTCAGCCGATGTCAAAGGCGAAACATACTACGCGGACGATCCTGAGCTGCATAAATGGACCGCGGCTACCCTCTTCGTCTCGCTTGTAGTAGTACATGAGGCATTCTTTGGGAAACTTTCTCGCGAGAAGCAGGAGGCTCTGTATAGGGAGAGCGCGGTATACGGTACTTCCTTGCGGATGCCCCCTGATATGTGGCCGGCGACACTTGACGATTTTTGGGACTACTGGAACCACAACATTGAGACACTGGAAGTCACAGATTGGGCAAGGAGCCTTGCCGGTGACCTGCTGCATCCCAAGAAATTGCCACTCTGGCTTCGGCCCCAAGCACCCATCGCGAGGCTGCTGACTATCCATTGGTTACCGGAGAGGTTCCAGCGTGAGTACGGCCTGAAAACCACCCCACTCAACACTGCCATGTACCATTTCGTTGTAGGCTATACTGCGCTGGTGTATCCACACTTGCCAAGAAGCTTGCGGCAATTGCCCAGCAAGTTGTACATGAAGGACATGAAGAAAGCCGTTCAACGCATTGAAGAGACTGGGACATGGTACAAGCCGGCCAAGTCATAGAGGCAGCCAGCGATAGAGCGGGGACTTCTTAACATATTGGACCGAAGGGATGTCTGCCGTTAGTGAAGAACTTCGACGCGATTGCCTAATTCAAGTATTGCGAAACATCGCCCGTGTGATTACGCAGTGCATGATTTCGAACAGCAGTAAATTCCTGGCTGACTCAAGCTACTAGGTGCATAGGGATGCAGTAGAACCGTAAGCGCCAAGCACTTCAAGTACCGGGGTGTATACCATGATCAAGAGAGACTTACAACCACGATCCAATCATGTATAAAACCAACCGCCGCCCAGTAGTTTCTTTGGGGCCGGGGATAAGTCTCATGCAATCATACGCCATGGGTTCGTCCTGCAACAGACGGGTGGACTGTACGAAAGGAGTTATCGCAGTCCCCGCAGTGGGCCAATGTCATGGATTACCTGCAGATGACTTTGCTGCGCCGCCTGTATACCCTAGGTAGCTGTGCACGTACCTATGGAAGTGCAGTCTGTGAGTTTCCATTAGTGACAGAGCGAGCTCCACGTCGTGTGGGGAGCGCAGAGTCCACTGCAGTCATGGTGGTGAGTATCCATAGGAACGATCAAGGTCATATCTCACGGCGTCTCGACATACTATATTGGTCCAAAACCGACCTGCTGTACGACCCACCATGACAAGTACATCCCGGTCCTCTTCAAAGCTGCATACAAAGGTCCGTCCCATGCAATACCTCCACTCGTTCGTTTCCCTTCCCATCAGTGTTTTTCTGATTCACACATACCTACATAACGTCAGTGCGCCCAATTGGTCATTCTACTACGTCTCCCGGCGAAGGCTTCATAAAGCGAGTATAGCAGAAAATGTTCTTTTCCAGCATCATAACCCTAACCACAGTTCTTGGCTTGGTATATCTGGTGGCCAGCCGATTGAGGGAATGGCATCGGCTTCGTCACATCCCGGGCCCCTTCTGGGCTCGCTTTACACACCTGTGGATCATCCGGCATGTACTCAAAGGCCAGTATATCGACCAAACCATTGAGCTACACGCGCGGTACGGCCCGGTCATCGTCATAGCGCCCGACTTTGTATCTCTTAGCGACCCCGAAGAGATCAAACAGCTTGGTAAAGTTCGCTCCTCTTGGGGCAGAGGAAGAAGCTACATCGGGTTCCGGCTGTGCCCTGGAACGGCGGGCGACTTCGTCGTAAGCATGCGCGACGAGAAGGCGCACGCTCGCATGCGCGCGAAGCTCATGCCCGGGTATGCTGGCAAAACAATTGAGGGCGTGGAGAAGATGATCGATAAACACGTGTCGCAACTTGTCAGCATCATCGAGTCCAGATATATCTCAGAACCGGGTACTAGCTATCGTCCTGTCGATTTCTCGCGCCTAGCGCAGTACTTGGCCATAGATATTATCACCTCATTTGCCTTCCAGGAGTCATTCTCATGCCTCGAGCGGGACGACGATTTCCACGGTTATATAACTTCAGTGAGCAAGGCATTTGCTCCTCTCATATCGCTATCTTTTCTCCCACTTTACCAGACTTTGATGGACACTCCAGCCTTCAACATGCTGTTTCCGGACGGCGGTTTCTTCCCCCGCGTCTTGGAGGTGGCTCGGCGTCAAGTAGGGAAAAGATACGGCAAGCAAGCCCACGAATTGAAAGATCAAAACGATGTTCTCAGTACATGGGTTGCTTCCGGGATGAGCGAAGAGGAGCTTGTGAATGAAACTGTTGCCCAATTAGGGGCTGGAGGCGAAACAACCGGCACCGGAGTCCGCGCGGTGATGCTTTACATGATGACATCGCCGCGTTCATATCAGGCTCTACAGCGAGAAATCGACGACGCACTACAGACCGGCACTGTCACCTCATGCCCGCCGTCCGAGGATGAGGCTGCCAAACTACCATATCTGCAAGCAGTTTTGAAGGAGAGCCTTAGGTTACTGGTGCCTGCAGGGTTCGTGCCGAGGTGTAGCCCCAATGATGAAACCCTGTGCGGCTACAAGATTCCAGCTGGAGTGAGTGTTGACTTGGCATACAAGCCTGCTCTTCGCACCAAGGTACGTTTTGCCATTGTCTAAATGACTAGCTGAGTCTATGCTTACAGTACTTTAGGAAATATTTGGCGAAGACGCTGATTTCTTCCGCCCAGAGCGCTGGCTCGAAGCTGGTGAGACCGAACGCACGCAGATGGATGAGACATATCGATTCGTGTGAGTTTGAAAATGATAGCAACCTAACTCAATGCCGGAAATGCGCTAATCCTAATGCCTCCGCAGGTTTGGTGGCCCAAGCCGATGGGAGTGCCTCGGCAAAGGTGTGGCGTTGATGCAAATGCACAAGGTGGTTTTCGAATTATTCCGTCTGTTCAACTTCACGCTCGTGAACCCAGCCACTCCATGGAAGGCTGCCAACACCCGAGTTTGGACAGTAAATGATTTCTTTGTACAGATCACCAAGAGAGACTTGGCGGAATCGACTTGATTTGAATCTATACTGCCCAGAGAGTCCTATAATACGCTGTCCTCGCCATCACAAAGCGAAGATGAGGTTGTCCACGTGAAGTGTACCACCTCAGGTTTACTTGAATTGAGTATCTCACATTCTTTCTAAGCCATAAGCTTTGTTGCAGCTGGCATGTACGCCAAGATTTGTTTCGTATATAAGCACCATGAGCCACGCAAAATACTCGATCCGTCATATTGACTTTCTCAAAGACAAACAAACAGCCGCTTGGTCTCCTCCAGCAGGGCGCATATCATATCACGGCAACCCGAATGAACTCATCCCTCCCAACCACTTTGCCTCCGCAAATCCTGTCCTTTGGACTGCAGCCCTTCATGGTTGACCACGCTCCCAATGCCTTCCATGGCTTTTCCTCGAATGGAATCTGAAATCATGTTAGCATGTCTACCCACTTCGCCAGATACACTAGCTTCAAAACACCGACCTTTCCGATACCCATCACTGGTCTTATTGCCGTGACCGACGCCATCCGTCATGCCCGAGCCGGTTCTGGCTTCGCTGTTCGGCACGATCTTATCAGCAATACGCTCCTTAAGAGGTTTCTTTTGTTCGGACTAGGTTCGGTGCCATATGGTTAGTGGCCTACTACTTCAACTCAGTCTATTATACATACCTCGGCCATTTTGATCTGAGCTGTTGTCTGTTACTAAACGATGACAAGGTGTGTAAGACTTGGAATGCAAGCCAAAGTCATCGTCCGCCCGTCAGTTCGTCTCATTACGGCTTAGTTAATCCCAAGTGTGGTCCAACGGGTAGCAATAATCACACAACGTCATAGTTGCCCTTTGCGGCGATGGTAGGAAACTGAGATGCGTGCCACTATCTCTGGCCTATCAGCCCGCCGTCCAGCGCTGCTCAACACGCGACATCCCTGGGAGCTAAGCTCCCGGACAATAGTATTTCGATAAGCCATAAGAGAATTGCCAAGCATCTCTCTTAGATGACCCACGCATTCCCACGATCGGTGACCGACGCCATCAGTACACCAAGCAAGATCATGGATCTGCGCATGTTCTCTTGGCAAACTATATAAGCGGTCATCGTACGCAAGGCTAGTTCGTCGTCCGGACTTCGGTATTTGTGGCTCTACAACAACAGCCACATGATTGAATATCGGATGTAAGGTCCCCTGGGGGTACCCACAAACATGTTGAACTCCGAAGAAGCGGTACATTAGTTCAGACGTGCTCATTTCTATCGGTACTTCGGGTATAACTCTGCTTCAGGTATTCATATGAAACCTCGGGAGTGAAATAAAGTATTGGAAAAGGTATCGTCATTGACTCAGGGGAGCAGCCCCTTATTATTCTATTAGACTCGGTACGAGTCGAAAAAAATCATGCAGCAGCAGTGACAGTGTAGCCGCAACGCCAAACGAGCGCAGGTAGGTATCATCAATATGCATAACCAGCATCCTCCGTCATCCAATCCATCAAAAAGAGCATCCCGTTCCCGCCTTCTCAGGCCACACCCATAACCGTGACAGTCCAGGGGCGATTTCAACAGCAACCTCTCCGTCGTCCGCCTAGCGAGAAGACCTCTTCCCACTCTCGCAGGGCCACGGTACCCCGACCCTTGCCCTTCTTGCGTCTCCTGATGCCGCCGGCACCAAGATCGTCGACCGTCATGCCGCTCTTGATGCTGCCTCCGTCGCTCGCGCCCGCGTTCCACATGCCGCCGTCTCCGTACTGGATACCGCTCATCGGATCGTCGGGGTCGATTTCGCCCAGCTCGATCTTGGTCAGGATCATCCTCGCCAGCCGGGCAAAGACCTCGTCTACGCCCTCCCCGCTGAAGGCAGAGACCTCCAGCGCAACCGGCACGGATACCCTGCTCGCCCATCTGGACGCCTCCGCGTTGGTAACCTCTCTCCCCTCTGGTGCTATCGTGGCTCTCTGTTGTGTCCCCAGGCCCGGCGTGCCGCCTTCGCTCCGGAAACTAGTTCCGTAAGGCGCGCTGCTGGAGCTGACACTGCTCGGGGTGGCCGGCGGGACGTCGATGAGGTTCTGGTCACCGCTCAAATCCAGCTTGTTCCCGACCAATATCGTGCTCAAGTTGGGGCTGGCCAGGGCATTGGCATCGTTGAGGAAGGGCTGCAGGGAGCGGAAGGAGGCGTGCGAGGTGAGGTCGTAGACGAGCAGCGCGCCGGCGGCGCCGCGGTAGTAGGACCGCGAGACGGAGCGGAAGCGCTCGGTGCCCGCAGTGTCCCACAGCTGCAGCTTGATGCGTTTCCGGCGGGCCCCCGTGCCGACTTTGATGATCTTGGAGGCGAACTCGACGCCGATGGTCTGGGACGAGAGGACGCGCCACTCGGACTTGACGAAGCGGTGGAGGAGGCAGGATCTAGACACGGCGGCGGGTGCACGTCAGCGGAGGGCTCGGGACGGAAGCGCAAGAGGCCCACGGGGCGGCGCAGTCTGTCCCTATGGTATCGAGGGGTGTCGACAACCATGGGAACTTGTGACGGACATGGAGCAGGGAACCTGGACTTACTTTCCTGTCCCACTGGGCCCCAGCAGTATAATTTTGGCGAGGTAATCGTACATGCTCCCGAGCTCCTGTCATCGCGCCATCAGCACTCCGTTCTCGTGAACTTGTGGGCTGGCGTGCATCATACTTGATCGCCTGCGGTCCCCGTACTGTCCTCGCTCGCCGCCGAGGAGCCTCGCGGCCTCGTCATGGTGTTTGTGTCTTATCGCTGACGTCCCACCCTGCTCGCTGTTTACAGTCGAATCTGCAGCTCGGTTCGCAGGTTGTGTATCCGCCCGTGGTGTCACAGCGCCAGAAGGAGTCGGAGGATTCTACGACGGCAGATTCAAGAGCCAGCTCTCGGGAGACGTTGTCGTCCTGCGCCTTGTTGAAAGATGCGGTTCGATGGGGTTTGGGATGGGATAGGATGGGATGGGATAGGATGGGATGGGATGGGATGCAGGCGGTGCGGTGCGCTGTGAAACGCAGGCCACAAGCAACCTTACGGGCCCAGGTCCTGGCCTACGGCTAGCGTTGCCAGTTCACTAACGAACTAACTCGAGCACTAAAGAGGTCGAGTTCTTGGGGGTCCCGTTGCTGTGTCAGCTTCCTTGCTCCCTTATCGGCGGCGGGACGGTGACGACACAGCGCTGGGATTGGCCTGTGCCATGCTGGCGACGCCCGTTGATGGCCCTACGCAGTCCCACCAGCTGCGCCGAGGCTGGCGCGCTGGCGCCCTGTCACCTGGCTCGTGCTGCAGCTCCAGGGCCAATCATCCCTGCGCTCGGCGTCGCACTGGGGCACTGGGGCACTGGGGCATGCCCGTCGGCCCCCAGTCGGTTCGCCGGCTAATACACACGAGGTCAGCAGCCATGTCCTGGTACTTAGGTGAACGTTTAACTTGTTATATCGTCCGTCGCCGAGAAACCCATCTCACGTCGTCCTAAGCGGAATGTGTGCGGCCAAAGACCGATTATCAACCTGAAAGCCCAACATGAAGATTGAAGGGAGGACGTTTATCATATCCGGCGGGTAAGACCTCCCCCCTTGCTCCTCCTATTGAATGATGTCCTGCCCTGGCCCATCCCCAGCGGCTGTCACATGCTGCATCGATACACCGGACCTGACGGCTAACCGCCACCACACAGCGCATCCGGCCTGGGCCAAGCCTGCGTAGAAACACTCGTTGAGGCCGGCGGCTATGTCGCCGTTCTGGACATGAACGAGGAGAACGGGGCAGAGCTCGTGTCCAAGCTGGGGTCCCAAACGAAGTTCTTCGTCTGCAACGTGCTCGAGACGGAGAGCATCAGGGCCGCTGTAGATGGCGCTGTCGAATGGGTCAAGAAGACTGGCAAGCCCCTTGGGGGAGTGATACCAGCAGCTGGTGTCAGTACGCCGGCAACGGTACGTATCCGTGGCTTTCTTGGCGAGAAGCAAAGCACCTGTCACAACATGCTCACAATGGACCAGATGCTCGATCGTGACGGCAATGCTCTTGATCTGTCGGACTTTGATTTTGTCATGAACGTCAACCTCAGAGGAACCATCGACTTGGTTCGGCAGTCTCTCGTACACATCGCCAAGACCGAGCCCACGAGGCCGGATGGCGAGCGTGGTGTGGTCATAATGGTTGCGAGTTCTGCAGCTTTCGACGGCCAGAAGGGCCAGGTCTCTTACTCGGCCTCGAAAGGCGCTGTTACTGCCATGACCCTCCCCATGACTCGGGACTTGGCACGGTACGGCGTGAGAGTGATTACCATCGCCCCCTCGCTGTTCGAGAGCCGAATGACGAGCATGATGAGTGACAAGGTCAGAGGAAGCTTGGAGAAGGCTATGGAGTTCCCTAGGCGGGCTGGGCAGCCGGCCGAGTTTGCCGCGCTGGCAAAACATGCCATTGAGAATGCTATGCTGAACGGGACTGTCCTACGCTTGGACGGGGGGATGCGGATGCCCAGCAAAATGTGAGGGGGTATATCCACCACATTGTGTACAATAACAGACTAAAAAACCATGGGCTGCTGCGGATCTCAGTCCAAATCAAGAATCTACCCGGCACTATAGGATCACCATCCGGGAAAACATGCACGAAGCTTCTCCAAGTCCGAGAACACCCCTGGGCCAAATCAAACTGCCCTTCCTTGACTGTACCGCACGAAACGCAAAAAGCCAAAACTCCTTGCCTTTGATCGCCAGAGCTTGTATCATAGATCTGTTTCCACTCAGCCTACTCGCGCTTCACGTAGGAACCAGATCGGTCACGGCGGCGGATCGGGGAGCGCTCGCGATGGCCGCGGTGTGGCGAGCGCGATCGACGCTGGCCACTCGACGAGTTCCGCAACTTGGTCCAAAGGGCGAAGCCCTCCAAGAATGCACGAGAGGCGACAGGATCCTGAAGAGTACTATCGCTGGGGCCGCCCGAGTTGCCAAACAAGGCCTGAACGCGCGCGAGGAGCCTACGCTCCTCCTCCTCCGCCTCCTTGTGGGTGACATGCTGGATGATTGCATTCTGCGCTTGCTTCACCCTCTCGGCCGCCTTGTTCGGCTCGCCGCTCGGAAGCGGCAAGGTGCGGACGTAGTCTACCGCGCGCTTCGCCAGTGCCTGCTTGGCCTCGATGGGAGAGTTCCATTTTCGCATGTCGTGCATGATCTTGCCCTTGAGGGTGACAGAACACTGGAACTGTCCATCCATGGTGATCCACTCGTTGAACTGCGGGTTGAAGCGTCTTCGCTGGCACTCCTGTAATGATTTCGAGTCAGCAGAAGCATTAAGAAATTCGATTTGCGAAGGGTGATTTGCTTGTTGAGCTCTCTATGTAGGGTTTATGTCATCCAGGACGCCCATATCTGGCCTAAACCCATTCCAAATGGGAAGACAGGAACATGTAAATGTACATACCGCGCTCAGGAGTGCAGTGTAAGGAGGGGCGTTGGGAAAACCCTTCCCATCGCCGCCTCTGCCATTTGCAGTTGCGCAGTCTTTGTTTCCAGTGGTAGCTAGCGGTGCGAGTGAGTTGTATCCGTTGTTGCCAACGGCTTGGAAATCGCCTCCCATGGCGAGGGCGCGAGCACCAGTCGGCGTGTATGGCATCATTGCATGTGCCATATTGGCCGCGGCCGGGTACACTGCCGGGTTGACCGCAACGCGGTGAGCTGGAACCAGGTTGCCCTTGTTCATGTCTTGGCCGAGAGCAGGAAAGAAAGCCCCTAGCACAGCATCAGATCCACTGTTGGATACACCTTCACATCCAGCTTGCCTACCGTAGCTCGGGCCGCTCAGGGACGTGAAATCCAAGAGAGAGGTGCGCGCGGCGGCTTGCGACATCTCGGGGGCCGGAGCACCAATAGTGCTCGCGGCCACATCCGCGACTCCCGGTGCTTTGGCAAGCATCCGTCGGAATCGATCCTGACCAGAACCTTTGGCTGGGCTAGGACCAGCTACAAAAGCTCGATTCTTCCTAAGGCCAGGCGGTGGTGTCTTCACACGGATGGCTACGGTTCCTGGCCCATGGTTAGTGGTAGTCGAGGCAGTAGCCGCAAGCAAGATGCCGGCAGGCATCAAGGGAGGCTGGGGGGAGGCTTGGCCTACCTTCATTGGGATGCCCTGTCTTGATGTCGACGCTCGTCGCGTTCTGGGCCTCAATCGTGTCCATGACTGCCATCTTGAAGGTAAGCCCGAAGGTGATGTGGACGTCGGCGTGGGAGACGAACAAAGGTGACGGGCCTTGACTGGATGTCGTGCAGCAAAGTGATCTGCGGGGTGTGATAAAATTCACCTGGGGGAGTATTCACATTCAGAGCAGTGGTTATTCTGTTCCATTGGCCCTTGCTCTCCTACCTAGGTAGGCACCGAGGAAGGTCGCCCCGGTGCCTTAGTTGTCAGGATGGGCTCCCCAACAACGGCTATGTACCAAGGTACACCCAAACATTTCTGGCCAGAAGAACACTGACCTGTAACTTGGTACCTACCTACGTAGTAAGGAGGTAGCCCTTCGGGGGTTTATCGAGTTGCAATCGATGCAGGATTACTGGTGCCGCCTTTACGCACCATCCTTGACCTGTTCCAGCACAGTGACAAGATACTGATGCCCAGAAACCAATGCTCTTGGACCACTCCACAAGCCCACGGACCGGCGCACAATGCAATCACAGTCTCCTGATATCACCGAAGGCCAGATATCGTGATCGATCGCAATATTCATTATTGGAAGGATTCTCTAGATCAATATCCCGAGTCCTTGTACACCGTGGCCAGCTGCTCACCCTTCTCCCATCTCAAGATGTTGTCCACCTGCTGTTCGTACCAGGCCGATAAGGGCTCATTTTCCACGTAGCCCATATGCGGGGTGAGCAGCACGTTTGAGCTTCCTCCCTCGCCCCATTTAGTCGTTCTCCATTCGCTGTCCTGGGGGAGAGGCTCAATGCTGTAGACATCGAGCGCAACCCCCCTGATCTTGCCCGCCCTTGCGGTCTCGAACAGATCCTTCTCGTTCACAATGGGGCCCCTCGAGGTGTTGACAAACAGAGCGCTCTTCTTCATCTTGTCCAGATCTGCCTTGTTGATCAGACCCCTGGATCGCTCTGACAGCACTAGTTGCACGCTGACTACATCAGCCTGGCTGAATAACTCGTCACGGCTGACGACCTTAAACGTCTTCTCCCCGTTCCCATCCTCGACAGGCAGGCCTGCAGCCTTGGCCTTTTCGTCGGCAGCCTCTTGTGTCAAGTTGGAGCTCCAGGCGATGATGCGCATGCCGAACGCAAGATGCATAATCCTCGAGACCGCCGCGCCCAGGCGACCGAGCCCCAAGGTGCCGAATAATTTACCGCTCAGCCCAGTGTTAACCTGGCTCTGCCATTCACCGGCCTTCATGGCTTTGTCGTCCTGGGCTAAATTGCGTGCCAGGCCCAAGATCAGAGCAACGCAGTGCTGTGTCGTGCTGTCTGGACTGTTCTTCTCTGCCACCGTCCCCGCGACAGGAATACCACGGCCCAGGAGGGACTTGACATCAATGGACGCATTACGGGCTCCAGTAGTGAGGAGAAGTTTCAAATTAGGGAGCCTGGATACAAGATCACCAGGAATAGGTGTGCGTTCCCGCATGGTGCCTGGAGGCATTAGTCCACTGCCTACGAGAGGACGACCCAACGGGGGGCAATACTTATAATATCATAAGGCTCCAACCGCTTGATGAGCGCGTCTTTAGCGTCTTGCGGCGTATCCGGGTGATTGTAGGGCAGAAGCGTGTCTGTATACACTGTCACCTGATAACCAGCGTCACGCAGCCGGTCGAAGTGGGGTTTTGACAGTTGCTGGTAATCATCCAGAACAGCAATCTTCTTGCCAGCCATTGCCCAAGAGTTGGTGATAAGTCGCGGGATGACAATGTAGGCGTTATAATAATGAGGATATAGGCGACTCAAGGCGCGCGGGATCCTCGGCTAAAGAATCAACTGTCGTAAAGAGCACGCGTGTGTTTTGTTGGCCGACAGCGGAGGATCCCAGCCGGATGACGACAGTTCCGGCGGAGGCGCTACGGTCGTTCGGCCCCGCAAATCGGGATTTCCTTCGAAACGTTTCACCGTGCCCAACCTATTAACACAACTAATTGTATACCATCGTTCTTTCAACATCAAAATACCCGGAAACGCAAACACAACTGAAGCCTAGGACACTTGATTCAGGCGCCTTTATGGCTCTGGATGTTCTTGTAACTTCTCGGAATCCCTATGCACCGCTGTGGCGGCGCTATTGGCAATTCCGAATATTTCTATACCGCTCAAATCGTTCTGCCGTGCGTCCCTCATACCGCTTAGAATATACCCAGAGGATCAGGCCAAAGTAACTTCGCCGCAAAATTATGGGACTCTTGCATTAGGTAAGACTCAGTTGCTCGCCAAAGGCAACAATTACTGGCTAATAGTCAGAAATATTGCACTAATATCTGCTCTCATCGTCTATTAGACAGAAGTGATATCATTTCCATCACTGAAGCATAGCAACGACCTGCAGACTGAAACAAGAGCAGACCCGAGTTCCCCCACATCCATATCTTGAAAGCCCAAATCTTGTGCAAGTAGGAATCCCCTAAGAATGTAAGGGACTTGAAAGCGTCTTTCATTACAATGATGCAGAGCATGAAGTTTGAAAAGAGGTAGACCGCACCCAGTGTGACGCGGAAATTCATGAATGTTCCTCTTTTGTCCTTGTGATGAGATGAAAAGATATTGCCCCCTGCTGGTAATTAGATGCCACGGGTCCATACATAGAATTGCTGCCCCAAGGTACGGTCCGAAGAGTGCTAGACCCGTCACAAGTACTGTTGCTGGTTCAATATCCGCATAGTACTCGCTGATATATGCGTGATTGGATGATCCGTTTGTGTTGAGTTTGAAGTCAACGATTCGCTTCTTCAGGTGTATGAGGTCGATAATGAGATATATGCAGAGTTTGTAGTAGTGTTTTTCCAGCAACCAAAAAAAGAAAAAAAAGAAAGAAAAAAAGAGAGAGAGAGACTGGTCAGACTTAGATACGACTGTAGTCAACGATCCGACAGACTTCAGGCTCATAAACAGATACGATCTGCGTCCGCAAATCTACAATAGACGCACAGAGCTAATGATCAATGTCGCATACTATACCGAAGATCATGGGGCTGAATGGGGCGCTTTTCGCTGCTCTTTATACTAAGAGTGCCTCACCTCGAATTTTTCGAAGTGGTCATAACATCATTCACACTCGCGCTCTTCAATTTGGTATGGGGTACAATCTGGTCTCAGTTGTCTTTGCTTGGCTTTTTTTTCAGTTCGTCCTAGCGCTCGGATCAAGACCACGTAGCGCTGTCATCATGTATATCGTCTCGTTCTCGATTTTTGCCATTGTACAGCTGTATCTTTTGGTGTTGAATTCGCCAGCCTCGCCCTCAACGTCCCAATATCTTGGCTGAACAGTATTCCTTACAGTAGTTGGCGCAAGATACTCAACACTCGATGTACTGCCTTGGACTGATTCAACAACTCGTGTTCTATATCGACCTGCTAAGTGTGAGTCAATCCTCAAATTTAGAGTGGGACACAGTCTAAACATACGGATTCCTGGACCCGACCGGGAAAGCTCCTGTTACAATCGCCAGGGCGAGCTTGATTTCTGATGTCCAGTACATCGTATGTAACGGAATATACGTCATGGCTGTCAACTGCGTCGGTTATGGGAATACGCATGGCGCACTTTAGGAATAGTTAGCCTCATTTCTGGTACGTAATGTCCCGATAGCCCAATCCTTCCCAACTCCTCGTCACCATACGTTGGGCCTGACTGTAGGATGGATATGTCTTAGTATGATTGAGACGACTAGAAGCTGAGTCTTTCACTTCTGAACCCCGGCGATTGTGAGTTATACGGAGGTACTGTGATTGTCTGATTTGCGGGGGAAATGTTTGCCTGCTCGGCTGTCCGCCTTCTAAGCCATAATTTTACCTGCTGCCTTACAAAGTATATCAGTTAACTTACACCCACAGTGTCAAGATGACTACGTTGACAACATATGGGATGTCTTAGCGCTCTATTCTCCGATCATCCAGTGTGAACAGGGTATGGGCTCCGGGATGCACGGCAGGTAATATCAAAAGCTCCACACTTATCTTGATCCCAGACAGCAAAATTTATTGACTGGCATAATTGATGACCGCGGGGTTCGTAAGCGCCACCTTCTCTTTCGGAGTATGGTGGCAATAAGCCGGGCTTAATCCTCGTTTGAAAGTAATGATCGGCTGCGGAGTCGGTGAACGGATCAGGTGCGTTGCGGTTCCTCAAAAACTAGCTGCGACGTACCCAAATGCTACAATCCTTCTAGAGCAACGATATTTTCATTTACCCCTCTCACTTCAGCGCAAACATCACAGGCTCTGAATAATCGTTTCCAGCTTGTTGTTTCCCCCATCCGGGCCTGCTGAACTAGACCTGCTGTCTACGTTTGAACAGTATAAGCGGCTGTTACACGCTTACATCTCTTCGTCATTAACGCCGATGATAGGCTCGGCCATTTTGTTCAGCATCGTGTTTGCTGTGCTGTCTTATCTATCTGAATGCAAGGGACTCAGAGACAACAATACCATGGACACTAACTGTGTAAGAAAATTATGTCATTGTCCCTGTCATACGCTCTGATATTGCTGCGCAATCAATTCTAAGTTTTCATCTATCAGTGTGAGGTTCTCGAGGCTGCTGGCTTGAAAGTACTGCGCCCGGGTACCCAGGCCTATGCGATACGCGAAGAATCTTACTTCTCCGTCGCGGCTCAGCTAGAGCCACATTGCATTGTGCAACCAAGAGATACTGCGCAAGCCGCTCAAGCTATTATTACCTTGAAAACCCTGACAACATGTAACTGGGCTATTAGAGGCGGGGGACACATGACATGGGCCGGCGCTTCCAACAGTACGTTTGTAATGTTGACATCCCCCATACAGAGAAAGCACTAAGATACGATAATAGTCCATGACGGTGTCACTCTTGATCTAGGGCTCATAAACCAGACAGAGTATGTGCACGAGAAGAAAATCGCAAAAATCGGTGCTGGCTCGAGGTGGGGGGAAGTATACCGTGCTCTTGAGCCCTATGATGTGACTGTGCCAGGTGGCCGCACATCCACTGTCGGGGTTGCGGGCTTCCTCACTGGAGGAGGAAACAACTTCTACAGTAGCATGGTCGGTTTGGGCTGTGACAACGTCATCAACTTCGAGGTTGTTCTCGCGTCAGGCGATATCGTCAATGCTAACAAAGAGAACAACTCAGACCTATACAAAGCTCTAAAAGGAGGGTCTTGCAACTTTGGAGTCGTTACCCGTGTGGATATGCAGGTAATAGAGGCGCGCAACCTCTGGGGAGGCCAGGTGATATATCCCCTCAGCACTACGGAGGATCATATCGCTGCCTATGTGAACTGGGTAGACAACATTCCCAGCTATGTACAGGGCTCGGCCGTGACATTTTGGGCTTATTCGCCTGCAGCCGGGGATATTGTAGTCTCATCCGCTCTCCATGACACAACAGGCACTGTTCGGGCCCCAGCGTATAAAGAGTTCCTCTCAATCGCACCTCAAATCAGCGATACGCTCCGTACTGACAGTCATCTCAATATGACTGTTGAACTGGAAGAGCCCTTAGGGTATAGACAAGTTTGGATCACATTAACAGGCAAGAATGACGCACGTTTCATACGTAAAGCTGTTGAGGCGCAGTCTAGCTTCATTGAGAGCTGGAAAGCAAGTCAGGACGCAGACTTTCTGAACTACATCACGTTTCAGGCGATGCCCACGGTCCTATTCGAGCAATCAATCGCGAGGGGAGGAAACGTCCTTGGTATGGATCGCGAAAAAGAAAATGCGATTCTATTCCAAATGCAGCATATGGTTCGCAATGCTGATCAGGAAGCCGAAGCTCGGCATAGACTCATCGCCATGCGTATGGCCTTGAAGGACTACGCCAAGGACATTGGTACCGACGTAGAGTGGGAGTATCTGGGATATGCCGATGAGAGCCAGAACCCGTTAGGAACATACGGTCGAGAGAACGTCGCCTTCCTTCGTGATGTTGCTACCAAGTACGACCCAGAATCTGTTTTCCAGCTGAGAGTACCAGGTGGCTTCAAAGTCTCCCGTCTGGAGTGAGGCGAAACTGAATGCATCCTTTGGCACATTGATCACAATGGGCGTTGTCCGCATTGAAAAGGCTAATGCAAGATATTGTCGTGAGAACAGCAAACAAAGTGGAAATCTCAAGCCATAACACTCCATTGTTTTTAAGTAGCCTGCTGAGTCAACTTTGAACGAGATCAGTTTATCATCCTCTCTTTGTCGAGAGCTCAAGGAGGGAGAATAACGGACATAATACACATAAGACCACCGCAGTTGTAAGATGTTGAGGGAGGCTCAATTCACCATCGGATCTCAAATCAACAGCAATCTCTTAAGAAATACTCGAATTATCCAAATTTTTCTAAAATGATGTGGCTTCGAGGACCTACAAATACGGAGAAGTTTTTCCAGAGTCGGCGTCACTGCATTGATGAGTCAGTGGGTGTTGTTGCTGGGCTGGGCTTACGCCTTACACGATGCCGCGTTGGCCTCGCAACAGAGTTCAAATCCTTCATCGAGGAGGAGCGTGCTGAGTTTGATAGTGCCTTTGAAGGCTACCTCATCGATTGGCTGATGTCACGACCCAAATCTGGGTTTCCTCACTGGGTGACAATAGAGTCGAGGCTGAATTACGTTCTGGGCATGCAAAACTTGCCCGACTATTGCCATAGTATCACGAATTATTATACAGAATATGCCGATTGGGATCAGGTCGATCATATCTGCGCATTCATTCTGCGAATTGAGCACCATCGAATGGTAACTGAGGCTCGAACGGTGTCGCGGGCTGCCTGGACGATTGCAGACCACTGGGCGTTCGCTTACATTCTCAGTCAGATGCTCCAATTCTTTCAAACAGAGTGGCAAGCACACAATGGAGCTCATCATGATACACCATTGCGTGAGTCTCCGGCCCCAAGCTCGTGGTCTTCATTTCTGACTTCCCGGGTATGATGAAAATAAGGAGATGGCGCATTACGGCATTTAGTAGTTAGAAATTGATACGTCTTTAAATCAAGAAGTAAGATGGAAATAACTAAACTATCACTTTTGTAATGTACAATGACAGATCTGACACCGGGATATCAGCCAAAACCTGTTTCAATCGTGAACGGCCTTAGGAGTCCTCCACGCATGCATCAGCACGTCAGTGATTAACCCAGTCTGGATGATTCCAGTGGATGAGTCAGACGATGTGGAATACCTATGATCGTCAACTACGCCCATTTGACATGAAAGGGAGGACAAGGAATGTATGGAACAATCACTACGGTAACAATGATGAGGACAATGATCATCATGGTCCCTTGGAACAATGCAATGACAACGTATTGAGGACTGTTCGATATATTGGTAGCTTGTCCCCATTCGCTTCCTCATACTGATCGTATCAAAGGATTCTTATCACAGTTGCGAGTCAACGTATGGTGCATTGCACCTGCTGCTATACTTATTACGCGAAAGAGAATCCCCCTCCCCTCTCATTTCTGAGGAATCCATCGAGCGCGATGGAAAGTGCTGGCCATACCTCGGAGCACACAGTGAAAGTTGTGCAGGATCTGGTTAGGCGTAGGCTGGATCATGATCAAGTGGCTGCAAAGTTGGCGCCTCTCTTCGGCATAGGAAACGACATGCTTGCTGTCCAGAGGGCGCAATGCTTGCTACTGCATGTCAAGCGAAACGGGGCATTCAAGCCTTTCGATGACAACTTTATACGAGGAGGGTGGAACTTGAGCACACCGAATTGGCTTGCTGTATCGTATCTGATTGAGCAGCATCGTGCAAAACCCGAGTGGGTGAACGCCTTATATCCGAGCCCCGAAATCATCAACGGGTGGGACATCAATGACCATTACGCTAAGTTCCTAATCCACGTGCAGTCAACTATCAATAGTCCAACTAACAAAAGTACCTTGACTTCTTGGTGGAGAAAAACTCATACCGGCGAGATTTTCCGGTCACTTTTCCTCCTTATGTTTTACCTGCAACGGGAAAAGGAAAGAGATAACATGCCTGCAAGACAGAGGATAATGCGGCGGCTGACTCTAAGGAGTTAAATAAGTGCCCTAGGTAGGTAAACTGGTAGCAAGCAAGTAATCTACGGTTTGCCAGTTTTAGCCCCTCTTACATGTCATGAAATGTGCACAAGACGTCCTGTACCTGTGCATAACCACGGCCCCCAGATATTTCCTACCAGTTTTGGTTTGGTGACTAATTGAAACTGGCTTGAGTCGGCTGAGGTGGTGTCAGTTGAGGTTAGCGTGCGTTTCGCCTCTGATTCATTCTAGTCGTCATCTCGGAAACAGGCTCGGTTATAAGCATGAGGGCCGCCACGCTTATGCGTAGAAAGTAAAGGATTTGGAAAATATTTAGCATTTTCTGCCTCGTTGCCGCTACAACACGTGCTTCTCTTGATTTGAAGTGCAACTTATCTGACCGGAGGTTGAAAAAGGCGACGGCAAATTCCACAGCAAAGGGAATCAGGAGCCAGCGTTCGGCCTTCAGTAGCGCCGAGGATCCGTGCTTCGCGGCGAGCGGTCGGGTCCGGCGTGGAGCTCGGTCGACCCGTGGGGGAGAGAATACATATATATTTTTTCTCCTCTGATGGAAGGGAACATATTTCATAGCCCCTGCGCTAGACGCCCAAGATCGAGAAGCAAGTTCCTCTGGTTACCATTCCGTGATTCATTGCATCATCGATATTCAAGCTAACCTGGACAGGGGTCGCAACAACAATCGCAAACCAATTTTGGGTCATTAGCCGATCGCCAAGCAAAAAATTCGCGGCAGTCTTCCGGCCAAAATCCCGTCGTTCATTTATTCAACACAACGTAGTTTGTATCATTTCCAAAAAATGGCATCCCAAGATACACCGGATGTTGAACGTGGGCAACCCAGCGATGTCGGGAACGGTGCCAGCAGTGCCTCAGTACTGTCCAAAGAATCGGCTGACGGCAAACGCGCAAACGGTACGACAGCCGCAACTGACGGGCCTGGCTCTAATCGGCAGCCGCCGGCCGGACCAGACGACGACCCGGAGCCAGAGGCTTCTCGCACGAGGTTGCAGACATGGCTTATCATGTTCGCTCTCTGCAGTGGTCTATTCCTGGCTGCCCTTGATATCACCATTGTGGCGACTGCAGTTCCTACCATTGTTGGCGAGTTCAAGTCGTCCTCTGGCTATACCTGGATTGGGGCAGCGTATACGTTAGCGAACGCAGCGACGGTACCATCGTGGGGAAAGATCAGTGATATCTGGGGACGCAAGCCAATCTTGTTGGTCTCAGTCGCTGTATTCTGGATCGGTTCTCTACTTTGTGCTGTCAGTGTCAACATGGGTATGCTGATAGCTTCCCGGGCGATCCAGGGAGCAGGTGCCGGAGGAATTGTGGTCCTGGTCAATATCGCCATCAGCGACCTATTTTCCATGCGATCTCGGGGTGTTTACTACGGCGTGCTTGGTATGGTCTGGGCAGTCTCCAGCGCCATCGGGCCAGTGCTTGGTGGCGCATTCACGACCAATGTCACTTGGCGGTGGTGTTTCTACGTCAATCTGCCCATTTCTGCGATCGGTTTTGCAATACTCTTCTTCGTTCTAAAGCTGCATAACCCGAAGACATCGCTTAAGGATGGCATGGCCGCCGTCGACTGGTTGGGAAGTTGTAAGTGTCCCATGCTCTCTGCACTCCAACACGTTGAACTGTTGCTAGAAGCCCGTCGTACTGGTTTCGTTTCATCTTTCCAAATGCGACTTGAACGGGCTGTGAAAGTATGCTAATTCTTGTTGCAGTGCTTGTAATTGGTGGGACGCTAATGATTCTGTTTGGACTTGAGCTTGGCGGCATAGATTATCCTTGGAATTCGGCGACCCCGATATGTCTAATCGTCTTTGGAGTGGTGACAATCGGATTGTTCCTGGTCATGGAGCACAGGTTTGCCAAGTACCCAGTGATGCCACTGCGACTATTCAAGAAACGGACCAGTATCATCTCCTTTGGCGTATGCTTTTGTCATGCCTTTGTCTTCATATCTGGCTCCTACTACCTGCCATTATACTTTCAAGGTGTACTGGCAGCATCTCCTCTTCTATCCGGCGTGTATCTACTACCGTTTGCCCTCTCGCTCTCGGTGGTGTCGGCCGGCGTCGGCATAATTACAAAGAAAACGGGGAAGTACCTGCCCCAGATCATCTTTGGAATGGCCGTTATGACGCTCGGATTTGGCCTTTTTATTAATCTGGAAGCTCAAGCGAATTGGGCAAAGATTATTGTCTATCAAATCGTCGCTGGAATAGGCGTGGGGCCCAACTTTCAAAGTCCGCTGATCTCTTTGCAGTCATCTGTGGAGCGTCGCGATATTGCGGCTGCTACGTCAGCATTTGGCTTCATCCGTCAACTGTCGACTTCTATCTCCGTTGTGATAGGCGGTGTGATCTTTCAAAACGAGATGGAGAAACAATATCCCTCCTTGCGAGAGAGCTTAGGGCCTGAACTTGCAAGTCAGCTTTCTGGTTCAAGTGCCGGAGGAAGCGTGGGGGTCGTGGCTGCTCTCAAAGGTAGAGAGGGAGAGATAGCCCGTGGTGCTTACTGGACAAGCTTGCAGACGATGTTCATTCTCTACACAGCTGTTTCCGGTTTTGGATTGTTGCTTAGCCCATTCATCGGTCAAAGAACACTGGACAAGGAACACAAGGAGCAGAAGACCGGCCTCAAAACTCTGCAAGCTGCCCAAGGAGAGAGCCGATCTGAGAAGAAACATGGCACTTGACCGTGATTAATAGGAGGTTGCGTCCTTATACTAAATTCAGCCTTTAACCATGTATCAGTCGTCTCATCGCACATTTCAATTGTTCACATCAATCTCCTGCTACGTCCCTCCCTCAGTGATTATCCGCATGAACATGAGAGCCCAGACATTTAGAGGCGTACTAACCTAACTGAACATATTGTTCTGTACTATTATTCCAGCAAACGTTGGTCGATAGTCAGGTCTTACAACTTGACCCCTGTACCGCACCCATAGTGATCTGTGTCTGTGTACGACAAGCAGCATAGAGTGGCCCTGTTGTATGGACTGGTGCTATTCTATCTCAATTAAAAATAATAGAGTTGTCCAAGTTAAGCATCTTGGCGTAACGGAGCGGACATAGGTCGTAGTTTGTGGACTGTAACTATCTGCTCTACGTCAGTACGAATGCTCTTCACTCTGAACTTCGAGCGGGAACTGGACCATCTTTTCCAATTTTCCTTGAACTGTTTGTTCGCCTTACTTTGAGCAGGAATCCAGCTGGCTGTCGAAGGTAGACGTTGCTGTGCCGCTAAGCTGCAGGGACATTGAAACCCCTAGTTGCCTACCAGATCTAGGATCGTGACGCACACTCCCGTATTGGAAATTCACTTTGCAATATTGTGGCACAGCCCGCTCGAGTACTCGTATGATACACGCCACAGACGTCATAAACTGATCACTCGATTGGAAAAGGGCCGTGGGTTTTCCGCCATACCTACCTACACAGTATCCTCTGTCCCTGCCCGGGGCAAATTCATCTACAGTCAATGCGGTACTTTATCAGTTCCTTAAGACAAAGACAGTGTCTTTGGCGATTCATCTATTATCATTGCTTTCTGTCTTATGTTTTCACGCTTTTTTTGCATGACTTGTGGTTCTTAATGAAGGTTCTGTTCCAACTATCGGTGCTGGCCGCCCTTAGTGGTGGTGCTGCCGGTTCTGTGCTCCATGTTGGACATCATGTCGAAAGCCGACAATCTGGGTCATTTGAGACACATCCTATAATCTGGGATGACGTGAAAGGTTATAGCGTGCAGGTATCCGTTGGCAACCCACAGCAAAGCTTCAAGCTTACTCTCAGCAACGACATGCGGGTCGCACTGCCCACAATAGGTGACAGCGGCATATGTACAAAATCTCCAAGGTCTTTGGCATGTTCAAACTCTGCTTGTAGGTTGATTTAGTGCGAACAGCAGAAGAAAACCCTAACAGATCCAAATTCTTAGTTCTTGGCAATCAGTCAAGCACGTTCATAAACATGACCAACGTGCCGACGACAGGCTACCAGCGTGGGACCTTCCGTGACGACTTTCAACTTGGAATCCAGACCCTGAGAAATTTCTCCTTGTTCAATGATGAAACTCCTTATGGACAAGGTCGCTTGGGGCTAGGGGCTCCTAACGGAGGCTGGAACAAGACTGAACCAGATCAAGGTGGCGATAGCTTTCTCTTACAGATGGCCGTCAGTCAATTCATCGCCACGCCAGCTTACAGTATCTGGTATAATATTTCAGGTATTGAACTCATACCTATCTCAGTACCCATGCATAGAGGGGAGGCTGACAGAAGTGATAGAACCTCGGACTGGCCAGCTATTGCTCGGCGCAATCGACAAATCCAAATATCAAGAACCGCTAACTAGTATCAGTTTACACTGGATGGAATCCGGAGGGTCATACATTCGCTTGTCGTCTATCATCGCCGAAAGTCCAACGGGAAGGGACATCATCCATCCCAATCCGGGCCTTCTTCTTCGCTTGGGTTTAGAAGGCGGCCCATCTATATTTCCTCAAGAACTAGCCATTGCAGCGTGGGCTGTGGCAGGAGCTACGTGGCTGCCTCAACAGGAACAAGCAGCTGTTCCCTGTGCAATGAAGGATAGCGTGGGAAACTTCACCCTCAATCTTGGGGGCGCGAGCGGTGTCAAAATCAAGGTGCCTATGCGCCTGCTGGTTGGATACGATACAGCGGCCGGGCGATTGAATACAACCAACGACGCCGGAGATCCAATGTGTATTTTCGGCATCCTTAATGGGACGGATCCTAGAACTTATACTATCTCTGCTTCCATCCTCCGCGCTGTCTATCTAGTCGTAGACTCATCCAACAGTCAAGTTGCGATCGCGCAAGCCCAACATGACGGGACGCAGCCAAGCAATATTGTTCCATTCTCAGGATCGGCAGCCCCTATTCCGTCAGCGACCAAGGCCCCAGACCAGGAAGACCCCAATCTATCGACCACTTGGCCATCAGTTCCAAGTTCAACATCATTGTCACCCACCAGCGCCACAACAACATATGCGGCAGCTTCAGGGTTCCAGATATTGAGTCATGGGACAAATGAAACAGATGCGATAGGTGATACCAGTGGTCTCAGCCAGAGTGCCAAGATAGGAATTGGGGTAGGCACAGCAGCTGGTGTATGTATCCTGACGGGGGTTTTCTTCGCCTTCCGACGCTATCATCGACGCCAGATATCTTCTCGACAACACCCGCCACTGAGCCATGGTGACGGTGTTAAACTACATGCAGGTAATTCTGATGGGCTCTCCAATGGATTTCGAGGTTCAGAGTTGCCGAGCGATGGCATCCAGATACCAGCACAGCTGTCACATGTGTATCCGCCTACCAGCGAAGTCGAAGGCGAAAGATTGCCCCCCCTTGCATACCCTCAGGAATTATACGTTGATCCTGGACAGGCTGGCACGGTACGGGTAGAACATTCAAGGTGACCATTGAAATATTTGGGGCCAGACAGATACTGCGAATTAATCGGCGCTCAAGTCTTAGTTGACTTCAGCCTTCATTTTTGGGTTGAGCATAGTCCTCATGTGCCAACCAAAGGAACCAAGTCCAAGGAATGTACAGGCCGAAATTAGGAGCTAAGGAAGATTGTGGGGAGACACGTTGCTTTGAGCTCAGTGGATAACTGAAAGCACTGACACGAGCTGGCTTTTCGTAACGAAGGTCCTCTCTGTGACTAGTGGAATGCTTTCAAAATATAGGATCAATGGCTCGATTCTAGGTCTGTGTCCTCTATCCCCATTGGCTTAAGAACTACTTGTGCCTGGGTTCTTGATTTCTATATTAGGCCGCAGAGTGATATCAGCTCAGTATCGGGACGTCCTCGGTACACTTGGCCCTGCTGTCTGACATCTTTCGAGTATAAATAACGATGACTTTGGTAACCTGTGCTGGGTTCTGCCTGTTGATAGCTCTAGCAGGATCAGTATTCTGTGGAATCTCAATGATCTCTGTGTCGGAAAAACCATTCGTTGGTGTCCCACGCGCCGCCGGTGGACCTTCCTGTAATCTTGGCTCGCATGTTGCCCTCGATCTCGGAGTTGTCCGAGTTACAGCTTCCGCCGAAAATTGTTTTGATGGTCGATTAACCTGTGCTAATATACTAGGCAAATCGATACCGTGCTCGTCCAAAACGTCTAGGCTCGTATTTAGCTGATATTTTGGGTTTGAACTTGGTGGTGATGCTAAAGCATGTAATTCTTCTGGTAATTTGTGGCCCGCCCCATATGCGGGTGTCGTTTCATTGACAACACGAGGACCCGGTTGAGTTTGATGGCGCATATGTCCCCCACATTCACAGCATTCGTTATGTGAATCGACTCTTTGATGCATACTCAGAGCACTTGATCTCCTTTTCAACCGCGGTGAGGTTGCTACCGAACGCTGTGGGAGTTGTGCCTCTCGAGCAGTGGTATCGTCGATGTCAAAGGAAAGGTCAACCTCTCGGCCTTCTGAGCCGTATACTGATAACCACGGAGGTTGCTGGTCGGTAAAGCACAAATTGTCTTCAAATCTTGGAAGAGTTGAGTTCAAGAGTGTTTTAAGTCGGAGCACCCATATATGGGCCCCCCCTGCATTTGGGCCCCCTGTTTATTAACCACCCGATTTTCCTACTATACAACAATTTACCTCACTGTTTAACCAAACCTTCTTTAAATCTCTTCAAACTTCGTGTATATATTAATTTACTAGTTATGAAGTCGTATTTTGAATAAGACCTCTAGGAAGCCATCGCTGCCATAACTAATAGGGTAGGGATCAAGGAATCCTCCCGGGAATTCGGTATTCCCAAATCGACACTTTAGAATCGAATACGAGGTCACTAACCAAGATTAGAAGCATTTGCGAACTAACAGAGGCTTTTACCAAGTCAAAAAGAGTGGTTATTAACGTGGATATTGGCCCAGGACGCTTTAGGGTTTACCCTAACGCACGCCCAGGTTAGGGAATTTACCGAGCGTGTCCTCCACGCCTAAGGAGACACTTAACCATTTAGGAAACGCTGGTTACAAGGCTTCCTACGCCGGAATCCTAATATATTGACCTAACGGAGTATTCCTATTAATTCTAAGCGTGTTAATAGTGTTACCGTCGAGGTAATTCGGCCGTGGTTTAATTATCTCTATATCCCGCTAGTTAAAACCATTAAACCAACTAATCGTTATAATATAAACGAAACAGGACTCTTAAAAAGTGTAAAGATTAATAAATTAGTCCTCGGTAATACCTAAAAACGCTCAATTCGAAAGAAACAGCCTAATTCACGAGTTTGGATTTCCTTTATCGAATGTATCTTTACCCACGGTCGTACCCTCCCTCCATTAATCATTTTTAAAAGTAAATCGGTTTAGTAATAGTGGTTTCCTATCGATTTAAAGGATTATAAGGATTAGCACTTCACGGTAACTGATAATGGGTGGATATTAAATCCTACGGTAATCGAATAGTTATAAAAGGTCTTTATCCCGAACACAACACTTAACAACCCTAAAGACTTCCGTCTTCTAATTATAAATAGTTACGGTAACCATACAACCACAGAATTTATATATCAGTACTATAGCCATCGAATTCTGTTTATATACTTACCTCTATATACTTCTTACGTCCTCCAACCTCTCGATTTAACCGTATTTAGTGCCTTAAAAACGGCCTACCGTAAATACCTCGGATACTTTAATCAATTAACAAATAACACGGTAATCGGTAAACGTAACTTTCTTAACTGCTACCGTAGGGCCCGTTTAGATAGTTTGACGGGCCAAAATATCAAGAGTGGCTGGAAAGTAAGTGGTCTTTGGCCCGTCAGCGTGACCAAGCCTTTAATAAATCGCAATTTGGTCAATTTAGCTCCTATAATACCTGGAGGTACGCAGGTAACTCCGGGACATCAAAATACGGTAAATTCGAGGCCTATACAGTGTATGGTAGATTCTGAAGCCACGTGGTCGACCCCCAAGAAGACCTCAGAGTTGGTAGATCAAATACGGCAATTCAACACTATACATCACCACACGACTACACAACGTCAACTCTTTAGGAAGATTTATAAGGTATTCGACGATAAGAACATTCAATTAATTATTAATCAACGGCAAATCGAGGTTCTAAAAGCAAGGCTTAAAGCGGTCAAACCAAGGAAAAGGAAGAAGGTAGAATTGAGCCCAAATTCCAAGTTCGCCAACATCGAGGACATCTACAAGGCGCAAATCGCTACCGGTAAAGTCGAGACTAGTTTAGATGAAAAGAGCGACGGTAAAAGTACTAGTTCTATTACATCCTGTATCGTGGTAGAGGTCAATTAATTTAATAATAATTGTTAAATTGTGGTGTTGAGTTTTGAGACCTATTAATTACCGGGGGCCCAAATGTAGGGGGGGCCCATATGTGGGTGTTCCGACTTATCAGTCTCAGACCCTTTCCGATTGGTCAGGTTGTCAGACTGCCCGTAGCTCTCACACAGCTCCCAGTTACCTACCCCTGCTGTAGGAACAGTCCCGCTACCCACTATTCTTGGCTGTTCAACCCCGTGAGTATTGGTATCGCTCCGGGTTGTAGAGTTGATTAACTTCATGAAGTCATCCATGAGTGGCTGCATGGCTTCAGCCTGGGGGATCGTTGTGTGCAGCGTAGCGGAAGCATTCGGGGGCGGATGGTCTACGTTTCCTGTGTTCGCACCAGCTTGGTCCCGTATTTTCTGGCCTATTCGCGTCAGTATCAAAGAACGGCACTCAGTGGTGCTTGGGATATTACGATGCTTGCGCTGGGCAAGGCGGTTCTGAATTCTCTTGCGTAGTACTGCATCCTGGATTGCAGTACAGTCTTCGTCTCCCGCGTAATTTGGCATCGTGGGACTGACGACTTGGGCAACATTCCTGTACAAAATTGAGTCACAATGAATCGAACGCAATGCCCCGTAGAAATATGAACCTTGAAATAGAACGGCAACATCACAATACGGCTCTATCGCAGCGAACTTTGTTTATCATAATGAAACGCAGCATTTACAAGCAGATAACCATCGAAGCAGTTGGAATTAGAATCGAATGGCTCACCAACGCATGGGATGCAAGGTCACCGGGATGTGCAGTGAACTCGGCACGAAGAAGGGTGCGAGATCATGAGTCGTGGTTCGATGACGAAAAAAAAAGCGTCATTGTTTGTAGCATATGCATCATAGTTCCAGGGTGTATAACCCTTTGTTGGCTCGGTATTAGCAACAAGCTGTCGTCTTCCGGCAACACCCGACGGATGTCCTTCGCAGGGTGACGCTTACCAGCCATGCTGCAGCAGCTATGACCATCCAGTCGCGAGTGGGTTGCACCATTGTGCCCTGTTTACCCATCCGCCGCAGACTGCCGGCAGAAGAGCGCTACACCCTGTCCCTCCATCCTCTATACATCGAACTTTAATCCAGTCTCAGATACATGAACGGCCATGCACCGTATTCCCCGGTGGCCAATGCCTCCTGCACGGGTCGTAATTGAAGTATGGACCGTCCAATGAGACTTGGATCTAGGGATGTCGAGTATGCCTTACTCCACTGTTCTTCACGATATTCGGCATTCCCGGATACCAGGTGTTCATAACCGTACATTCGGCACCGAGAACGGATATAGAAGCGATAAGCCGTTTGAACATGCAACATTCTTCTTGATCGAGCTGCTTGATCGAGTCACTTTGGTGTGCATGTTAGAGGTAACACCACAATTTTATCGCAGCACTCTCCCTTCGTCAGGCCACGGTAGAGAGAGTACATACCTCGCTATTTTCAATGATGGCGTGCATTCATATTTACTTGGGTATATGATCATTTGTAATTGTTTCATGGCGACCTGAAGATGCATATCAACCACTTTTTCTATGATTCAACCTCGATACCTTCGAAACGGAATTCGTCATGGCTTGGTTCTCGACCATCCGCAGATCGGAGGACTCGGCACAATTCTCTGTGGTGCTGCACCTCGCAAATGTGCGAGCTAATGAGATCTATATCAATGGCGACAACTCAAGATACTATTGGCCAATGCAGCAACGACCACGAGTCACTTCTTATGCAAGAGTTGCTCTGCCTGGTGGATTCTATACGTGAACAAGTAACCCCACGCTGTCAAATGTTCCTGTGCGACTGATGTCCCGTCGCATCCGATTGGGTCTTCTAAAGCCGCGCTGTTTTCGTCGCTTTGCCGTGATCCTGCTCAATACCTTGGCACTAGATACGTCTTTCTAGCCGACAACTTGACACTGGATCTCTCCCAATTATACACAATTATCCACCACAATTGCAACAGACCATCTGAAGATGTCTCACTACGCAGATGACGAAGATTGGACCGTAATCTTAGACAAAGAACTCCGCAAAAGAATTCAGAACCGCATTGCGCAGCGCAAGCATCGCATAGTTCCAACGTCGCCCTCTCCCCAGAGATCCCTATTCCTATTGCTGACACGAGCAGGCCAGAAGCTGCAACAGCAGACCAATACAAAAGGAGAGAACACCCAAAGTCCGAGCCGCAACGTGTCGGGATCGGCGCCTATGGCCATTGCACCAGGCGAAGCCACGCATATGCTAACGGGCGACACCCACATGCTTGCCGGCAAACAGAGTTTTGGTGACACCAGTTACACGAATGTCCACGAATGGAGACAACAAAGCACGACAGGGGCAGAAAATAACCTTCTACCCGTCTTTGGCAGCAACTGGGACACGCACGTCAATTATAGACAATTTGAGGAGGGCGGATGTCCATCAAAAACAAAAACGACGGATCCTCATATTGAGCAGAACCCCATCAACACAATAATTTCGAGGTTCAAAAAACCCTTGTCTATTCCTGAACAATCACCGCACTGCATGTCGGAACACCGATATAAGACACGAGATACTGTTCAAAGTTTTGACGTAGACCCTGCCTCGTCTCAAGCACTGTCGCAGTTCGGTCTCACCTCTAGCAAATCAGCCAATCTAGAGTGGCCCGAACAAGGACGAGGGGACGATGGCCTCATGAACATCTTCGATTCCCTGCGGCTACCTAAAACGATCTCGGCTCATAGGAAACGAGCATCAAGTGTGCTAGACGTTGATCTTGGCGCACCTGCCAATGACGATTTATATGAGTGTGGCCTGCAGAAACGGCATAAAATTCAGTCTAGTCCATCCGTAGAGACTTTGAAAATAAGAAACAGACCAGAATACAGGCTGCCGGGACGTTCACGGACTTCATCAACAGGCTATATAGGCAGCCCGACATCGAAGAAAACCGCGGGCTCGGATATTCTGAGGGAACACGGAATCGATCTTTTGCGTCTGTTAGAGCAGGCAAGCCAGGCCACGAAACGAGTTACAGCACAGTCATCGCGAGGAAATTCGGGACCGCAGTGTGGAAATTGGCCACGAACACAGGCCAATCTACTGGCATCATATAATGCACCGGCCCAAGATTCCATACAGAGTCAAAATCATCAAGCACAGCACGGGGGAAGTCCTATGCTGGCCCCCAAGAAGCAGAAAACACATGTTACGAAAGTGGTGGTCATATACAGCGGCGGCGGTGGTGGAATGATCTAGCTTTGCGCGGGATGGCGAGTTAGCGGCTCAAATCAAGCCCGATAGCTATTGGCCCAAACACTTCATAATAGGATTTTTAGATTTCACTGCTAGCCTCCAAAAGTCATCCAAATGCAAAAATCTATGACTTTATTTAGAAGAAAAAGTGAAGCTCGTGAAGTATAGCTCGATAGGAATGCAGCCGCCATTTTTTACTTCTGACGGAAGGAGAGTTCTGTATAGGTCCTGAATAGACAGACGCACTGACAGTAAGGCCAAACCCGAGTGAGGCACCTAGGCACGCATGTCGTGTCCTGAACGGACCAGTCCACAAAGGCGCATTAAGCCTCGTGCTGCTTATGGCAGCCGTAGGCCGATCAATGCAAGCTTTTTAAATTACCACGACAATTAAGAGAAAACGAGAAACGGATGGGAATCGTAGAATCCGTGAGTTGCGACTTACTGTGGTCCAAGGACTTTTCTGCGCACATAAGAGCACTTATCGCGAGTAGCCAACGCGAAGGAAGCAACCACCGGTCATTCGGGTACAAAATATCATAGGCAGACAGCGACTGATCTGGAGGCTTCCGAGATGTGGGTGCCGTCGGGAGAACTACGTACGTATGCCTTCCCCCACTTTGAACCTCGCTCGAAAGCGGAACGTGGCGCAGATGGTCTCTTCCGTCCTGGATGTCAGTTTCAAGTTTTATTTCGGTTGATAACGTATCAGCCTATCAAGGTCACTGGTCAAAGCTGCAAGATGCGCCTTCTGTCATCTGCCAACCCTGCCATCAGTCAATACGGCGGTGTTTTCGGGCTGAATCCATCCATTGCAGAAGAAGTAGGGAAAGATCAACATCGTATTGAACCACTCAATAATTCACTGTAACTATACGGAAGAGGTCTGTGATTTTCAAAGCTTCTACGGACTAGGTAATATTGGCCCGTGCATGTGTAAGGAAGTACAGCTGAAGATTAAACCCGTTTTGCATCAGCATATGCCTTGTCAATAGTTCTGTAACGTCCCAGCTCCTTTACCGTACTCTTGTTGGATGCCCATTCCTTATACTGAGCCTTGAGACCCTCAATAATCTCCTCCTTCCAGCATGGCAAAGGCGGTTGGCCCAAGCCAACCATCCTAATGTTGCGATTTCCTGCCATAAGAGCTAGCCAGAAGTCTCCGGGATCAATCCTGGTGATGATCGCGCCGTCGACCGTCCCCTCGAGCATCTCTTTACACAGGCTCCATTCCTCACACAGAGGTCTGCCCAAGCCAACCCCGTCCACAGTATCCAGGGCTCGGACCATGCCACCAACCGTTCTCAAACCGCCGGTAACATACACTTTGGTCTTCGTCAAACCCGGAACGATCTGGTCAGCAAACTCGAGGAAGAATGCCTCCCTTCTCTTAGTGCTCTCGCGTTGGTGCGTCATAAGAATCTTTTCATAGCTGCCGCCACTTATTTCAACAAAGTCGAAAGAATTGGCCTCGAGGTGCTTGCAGATCTCTCGAGCCTCCTGGGTGACGAACCCCGTGTCCTGGAACTCCGTGCTGTTGATCTTGACTCCGAGGATAAAGTCCGGACGGGTGCGCCGGCGGACTTCCTTACCAATCTCGAGAACGAAGCGCATGCGGTTCTCCAACGACCCGCCCCACTCATCGGTTCTCTTGTTGATCCTTGGACTCAGGAATTGCGCGATGAGGAAGCCATGGGCCCCGTGCAGCTCAATACCATCCCAGCCAGCCTTGTCAAGATATTCGGCTACATGCGCAAAGGCGCCAATGATTCGATGGATATCCTCAATAGAGGCAGGGTGAGGGGGCTTATACTGATATATTCCATCTCCCGTTCCGTTCTTAATGACTGGTACATCGGAAGATGATACAGGAGACTCCTGAAAGACACACAATCGGCCTGGATGGTTAACCTGGGCCAGCATCAAGGACCCATTTGCTTTGCCAGCTTGCGCCACCGCTTTGAAACCCTCAAAGCGAGGTCCGTGATATGGGTGATGAGGAGACACGACAGGGTCTCCAATTGATTCAAGATGGTCCCCATAGAGCACTAGAGTTCAATTTCAAGTTAATCAAGTACTCAATACGAGTCGGAAGGCGTGGATCTGACGTACTAATGCTGCCAGTGAGGATCAGCCCGCAGCCACCTTCGCCCCATTTCTTGTACACTCTCTCAAGGTTCTCTGTTGGTATCCCGTTTTTTTCGTGGTCATCGGGATCATATGTGCAGAGCTGTTCCGTCATCGCGGCATGCATAAAGCGGTTGGAGGCGATGCATCCTGAATAGGGAAACGTAAGCGGTTCTGCGAGCCTTGACACGTCCGCTGGCTCGGATTTGTAACGTGGAGGGGTTGGATCGTCCTCCATTAGATGAGAACCGTTTTTGGGTAGGGGCTCTTCAGTAAGACCTGGTCCAAGTACTGGGAGCGCCGCTGTGGCCGCCATTGTCTGCAAGAAGAAGTGTGCCTGATATTTCTGCTGCGATATAGCTAGGTACGGACCGCATCAAGTGCTACGCGAGCTATTTATAGCCATGAATCGCAATCATACCATACTAGTTGTAGTCCTCCACCAAGGGGGTTCATCAATTGACTCCATTTATATGCCTCAGAATACACCGTGAGACGCACTATACCCCGCCATATCCGCTTGATCATGAAGAGTCACGAAGGGAACCATCTCGAACCATAACACATACGATGGATTGTCGTCTATGAGCAGATCTCAGTTTCAGAGCCACCAGCAATTCGAAATGACGCCGGGCGTAAGACATCATACGTTTATTGCCTCGACTGATTTATGTTATCAAATTAGGAAAGTTCAAACAAGGTTTCGCCGAGGTGAGTGTATCTTCACAGAAAGTTTGGATGAAGGCTACTAAGACCTACAATCCGTCAGGATCAGCTCTCAGTTGGACTTAGGGACTGACTACATCAGGTAAGGACAGGGACCAACCACGGGCCTGAAGGTATGTCTGACAGGCAGATTTCTTTCAGCGTATTATGGAATACTGCAGAATAACGCGATTACATTCATGGGCGCATCGATTGTGAATTGGCAAGTACTGCGCATACGAAGACCGGCATTAAGGGAATGCATGCGGGTGCTTGCATAGTTTCTGACGGCAGCATGACAGGAACCTAGCAGCCAAGTAAGTGCATGTGACTTGCAGAATGTGACCGCATGTGGCAAGGTGTTGCAGGCAGTGGGTCCACACGCACTGCCATTGGTATAGGATCATAAGTAGTCTTAGATTGTGGTCAGGCCAGCCAGTCGGGGACTGGTTGTATCTGTCTTCGGGGTCATCAACACTTGACCACTTGAAGAAGGGCTTGTCCGAATACGGCATCGTGCTTAACATTCAACTCTCTCTCCACATGATAATATACTTCAGTTTACACTGTGACTGCTGACAGTCAGCTGTGTGGCAAAGTTGCATTAGACAACACAAGTATCATCACGAGGTAAGAAAGTAGAACGATCACCTTATCACCAATCATGTTATGGAGCTCTTCAAGTATAGAACAAATATATGGCTCGAACTGAGTTCCATTTGTGGCAAACACTGAATGATCTAAGAGAATTTAGGATATCAGCCCAATCTTTTTTAAGGTTTTTATCATGGCAGTCGACAGTTCTGAGCTACGAAAGTTCGGAAAGGACGGCCCTCACATCCCAGCGCTCGGGCTTGGGCTCATGGGCATGTCGATGATGTATGGACATCCTGGAAATGACGAAGAACGGTTTCAAGTCCTTGACCGTGCCATACAACTAGGCGCAACGCACTGGGACAGTTCTGAGTAAGTAGTTTGCCCTTGAAGATCTCCTTGTCGTGTTTTGAGCGGGAAACAGTATATACGGTGACAGCGAGATTCTTCTAGGGAAATGGTTTGCTCGAACCGGCAAGAGGAGCCAGGTGTTCCTTGCCACAAAGTTTGGTTTTGTGAAAAGTGTACCCGATCTATCTCAGATCGACAGCTCATACGGGTACACCAAGAGAGCTTGCAATGAGAGTCTCAGACTTCTTAACACCCATTACATTGACCTGTACTACATGCATCGCGCCGATCCTAAGACGCCTATCGAACAGACTATGAAGGCACTGATTGAACTGAAAGCGTACGTTCAAATAAACTGAATTTGATCACCACAAGTTACTGCTTCTTGTCCTTTTGCCTTGTTACTCCCTACTCAGGGTTATCAAGCATCAAGACAGCATACAGAACACAGTATCACCTCAGCGGTACAAGTTGGCTAATACTCATCAAGAGAGGGCAAAATTCGATATATCGGGCTGTCTGAGGTCAGCTCTGCGACATTGCGTCGTGCCTGTAAAGTTGGACAAGTGCACGCAGTCCAGGTGGAGTACTCGCTCTTTGAAAGAGATATTGAAGGCTCAAAGGGCACAAATTTGATCCAGACCGCCCGAGAACTGGGTCTTGCCATAGTGGCATATTCGCCACTAGGAAGGGGGCAACTCACGGGATCTCTGAATCGGAAAGAATCTATCCAGAACCACGGCGACTGGCGCTCTGCATTGCCGCGATTTTCTGGTGATAACTTTGATTCCAATCTACAATTGGTCGAACGGTTGCAGGCAATCGCTGGCAGCAAAGGCATCACGTCGAGTCAACTGGCCCTTTCCTGGCTTCTCAAACAAGGCCATGATATTTTCCCCATCCCTGGGACCAAGAGGATTAAATATCTGGAGGAGAACTGGAAGTCCTTGAATGTGAAACTCACTGATGAAGAAGAAAATCTCATTAGAGCCTCTGTTCAGGCGGATGAAGTGGTTGGTGCGAGGACCATCGAGTCAGCTTTGTCGCAGTGCTACGTGGATACGTTGGAGTTGTGAGATTCAAATCTTTTGGTGGTTATTTCTGTTGGAACAGTGAACCAGCCACCTATATTACGAGCTCACCTCACCAGCCGCTCCATATACTACGTATATATCTACACTTACAAGTGTACTCCTCCGTAACTTCCCGTCCAGCCAATCAATCAATCCATTCCATCTATATCGTCCCCCATATCTTGACAATTTCTTCGATATATGAGAACTTGAGAAGAAAAAATGGAAATGGTTCCAGGTTTAGCAGCTATTAAAAATAAGAAGGAAAAGACTCGCAGGCCGGTCAATAAAACTGGTGTAGGCTTTGCGAATGATGCTCAGCCGCAAGTATCCAATCTGTCGACGACAGTAGGAACATGGCTATATATGATTAAAACACATAATTATGGAACTACGAGCAAAACATGCTTGATAAATTTTCGTATTTGCTTGCAAGGTGACTTTTTATTCATAAGCATATGAAACTACCGTTCATTCTAGCCAGTCGTGCAATACCGGCTTTGTTCTCCACCACTTCCGGCTATCCCTTCGATAACCACAAAGTTGAAGTGCTAAGCAGGCCAGGTGGCCATCAAATCTAGACTAGCTAAAGTTCCATTGGGCACACCAACGGAGTAGCATCTCCTTTGAGATAGGCTGGGAGTTCTTCATTGTTGGACTGATCGTGGTCGTACGAGACATGTCAAATATGACCGGCGCAGCGTCCATGCCAGTAGAGGCCGCAGCTCGGTATGTATCCAGGAGTCTGAGACCAGTGTTGGTGTCATCACCCTCAGTTGCGCTTTGCTCTAACCTTTCTAGCCAGTCTTCAAAACTGATCAGTTCCCTGATTCGATCAGAGTAAAACTGGTGGACGGCTGGAACAAGGTGCGCCCACGTAGTAGTAGCTGGGTTAACACCATGGAAGTATCCATTCGAAAAGTCCGTTGCAGTGGATGTGTTACCAGATACTCCCGCAATATCGACCAATATTTGAGCAATGCGCTCAGCCGGCATCCAGTCCACACGGTCAAGTCGACCAAGATGCTTGGGTAGTGCAGACAGATACAAGCTGCTTGATATCAAGTTTGGAAACCACTCGCGACGGTTCCACTCCGCAGTTGAATTTTCATTTTCGGAGCCGGCAACCTGCCCGACGCGAACTGTTGCCGACAAGAAGTCACCAGCAATGGCTGCATCGTCCAGGATCAAACTCGCCACCATCTTGCTGCGGCCGTATCCGTTGCTGGGTAGATGCCAGTCTTGCAATTGTGTTTCGGGCACTGGTCCGTTCCGTTCCGTGTTCCAGCGGTCAGCAGTGGAGACCGAGGAAATGAATATGACTCTCATCCGTTTTTTTGCCGTAGCAGAGAAATCAGCGATTCGTCGGACTCCTTGTATCTGTGGCTCGAACGCGTTCACATGGAGGTTGAGGTTCACCGGCCATGCGGAATGGATGATACAGTCAACTTCTTGTTGGAGATCCTCATAGATATCTAGCGGCAAACCTAGGTTCGCCTCGGCCAGGTCTGCGTGGAAAAAAGCTGCCTTTGTGTTATAGACCTCTGAAAGTCCGCGGCTTTGCATACTGTCTGCCTGTTGTCGAGCTCCCCCGTCTTGGGCTCGATTGAGGCATACAACCTTTTTGACAGTAGGGCTCCATGCCAACGAATCCAGCAGATAGGAGCCCAACATACCTGTCGAGCCAGTCAAGAGTACTGTCTGATTTTGTGCGAGAGATGGGGGTCTTCCAGGCTTGGCCTTCGTTACATTTTGGCTATATCGAGCATGCAATTTTTGCATGGCCTCAACCTCTTGATTGTCTTCGTCGTCAGGCTGATCTATGAGATGGCCTTCGCGACTGGAACTCCTAGTCATTTGCAGAACAAGCTGTGCCAGATTCCTCAACGTAGGGTTGGCATATATAACTCTGGGCCCCAATTGATTGGAGCCAATGGTAAACCCGGATGCGGAGAGGCCAGCGCGAATTCGTCGAGACATGTTTATCACTTGAAGCGAGTCGATACCACTTTGAAAGAAATCCTTCTCTGGATCAATCTTAAGCCCGTTTGTGCATGCCTCAACGATGCGACGAAAGGAAGCGATGAGTGACTCCTCCGACGACAAGTCAAGTTGATCCGCCCTGCCGAGATAATGTCTCTCGGCGTCTTTGTAGAGTTGGTCAATTTCCATTTCATAGACTTTAAGGGTTTCAGTACGCTGGATGGTTCCTTTGCCGCTTCTCTGGAATGGTTTGTTGGGTTTGCTAATGGCGATGTGGCTACGTTCAATACGACCATGTCGGACTGTGTGCTGGTTGACCCCGTCGACAAGGTGCCATACGTTTTCAATCAAGTCTTGTGTATCCTTTCCTAGATTGCGCGGTGTCAAAGGTTCCAGGAGTAGAGCAGGTTGTAATCTGTTTGAGCCTACAACCAGGGCGTCATTCACTGCCGGATGACGTCGAACAGCGTCCTCAATGGTGACAGGGTTCAGCTTCTCGCCATTTGAGAATACTATCACCGTATCACTACGGCCGTGGTGAATCCAATGATGAGGAATCGTGGGATGGGGTTTGAAAAGATCCCCAGTGCTGAACTCATTTACATAAGGAAAGGTGTAGAAGAACCCTTGAAGTCCTGGGTGCTTCTCTTTCCGGGTCACTACCAGTTCGAAGCTGCCATCTACCTCACGCCATTCAGCACCGAGGAGATCTGGATTGACAATAAAATATTGCCATAGTTCCAGCCTAGGTTGGTAATAGACGGGGAATGGGGCAAATCTAAAAGCCATCAGTCGATAGTTGGTCATGGATTGGTATCGCACGTACTCGGTAGAGTTGAGTGTGTTATTGATGACCACACCGTTTTGGACTAATGTGTCACCAGCTTCCTGGGCAAGTGGGCCTACAGGACGAACGTTAATGAGAGGAGCCAAGAAAGCAGCGCGAGAGATCACATACCACCACCCCAAGATACCAACTTCAGTCTCCTCAGAGCTGAAATGTGTTTCTGGCTTTGGCTCATATCCTCAAGAACGGACGGAGGAATAACTGCACAGTCTATGTCGAGATGTTCTAGGCACTCCATAACAAGGTCTGATGTGAGGGCGCGGCCGCTAAGCCCCAGGACAATTGGTGTATTCCAATATATAACGTAAAATACGAAAACATAGAGTGCCGCTGCATGAAACAGTGGCATCTCCAAGGCGTCAGAGACTTAAGTTATTTGTTTACTATGAGGAATGAGACTTACAGGGACGAAATGCCGTCTGGATTTCGTGGCCCATGCTGGGACCCAGTGAGTGTAGCCATGCCAAGTCGGCATAAGATGGTAGGAATCACAGATGGCCATCATTCCCTTGTTAGGTGTAAGTTGAGCATTCTCACAATGAAGATGTATACAAGGTCAGCCAACGTGCGTACCTGTCTTACCACAACGGGTTTCGGCATACCGGTGCTCCCACTGGTAAGTCGGAGCACCCATATATGGGCCCCCCCTGCATTTGGGCCCCCTATTCACCAACCACCCGATTTTCCTACCATACAACAATTTACCTCACTGTTTAACCAAACCTTCTTCAAATCTCTTCAAACTTCGTGTATATATTAATTTACTAGCTATAAAGTCGTATTCTGAACAAGACCTCCAAAAAGCCATCGCTGCCATAGCCAATAAGGTAGGGATTAAGGAATCCTCCCGGGAATTCGGTATTCCCAAATCGACACTTCAGAATCGAATACGAGGTCACCAACCAAGATTAGAAGTATTTGCGAACCAGTAGAGGCTTCTACCAAGTCAAGAAGAGTGGTTATCAACGTGGATACTGGCCCAGGACGCTTTAGGGCTTACCCCAACGCACGCCCAAATTAGGGAATTTGCCGAGCGTGTCCTCTACGCCCAAGGAGACACTTAACTATTTGGGAAACGCTGGCTATAAGGCTTCCTACACCGGAATCTTAATATATTGACCCAACGGAGTATTCCCATTAATTCTAAACGTGTTAATGGTGCTACCGTCGAGGTAATTCGGCCGTGGTTTAATCATCTCCATATCCCGCTAATTAAAACTATCAAACCAGCTAATCGTTATAATATAAACGAAGTAGGACTCTTAGAAGGTGTAAGGACTAATGGATTGGTCCTCGGTAATACCCAGAAACGCTCAATTCGAAAGAAACAGCCTGGTTCACGAGCTTGGATTTCCTTTATCGAATGTATCTCTACCCACGGTCGTGCCCTCCCTCTATTAATCATTTTCAAAGGCAAATCGGTCCAGTAATAGTGGTTTCCTATCGATTTGAAGGATTATAAGGACTAGTATTTTACGGTAATTGATAATGGGTAGATATTAAATCCTACGGTAATCGAATAGCTATAGAAGGTCTTCATCCCGAACATAACATTTAACAACCCTAAAGACTTCCGTCTTTTAATTATGGATGGTTACGGTAACTATATAGCCATAGAATTCATATATCAGTGTTATAGCCATCGAATTCTGTTTATATACTTACCTCTATATACTTCTTACGTCCTCCAACCTCTCGATTTAGCCGTATTTAGTGCCTTGAAGACGGCCTACCGTAAATACCTCGGATACTTTAATTAATTAATAGATAACACGGTAATCGGTAAGCGTAACTTTCTTAGCTGCTATTGTAGGGCCCGTTTGGATGGTTTAACGGGCCAAAATATTAAAAGTGGCTGGAAAGTAAGTGGTCTTTGGCCCGTTAGCGTGACCAAGCCTTTAATGAGTCGCAATTTGGTTAATTCAGTTCCTATAATACCTGGAGGCACGTAGGTAGCTCCGGGACATCAAAATACGGTAAATTCGAGGCCTATACAGTGTATGGTAGATTCTGAAGTTACGTAATCGACCCCTAAAAAGACCTTAGAGTTGGTAGATCAAATACGGTAATTCAACACTATATATCACCACACGATTACACAACGTCAACTCTTTAAAAAGATTCACAAGGTATTCGACGATAAGAACATTCAACTAGCTATCAATTAACGGCAAATCGAGGCTCTGGAGGCAAGGCTTGAGGCGGTCAGACCAAGGAAGAGGAAAAAGGTAGAATTGAGCCCAAATTCCAAGTTCGCCAACATCGAGGACATCTACAAAGCGCAAATCGCTACCGGTGAAGTCGAGACTAGTTTAGATGAAGAGAGCGACGGTGAAAGTACTAGTTCTATTACATCCTGTATCGTGGTAGAGGTCAATTAATTTAATAATAATTGTTGAGTTGTAGTGTTAAGTTTTGAGACCTATTAATTACCGGGGGCCCAAATGTAGGGGGGGCCCATATGTGGGTGCTCCGACTTATGAAGAACACACAGAGGGTCCCACTCAGCCTCGGCAAAGGACTTTATATAGACAAAGTCTGGTGCGTCTCCAGCTAACCATGCATCCAGAGGGGCAACTTGGACTGCTATCATTTCTCTGGCCAGTATCCATGGTTGAATGATGTCACGAAATGACTCCGCGTACGCAATTATGCGGCATTGCGTCGCTTCGAAAAGGCCCAATTGCCCTTCTTGGGAGTTTCTGGGGGATATGAATAGAGTCTATTTGCTTCTTAGAACAGGGGAAACTGCAGGTACGGAGGCGTAGGCGTGTGTTTAACTCACTTGGTAGCCTGCTTTGACTGCTGCTATCATCAAGATAACGTATCTTGCATCTTGCGGCCCGATGTAGGCAATCGTCGGGAATTCTTTACTTTCATGACTTCTTGGTCCATGGGTCTCAATGATCCAGTGGGCACAACGGTTTATGGCAGACGCGTAATCTTTGAATGTGACAACTCTCCAGCCTTCTGCGGGATTATCCACTGAATTTGGGATCTGGAATGCCTCACGCAACGGGTCTCTGCCTGCAATCTCGTCGATTATGCTTGGCACCAACCGATGACCATACTCGGGCAAGCTCATGGTTGATGGCAAGAGAGGATTCACTTGATCCTCAAATAACACTAGAGTATTGTTACGTTGTTCTGTTTTGTTTCATGTTATCATTAAGCGGCGTTTTATTCACCACTTGTCGTGAAGTGCGGATTTAAACTTGAGCATGGCTTGCTCACAAATCCACTGGATGATTGTCTTCGGACCGTAAATCACAGTTGTAATTAGCGCACCAGGGAATGAAATTATGTTAATTTCGCCAATTGTGGTAAGCGAGATAGCCAGAGTTGGCCGGAAACGACCTGAACGAGTCAGAAAAATGCTACGTAAGGCATGCCCAGAAGCAATGTGGTCAGCGGGATAGGGGTCGCTTCAATCAGAAATGCCACACAGATCGATGCATTTTTCATGACTGCATTTTTCATGACTATGCATAAGAGGACTTCCATTGCGCTTACGTATAGGATCAGCTGGTATCGACGCAATTTCTGACTATTGGAGATTTCCGGGATAGAGTGGGCTTATTTCGTCGGGCTTATTTCGGCATGACGGGTAAGTTGACAGCGTCCTTGTCATACTATGTAGAAGCATGTCCGTATGAGATATTTGAGGATTCCATGCCTGTTTGTAACCCAGCGCAGATTTGGTAAGCGATGTTTTACATCAGAGTGACACAGGGGAAAATGGTGATCGCAGAGGTCTTCGCGGAAGGGCTGGCCGCAATGCTGGCCAAGTGGCGGACGAGCGTCAGGGAAACATCACACGTGTAGCCCTCTGACAACACTTGATCATGTAGTAGTAGATTAAGGAAATGCCAACACATATATCGTCAATGATTTAGAGGCATAGATCTGATGGGTGCCTTTGCTTCGGAGCAGCATTTTTGCTCTCTCCCAAACCATTAGGTTCTTTCATCACCTTCCTGTGACGACTCAAGCCCTGGTACGTGAGCCAAATGGATAGGGACGGCGTTGCAAGAACCCGAACCAGCGGAAAACGTCAAGCCTGCGACCACTGTCGATCTCAGAAACTCAAGTGCACTCGCCTCGAGGGGCACCTTTCGGAAAGTTGCTTTAGGTGCTCAAAACAAAAGTTAAAATGTACCACAAGCCCGCCAAAAACATCAGGCCGTCCGCGATGTCGGAAGGTAATAAACCACACGTCCCAGTCAAGCTGCTTTCCTCTCACTTCGATGCCCCTCGACGTAGAGGACAAGACGCAAATTGCCCTGGGGAAAGATACGACCGACTTTATGTGGGAAATGGGATTGGAGCCCTTACATTCTCTCTCCCCATTTGATGAGGGCGGTCTCATCGCACCTGCGTCTACTTCAAGAGACTTGCTGCAATCTGGAGCACCTTTCTTTCAATCAATGACCTTAGACGTTAATCTACTCGTATCCGCACATATAGCTGATGCAGTCCAATGGCAAACCAAAAGCACTGGTGTATCCCTAGCCCAGTTGCATCTTGAGCTGTCTAGACTTGTGCTATCAGTGGGGACTGGAACATGGGATATTAGAGACGTTATCCATGTTGAGGTGGTATATGCCGGGGATACACAAGCACACCGGCTAGAATCGGCCAGTTCGGGGTGGAATCCTTTGATCCAAATTTGTGAAGCCTCAACGCAATTTGGGGGGCTTTTGAAAGGGCTACAGCCAGCAACATGCAACGAGGGAGCGGTCTTCACTATTGAACCGTTGGGGCTATCAGTAGCGCTTCCAAGAACGACCTATCTTCTCGATTCCATGTCTTGTTACCTTCAGATCATTTCGGTTTTCAACTACATATTCTCCAAGGCGTTGGAGCATTTGACTGATAGCTCTCATACTGGCAACACAACCGGAACCACCCATCCAAACATTCACTTGGGAGGAGTCCCGGTACCTCCAGTAGACACCTCGCCTGGAATACTCCTGGCACGCTTGACGGAACATCAACTCCAGCCCATCGAGCGACTTCTTGGGTTGCCAGAGACCTTCTGTGCTTCACTACAGCCAAGTAATGAGCCCTGGGTTGATCGCGCAGGGCTCTTCGGGAATGAACACGGTCCCTCTCTCCTGGATTCCCTTGCGAAATTCGGCGAAGAATATCACTTTTCATGTGACGTGTCGATTATCAAATCATTGAGAGGGAAGATAAGAGAAGCCCAAAGTTTATAGCTTGGGCAATGGAACCCGGTTCGGAGGATGAAACACTGGCAAATGCCTATTGCGAGGCCGGGCCTGACCTGAGTAAGTGTTGGCCCCTTTCTCACGCGTTTTGCTGACTTTCTGGGGCAGCGTTTTTTTCGTCGTGTGGTCACTGCTGATAGGAAGAAAGTTGCTAGGCTGAGTATGGAACACCCGACGTGGTGTGCTCATCGCTAGACTATTGGAAAACAGATGAGAGATTATCGCATGGACGGGTGACGTAATATATAGATAATGGTACAAGAAGGTCGGCGCGAATATAACTGTTTCATTGTAACTCTGTCAAGAGTTGTAGCTTCTCAGCCTCATCCCAGAAACATTACATGTAATGGTAATAAGGTGGAGATTCGCAGTAGTATGTAGACTTTGTCGACTGTCTCAATGGCTACCCTATAGATCGGTTAATGTCAGTGATTAGTCATTGTCCTTTTGGACTTCGGTCTCTGTCAGAGTGTCAGACAGGTGGCTTGGTGACTTAATCATGGCCGCATGTAATTTGTCAGATAGTTGCCACCATCATGCCTTAAGAGACTCAAGTGCACCAGGCTCATGCGTCCCTCGGATTCTTGATGCTTTGCATGTTCCTTATTTAAGACGACACCTAATGTTGTCCCTACCTCACGCTGGCCATCCGCTTCTACGCCGCCTTCTCATTACCCAGTCAGCTCAGCTTCTCTACTAAATCATCACTTGAGGCAATATGCAGAGCCGCATATACTTCCTGGTCACTCTTGCGAGTCGAATCTGTGCGTTCAAGACATATCCGGCCTGTCCACCTCTGGCAGGCGACGTCACCGTGAATGTCTCAAACATCTTCCCTGAGAGTGCTGAATTCGCACCTTCGAATTGCAGGTTTTATATCGGGTAGGCAATCTGCTAAGACCTTTTTTATCTAGCAATGCTCATCGTGGTCAAGTTCTCTTAGTAATGGTAGTCTGATCGAACACGATCCATACACTTCTACCACGAGGGAAATTAATCTTCCCGGGGTGAGCCACAATACAGACTACTTCGTTTGTGGGGTGGACTTCGGCTATGCGTCAGGGACCATTTACGTGGCTGCTAGCTCACGATACAACTGGTGGCCGACCATAGGTGGGAACCTTACCGGACCCTCTCGACTGATGAAATATTCTCCTCTCAACAACGAAATCATTTGGTCTACCAATGTGGGCGCTGTAGTCTCTGCAGAGAAACGGGAGACGAACACCCCATTTGCTGGATTCCAGGACATGGCAGAGGACGAAGATGGCAATGTGTACTTTCTTGGATCTTTTGGTAACATCATCCTGAAGGTTGACCCGGAAGGTAAGGCAACCAAGTTTTACAGTCCAGACCCCGTCACCGATAAGTCATACGGCTTCGGTGGCGCATTCATGACAAGGGAAAATGTGCTTGTCGTTGGCGATGCGATATCGCAAGGATTTGTCATCTTCGATCTTTCGAGTTCAAACCCCTCACTAGCTACTTTCACCAAGCCCACAGGACACCCAAAGGAATTCGATGAACACGTCATGGAATGTGACGCTGTGACTGCGCCAAGGAGATACGAAGACAATGTCGCGCTGTGTTCCCTAGTCGTGGACAGGAAATTCTCAAACCATGGAATGATTACCGTGTACACATCAGTGGACGGTTGGAAGAGCAGCAATTTTGCTGGGATGATCCGGACGGAGTTCGGCCAATCTCCAGATATTTGGTCCACTGCCCAGTTGGGAACTGCTGACAGGGTGTACGCTTTATCGTCGTCACTCCCTTACGATGACGCCGGGTTCCCGAATACTAAAAGCACCACGCTCGTTGATATAACTGACAAGGTTGATCAACTTGTGGGGAAATTCGGGCCGAATCAAGATAGAAACGCACATGAAGAACTCTGATGGTTTCTTTTCTACGTTTTACTCGAGTAGTCTTGTATGGAGGCTGCCTCTCATTGATGAATGCCAGAGGAGCAAATTGCAGTCTTATGAAGTTGACAGGCATGTCATTTCTACTGGTAGCTTAGGCTGCTGAGCTATGTAGCAGTATCAGAGATGTGAGGTCGGCTGTAGACAGTTCATATTCAGGATTGGCCTCTTGTGCGGCATATGTACGGGTCACACATCGTTTGCGGTGACAAACTCGCACGTGCCACTGATCATTATGTGTTTACATTGTAATGGCCCCTGACATGCAGTATGAGCGACGATTAGCACAATGTAGGTGGCATTTTACGGTGCGAGTTTGGTTGCAGGCCGTTCATTGGCAGAACTCAGAGCTGCCTCCTTCCATGCCAAGTGGATGGACGCTATTCAACACTTGGATCAGGGGCCAAACAGACCTAAAGATTGCGCGCGCTATTCGACCAACCACCCTGTCCCACAACAAATACCTCCACATAGCAAGGTATGACTCGCCAGTGACTATTTCGTACCGAAAAGGCTTTAGGCGTCTGTCATTCGAACCCAACAGGTGGAGAATCTACCATTAGATTGCCTTAGACCTCCTTTTCATGCTCCGTCATGAGCAGTGGGCAAGAAGTTCAGACCAGTTGGAACTATTGTCACCACTGAGCGCATATATGGAACGGCACGGTCATCAATACGCTTCAAATGGCGGGCGCATAACAACCGCCCTACCTCCACGGCCAATTCTTTGATGGTAGCCATCATACCGTGACTGCTCCAGTCGGTGTACATGCATTCAGGAGTTAAATATTACCCTGCGTCGTTTAGTCGCATGCAGTCAGGCCATGGGTAGCTGTGGTTACGTCGAATTATGCATCACGGAGTCAGGTTGTTATCTCCGTGGTAACTCCATTCATGTCCCAACACGATCTAAAAGCTGCGTCAGACGTGAGTACATTGAGGCAACTTACGGTAATGCAGTTCAAAGGGTCACCTTGATAATCCATGAACGGAGTGCTCACCGTACCATGCCGAGTTTCTTCACAATGCGGGGATGCAGGTTGCTCTGACTCGAAGTCACGTAACATATCTTCCTTTCAACACCGCTGAATTGAATGCCCTCGTCACACCCGTTCCAATGATGGAATTCATCTGATGGGAAACATGCCCAGGAGATAAGGGCGACCAGTTTCCAAAGAACTCCTCCGTACTTTACGGTATCCCAAATCAATAACAAGTGGTGCTTGTAAAGCCCTTTATTCTTTTATTACTTTTTGTGAAGAATACATTTCAAATTGACTGCGCTTTTGCTTATCGTCCTCGCACTTCTTACAAGGATATATGGGCCATGATGACGCAAATACGGCGCTTACCACGCGAATGTCCAGGCCTCCCTTGTTTTGCTCTGCTCCTGTCCTATGTATCTCTGTTAGGCCTTATTTCTGACAGCCCGGGAATCCTTAGTTATTACGTGGAGCATGGGATTTCTCCAGTCAGCCAAAATGCATGCTATGCAACATTTAAGCCCATAAAATAATCTCTCTACAGACCTAGAGTCCTTGGGCGACCATATAATCAGGCCATATGACAAATCATGTTCAGCAGCCACAGCTGTTGAAGCGTAGGGGAAATTAGCTGATAATAAATAAGAGCAACTCACCTCTCTAATCTACATGACACACAAGCGTGAGGCAGAAGCTAGTTACTGGCTAATGGTCGATGACAAATTCCGTAGTACACCCTGGAGTTTAGTTGAGATAATGAACAGTAATTGATTTGGCTGATGCTGGTGTTCCATCTCTCGCTCTGTCTCCCGCTTCCCTTCTATCGCTTGTCGTCTTGTTCGTTTCTTGACGGCACCGCCGGGCTCGGACCAGAGTGCAAATCATCTTTCGTAAGCTGGCATGGGAGACTTTACAGGGGCGGATCTTCGGCACCCGGTGTTCATCACCCCTCAATGGGAAAGGGGCACTGCAGGCACTTTGAGCAACGATGAAGCCGGGGCGGAAAATTCCGGAGGTGACAGATCAGGTCTCCAATTGAATCGACGCACTACCCTCGGTCAACACCGCACAAGTTCACAGGCCACGCCCACGGAACGCTTCGAGCAAGGATCGCTGAGGGGCTCCGTATCATCATTCTCGTCGCACCCTCAATACCACAGAAGGCTAGATTCGGGTGATCATCAGCATATCCCAGTTTCAGCGGGCTTGGCGAACAGTTTGAGGCCATCAGCACAAGGGTTAGCTCATAGCCCCCAGAGCCGGCGGCGGGATTCACCTGCAACCGGAAGTTGTGCTATGCGCTGCGCGAGCTGCATGGACGGCAGCGCCCACCACCCACAGACTTGCAATGCAGCTGGCTCGACAGAGCAGAGCCACCGGCTTTCCACCTACGAGATGTCGCCACAAAATTTCTCCCACAATCATGAGTCCAGCATGAACTCGGACATATCACACCAACGTGGATTCGACTCGGACCTTTTCATGCCAACCCCAACCAGAGGCCATGTAGCTCCATTGACTCCATCAGTTTCTGTGGCATCTCAGTCCTACCTGAGAGACCAAGCAAACGGGCTAGGATCTCACATTGATCACTATACCGAAGAGGAAGAAGGCTGCGAGCAGGATACTGCAAATAACATTGGCGCGAGGATAACAAAGGTGGTTGTGATATACGTAGAGGAGAGCGATTAAGTAGATAATTGTGCTGATATAGCACGTATTCACACTCCATAACATACGTATCTTTGAAATCTATCCCGTCGAGGTTCAATGGCGTCACTTGTTCGGCGCCTTTTCTTTCTTTTTGCCTCAAATACTTCCATGAAGAAACTTCGACCTCTGTTTAAGCAACAGAGTTGGGAGTAATATGGATATAGATCGAGATTCTTAGCATATAGACTGAGGATACTAATTTGCATTGCTATATGTGCCTATGGATGTCATGATATTTATTCGCCTGCCATAAATAGAGAGTACATAGCATGTTGAAATCGCCATGTGGATGATGAACCTATACTGCACGAGGCAGAGACGTTATATGTGCTGGCGGTTTTCGCTCGATCGTGAATGGTGCTTCAGAAAGGATCGACACGTCTCCAATAACCTACTAAGCCTATCGATGTGCTGCAAACCAGACTTTGACAGCTTTGAATCATAGGTGGCGCTCAATACCGTTTTTCGCCATTATCCTCAAATAAGGACCCTTCTCCAATGATGTGAACACGTCCCATTGCTCGTGGATGAAGTGGCTGTTGGTGGTGTCAATGCCGGGCAGGTCACCCATCCAACGCCCACTGTTAGGCACTGGCTCCACATCGAAGAGGTACAAGATGCGCGCCAGAGCAAATGTCATCTCGCGCAAGGCCAGATTACGCGCAATACAATGTCGTGGGCCAAGAGAAAAAGGATGGAATACTGTTTGAGCGAGCTTGACGTCTTCAGGAGTGTATCCCGTCTGCTCGTCCGCTGTCCATCGCTCGGGAATGTAGTCATGGGGTCGGTCGAAATACTTGGCATTGCGAAAGATGGTGAAGTGAGGCACCGAAACCCAGAATCCCACGGGGATCTCCTCGCCTGTCACCGTTATCCCACCCTCGTCAACCACGCGTGGGATGCTGGATGGCACAGATGGACATAGCCTCATTGCTTCATCTAGGCAGGCCCTCAAGTACTTGCAGTTCTCTGCTGTGTTTGGGTGTATGTCCTCCAGCTTGGGGAAGGTCTTGAAAAGTTCGCTCGATAACTTACGAAGAATTCGTGGATGATTGGTGAGATAGAACAATGCGGTGTTGATTGCAGTAGTCGATGTGTCGGACCCTACAGCCAAAATTTCAGCTGACTTGGATGCACACTGCATGGATCTGAAACACTCACCAGCCATCATAAGGAGAGTTGCCTCGCCAAGTAACTCGTCAGGGCTATAAACTGCCCCAGTCTCATCGTCCTTATTGTTCAGGAGGTGGGCAAGGATATCTTCGTAGCCTCGCTCCTCGACCGCTTCCTTATCAAGCTCGATATTCTCGCGACTCTGGATGCGCTTCTCAGTGTAGTATCGGGTGTACTGTCCTAACGTATTTGTAGCGTGGAACAGACGCGGGAAGAAAAGCCTGTCCAGAGAAAAGCGTTTGAGAAGAGGCTCCTGGCCTGTCTGTTGTTACGTAAGAACCCATAAGCAGAAATGATAATATGAGGGTGTCTGACCATGTAAATTCGGATAGCGCGCGCATGGACGTTCTTCATCATATCTGTGCCCCGGCCAGCGATAAAGCCAAAAGCCTCACCAAAACAGAGACCGCCCATTATGTCCAGCATGAGATAGTTGATCTCATCAGCCATATTGAAGGTTCTCCAATGTCCCACGGTGGAAGGGAACTCACCACCATTGAATTTTACCGACACCTCGTCCACTTTGGAAGAGATGAAAGGCGCATAGTGTGGGAGAGCTTTTGCAGAGAATGCTTTACTCATGATGCGTCGCTTCCTTCGATGTTCTTCCTTGTCTGCGGTATTGAATACGTTCCGTGCATGTGGGTTTACCCGAAACGATGCGTAGAACTCTTCTGGTTTGGACACATTCTTGTTGAATCCGTAAACCTCTGGTCTATGTTAGTCTTCATATTACCGCGTAACTTGTACCCTTTGTCCTACCATTAAGGGCCTCCATTTTGTTGATGGACAGCTTGTTAGGCGAGTAGCGAACTTTCTCTCCTAAAGATCGTGGGCGATATTAATAAACCCGCCAAATATCACAAGTGATAAATCAAACTTACCGTATTTGACATGTAGGCGGTAAACATAATGATGGAAGTCGCCTCTCCACGCATGATATAATACTGGTAAGCCGCTCAGTTTGGCGCTGAGCGGCCCCGGGAATTTTCGGTAGGGGTGGAAGAATAGTCGATACACAGTAACATAGGCCAACTATGTCCGTCAGAGCTGTCTTGAGATGGAATTGGGATGAATATCTCGTTGTTGCCATTGTGTAGATCTTCATGGCGGGCGCCACTGCACGTACCCATAGTGCTATGCCAGACAACGCAAATCCGATTGTATCAAAGAGCACTTGTGAAGTCAAAATCGAGAGTAGAAAACTTAATGCCATGGCTGAAATTGTCAGTCGATGACAGATTTCCAATGTTGTTGATGATAAAGATTGTTAATGAAAAGCGGAAACGCTGCTAAAGACATGTCAAACCGCCACCTGTACTGTGTAAATGATAATACAGTATGTGTAATGCCATAGCATCATAAGTAGCTCCTCGGCAATTGAGAAATCGACTCACGGCTTTCTACCTACAACGCCCCCTATTGTGCCCTTGTGAATCATCTTATTTCCATGTCCGGCCTTATCTCCGCCTCAGAGCCCCTGGCAGCGGGTTGGCTGTCGAATAGCGCAAGGCAATGTTGCGTAGACTCTAGCTAGGCTTACATGTGGCAAAATTGTCCTAATGCAAGTAAGTAACGACACCGGTCACCAATGGATCCGTTGCACTGAGAACGCATGTCAGGCCTGTTTCGAAAGACTGACCCCCCTGGGGAACGGCCTTTGCCAAGCACTGGGCTGGATAATGCACTGACAGCTAAGACGCGCCATCTTTTCAGCTGCAGTCAGACATACCTTGTCGGAAATTTTGGTATCACGGGAGCACCCGCACCGCTGCTACCTGGCTACCTGGGTATCTAAATACTAGACGAGGGTAGTCGCCAGGGGTTGATCCTGGGCTGATCTTGACAACGGATCGAATCGAACATAAAAAAGGGTTCAGCCCTTGTATCTGAAATTGGAAGTATTCTATTTCGGGGAACTCGTACATACGTTTGACGGTCGGAAGCTCAAAATGTCTGGCGTTCGATTTCCAGTGGGTCAATAATTACTACCTTTCTCAGGCGACCGTTACTGATGCACGTGTACAAGCCGAATCCCAGTGTGTCTGAAGATCCTCACGAATCACCCCAAACGAGTGGCGGCACGATAGAACGCCAGCCTTTGCTTGGCCAGAATACCTACAAACCTGAAGCCCCTCCAGATGGAGGCCTCGAGGCTTGGCTAGTCGTCTTAGCGGGCTTCTTCATCTTCATGAACTCCTGGTGAGTAGAAAACGCGATGCATAGTGTTCGTCAGTGCTAACATGACTGAAGGGGCATTTCCAGCACCTTCGGAGTATTTCTGGAGCATTACCGGACAGTTCTTTTCCCTGGGGTTTCTTCTTCGACTTTGTCATGGGTAGGAAGTGTTCAAGCGACCTTCATTACCATCACCGGAGTCGTCACAGGCCCTTTGACTGACCGCGGCTATCTCAGAGCCATCGTTATTACTGGCCATTTAATGATCGTTTATGGCATGTTCATGCTATCTATATCTACTCAGTACTACCAGGTATTGCTAGCACAAGGGTTCTGCGTCGGACTGGGCGCCGGTGCGATCAACATTCCTGCCTTTGCCGTCATCTCATCCAAGTTCTCAAGCCGAAGGCCATTCGCCCTCGGTTGCGCTTCCACGGGGGCAAGCATTGGTGGGATAGTTTTCCCTCTCATGTTCCGCAGGCTCACCCCTGAGCTTGGCTTTCCCACTACGGTGCGACTCATAGCCACTGTGTGCCTCTTGGTTTCCATTCCAACACTGGTGATACTGTGCCGTAAGCCCGGCGTAAGGTCACCCACAGCAAGGATTGTCTTGGAGCCTCGCGCTTTTAACGAGCCGTATTTTGGGGTATTTGTCATCGCCCTTTTCTTTCAGTTCCTAGCATACTACATTCCTCTCTTTTATCTCACGACATTTGCCGTCGTCAAACTCAAAACGGGGCCTGCTTTCGCTTTCGACCTCCTCACAATCAGCAACGCGGCCTCGTTCTTTGGGAGAACATTGCCCTACCTGCTTGGAGGCCGCGTCACTCCTATCCAAACACTCATATTGTGGGAGATTATAGGCGTCGTGCTGTTGTTTAGCTGGATAGCTGTCAAAACGGTGGATGGAATGATAATGTGGACAGTGGCTTGGGGATTTCTGTCTGGAGTCCTTGTCACGGCGCCAGCGGCCAGTGTCGCACACCCCACGCTCAGTCCAAGTCTAGGTGTCATCGGTGCACGGCTGGGTATGAGCTGGGCGACAGCCGCTTTGGGGGTTCTGATTGGGGCCCCAGTCGCTGGTGCCCTGGTTGACGTGGCAAATGCCAATTTCGTGCTGGCACAAACCTTTGGCGGGGTATCTATGGCGCTTGCTGTAAGTCTAATGACCATCCCGGTCATTGCAGCACATAGATACAATCTGTCAACCGCCAGTGATTTGAATGGCGCTTAGATACGAGCCACAAAATAATGAACTACAACAGGTTGGAAATAGGCTACAATCTGAGCAAGTGTACAAAGATGGTGGGCATGGGTCCGATGGGCGTGTTCATTCATAGGCAGTTGCATGTAATCCATATATTTTCGTATCTATTTGAAACAATGAAGTTTACTTCTGTTTGATCTATATCTGTCGCATTATGCGACACGACTCTTTATGGTGAAAAAGTCTGTCTGCGGAAGTAAAGCTTCGGGCTGCTTTTGTCCTTGAAACAAGATATTGTACTTGAGTCTTCGACACACTGTTCAAACCTGCGCTCAGGGCTAAACGGAAGCGATACCTCCCCACATCTTGCACCGCCCTTAACTACATTCTCCGCTATAATCAGATCAGTGGCATATACTCGGAACTCGGCAGTTGCATTGCCTTCCCTAATCACTTTTGTTCGCGACTATCGGGCGTGCTGGTGTTCCTAACGGCTAAGCCGCGTGCCGATCGAGTCTTACATAGTGTATCTAGTCACTAGCTCTAGATATTCCCTCCATGGGCTTACACGAAGTCCTGTAGTTTCTGACGAATGCGGGTTTTTTGCTTATGGAGTGCAACCCATGTTTGCCCACACTGCGAGGGGGGTGGGGGCCACAGCGAGTAACTAAGGGATCTAACGCGGTCATGCAACGTACCCAAGTTCACAGCGTCCAATTCAACTGATCTACCTTCCAGGACTTTGAAAGTACTTTGAATGGAAATGGGCAAGTTAAACCTTCTAAGCATTCTTTGCTATTGGCTGGTTGTCAGAATTTAGCGGGTGTTGGGTGCATAGCATTCGCGTCTTAGTACTATACCCTGGAATATTGTATTATCTGCTTGTGGGTTCTTTTTTAGCCTGCCAAGAGGACCAGGGAAGAATTGGTTGTATATGACTGGCCAGTGCACTACTCGTTCGTCAATTTCTTAACGTCCCCTCTTGGCTGCAGCGTCAGCTGCTGTCACTGACTGGCCTGCAAAGTGGAGCCATAGCGTCTGACAGTCTCTGACTGCAGGCGATGCGACGGTAACAGTTGGAAGAATGACGCTGGGCGTCAGCCGGTTGAGCCTTACGGTGCCATCGAGCTCAGAGCATTCCGCTCTGCGCACTTGTTCTTCATGCGTACGGTGCTTAGCGAGCTCAATGGTATAGCGGCCTTGGAAGCTAACTACGATTCTTATTCCCTCGACATATTCTACAATTGCTTTTTGGAACATGGCTGTATGCAGTCCATGTGCTGAGACGAGTCAACCGGAGTCTGGGGTTAGTCTGGGATTTATATATGGTAGTTATGTAGTGAGGAGCCTTTGGAGCAGGTACGAGTAGCTTGCATTCTTGATACGTACAGATCAGTATCTAGGCACCCGACTATTCCACTATTTCCTTATGCAACCAGGTGTCATCTGTCGCAATGCATATGCTCTGTAATTCACTCAACGCTGTGGCGACGCAATTGCTGTCGCTGTCCTCGCCAGCATTTCAATCGCTAATTCAACAGCGAGCCGTCTGGTGCCAAGAGCCTCATGCGCAGGTATCAACTCACGGAACTTTGACATTCACCTACCCGTCTCCTAACATTACGCGGGCCACGATCAATAATGGGCCAGTAAACTTCGTCGACCGGCGATTTACAGATGACTTGTTGGACTTCTTGATCCCCCTTGAGACGGTGACAGAGGACACGCCCAAGGTCGTGATCTTCGACTCGTCAAACCCTAACTTTTGGTTGGGCCACATCGACATGAGGACACTGAAGACCCCTATCACGGATGAAAAGAAGCAGCTGGGTGCCGATTACATCAAATTCACCCAATTGCTCCAGAACATCACCTCGACAATCTTTATCGCCGAGATTGACGGTCGCGCATTCGGTGCTGGGAACGAGATCGCTGCGCAGATGGATATGCGATTCGTTGGACCACGTGCGCGCACTGGTTCCTTTGAGGAAGCTCTAGGCCTCGTCGCTGGAGGAGGAGGGCAGACGTATATGGGCTCCATCCTCGGCAAGGCCAAGGCCATGGAATACCTGCTGGCGGCCAAGTCCTTCACTGGGCCTACGGGTGAGGCACTGGGCATCTTTAATAAGTACTACGACAATTCGCAGGCGCTCAAGAACTCGGTTCTCGAACTCGCCCAGCGCATCGCATTATTCCCGCGCGTCGCGCTGAACCAAACCAAGTCCGTGCTCAGCTTCCTGAACCCGCCCAACGACGCATTCCAGCTCGACTTTGAGGCCTTCTACGACATCGAACAAGGCCCGGTGCAGCAGGCAAACATACGACGGTTCATCGAGCTGAGCGAAGACCAGACTGCGAACCACTACGAAATGGGCTTGGGGGAGAGTGTGATGGCCTTGTATGGACAGTGGGATGGTGGCGTTGAGTAGTTAGTGGGGCGGCCGCTTGCGGGCTCACTGGTGAATTGCAACTTGGAGCACCTCCTAAGGTTATTAACTTTGCCCTGTACTACCTGTACATGGTGGGCATCCCGCGCTGGGTGTCTATGTAGCGGTCTATAGAGCACTGAAATCGGTACTCCCGTAGCTACTATCTACTATGACAGGGCATCTGTTCCCTGATGATCATCATGCGATGCCGGCTCCACAATGCACCCTGTTACCAATGGTTGCTTTTGTTGCTGCGGCAGTTGAGTCAGGTATTTTCGGCCTTTGTATCTTGGCAGTGCTTAAGTCCGTTGTCTCAGCCCGGTGGCCCTGGTTATTGTTTTGTTGTCGGTCTATTGCCATGCCCACTCCTTCCGCTTCATTTCAGGCACAGAGTTGAAAATGTTAACTTATCGGGCTTTGCGTCTTGGCGTTGGTTAAGTCCAGTCGCCCTGTCCAATGGTTGTAATACCCAGCTCATCATATTGATCACTTATCTTGCCCTTAATTACTTGCGTGAGGCCTGCCTATGTCCGTTATTACACCGCACGCGCTTCCGTCCTTTGCAGCCTCCGATCAGTCGGCATGGCGCTTCACTTACAGAGCACCGTCTTCGGCCAGCTGATGCGCTTGCTCTCAAGCCGCAGGGTCTTCAAATATCCCGATGAGATTGATCTAAGTTTATGGGAAAAGGCAGTGCAGCAAGATGACACCTATCCCGAACCCAGCGGCAATGCCAGCAACACATTGCAAGGCACCGGGGCGGCCAATGGGGCGCGACTAAGCCCAATATCCCAGGGCAATCATGGAAATCTCATTGTAGGCTGGTATGGGCCCGACGATCCTGAGGTAAGTACTCTTTGCACGACTACTGTATGTCTTGCTAATGTGCCCTATTCCACTCGCCCAGAATCCCCAGCATTGGCCCCGAGCTTTGAAACACCTGATTGCATTTCAAATGTGTATACTCAACTTTGCTGTCTACATCGCAAGCTCAATATACACACCCGGCGAGCACAACCTCATGGAAGAATTCCAGGTCAGCGAGGAAGTCGCTATTTTGGGGTTGTCCCTCTTCACTATGTACGCAGAAAGCACTCATTCCCCGCCTTTGGTACATTTTGTTAACTTCCTGCCCATGTTGGCTCTCAGAGGTTACGGCTTTGGTCCCATGCTTTGGTCCCCATTGTCCGAGATTCCAAGACTTGGCCGCAGTGGAATTTTCTTCTATACGCTTCTCGCATTCATACTCTTCCAATTGCCGGTCGGCTTGGCACCCAATGTCGTGGTTTTCCTCATTTTCAGATGGGTGACAGGCTTCTGTGGCAGCCCGTGCCTGTCGACAGGTGGCGGTACTATCAATGATATCTATCCGCCCACGCAGGTACCCTTCTTGATTTGCATTTGGGCATCGGCCGGCGTTTTAGGTCCTGTCTTCGGGCCGCTCATCGGTGGCTATCTTGCACCCGCCATGGGCTGGCGGTGGACCATCTGGGCATTCACATTTTTATGTTGCTTGGTACTGGTCATCATGTTTTTCTTCCTCCCAGAGACAAGCGCAGACACCATTCTTTATAAAAGAGCCGCGCGACTTAGCAAGGCCAGCGGTCGCCATTTGATAAGTCGATCGGAGGCCGACTCCGCACACCACACAGCGAGAGACGACGCGCTCCTCCTCATGCGAGCTTTTACACTTACACTATTCGAGCCTGTCGTTCTGTTGATGAATCTATACGCCGGTCTTCTTTATGGTGTGCTTTTCATATGGTTCGAATCATTCCCTCTCGTTTTTGGGAATATTTATCATTTTACCACTCAGCAACAAGGACTTGTTTTCCTGGCGATCTTGGTTTTCACCCTGATTAGCTTGCCTGTTTATATGCTATGGATGAAGTGGAGTTTGGTCCCGAAGATGGGAACAAAGGCTTTCAAACCCGAACTCATGCTTTTACCAACGTTTGTCGGCTGCTGGTCACTCCCCCTCTGCCTCTTCTGGTTCGGATGGACGTCACGATCTAGTATCCACTGGATAGTTCCCGTCATTGGTTCTGGCACGTTCGCTATTGGTGTTGTAACATTGTTCAACACACTCTACACCTACCTCGGAATGATCTATCCAAAATACGCCGCGTCAATCTTCGCCGGGGCGGCCTTGTTTCGAGCACTTTTTGGGGCGACTTTTCCTCTTTTCGTAAGTTTCATCAGTGGTAGCAATGCTATGCACCTATTATAATATGTCGCTAATAAATAATGCGCCAACAGGCCCAGGTTCTCTTTGATAATCTTGGTGTGGGTCCGGGTAACTCTCTTCTGGGTGGGATTTCGGTATTGTTCATCCCAGTGCCCTTTGTCTTCTACAAGGTAAGTCGATAGATATCCCCCTGAATCATATTTCATCTCTGATTGTGCCGCAGTTTGGGGAGAGGATTCGACGACATAGCAAGCACGCATCCGCATAATACCATGTAGATAATGAGGAGGACAATGGGCACGTAACAGTGGCGCTATAGAGAACGTGTTTTAAAATCATTCTTATAACTAGGACATAAACTCTTAAACCAGTTATCTTGTGATGGTAAGCCGTCAGGTGAAGCTGGTGGCCTCAAGTGGTTCTCCTTTCAGTAGTGACTTACCAGTAGGTACCGGTACTACATCATACGCCACGGAGTGTCTAACGGCACCTGTAACGCAGCCATAGGGTCGTGTTAGACAAGTTGGGCCTACAAACGTTCTCTCCTAAGCCCGTCAAACGGGCAGGGAGATTCTGTATCTTTCTTTTTATTCAATACACTCATTTTGTATCACTCCATACGCAAAGGCTTGGGGCTGCCATCTGTTCGAGTAGATTTTCAGGCTACTCTAACATCAGACTTACACCCCAAAAGTGATAATGGCCTTTTGTCTCCCGCAAGACCGTGACGCATCTCGGAAGGAGGAAATATGGTAACATAGAGACTTATATAATGGTTCATCGCTTCGGGGCCAAATCGACAGTACCATCCATTATTGTATCGTAGAATTTTGTATATGACATGTCTGTGACAATGAACACCGTGATTAAGTCAATAATCAACAACACAGCTACATAGCTCAAGCTAGTGGCTGCGCTCTTCACCGCTGACAACTATTCTCGTCCAAAAAGTTGAATATAAACCAGCAGTTTATTGGTGCATAAAAGGATGAGTGGAGTTATTGAACGGAAATATTTTATATAGGCGTATATATATATGGGTTTGCACATTTCCATTTTGTCAGATAGCCATGTGCCAGACATTGTGCCTTCCTGGATCTGTGGCTGGGCCGTATTGGCTTACAGCTCGCCAACAGAGGCAGAACTATGGACGTTCTTCCCATCTGTTTCATCTTGGCATGACTCGCCTGTCGTCACTCTGCTGAGTTTATAGTCGATGTAAGACTTGGTTTCCGCATTGTCAGGCGGGGCTATCCTGATATTCGCAACGTAAACCCCTTCGGTCAGTGCGGCGTACTTTCCAGAGGCTTGAAAGGTCCAGGTCGTGAATGTGTCGATCTCGCCCCATTTCGTCGGTACCGCATCTGTCTCATTGGCCAGTATCGCTTTCACCTTGGGGATGTTGCGCAGCAGCCCCTTTCCATAGATGCCAATATACTGTTCATCGTCCGTTCGGAGCAGACCTTGTGCATTCAAGGTGAATAAGTCATTTTCACCGTCGACTACGTTGAAGTCGTCCATGTGGACTGTCGTCGCATTAACACAGAGTTCGCAACCCTCAACCGACGTCAGCCGGCCCACTGCATTGCCATTGGACCAGACTCCTCCAGTTGGAAGCTGGCCCATGGGGTACAACGAGAAGATCCTCAACTATATATTTCGTGATTACTGTCAGCTCTGATACTTGTAGTACTGTAGCGCATGCTGTAGTGTGATCCACCCACCTGGAACACCAGCGCTGGCACCAACGCGTTGAATCCGCACTGGACCATCTTGTTAGAGGCTGTTGGGAATTAGGTTGACTAGTATATCACAGGCAAAACGACAAAGAGAGCGGCTTCCACAGACGAGAACCAAATTATTAATCGATTTGTCACTGCTCAATAGAATGTAAGAGGAGACCATATCCTGAAACACAAGACAAGGCTTGAAGAATATATGCTTACGATTTAACCGACAATCATCATGTGGAGTTTAAATGGAAATTGATATTTATTTTATGAGTTGCGGTGCTTCTTCGGCACCATCACGCACGGGCCTGGAGAAAACACACCGGGGCATAGATGTGGTGGCTGACCTGCAGAGTGACTGACAGGCCTGCAACCTTGGCTTTCTGACACCAATCGGACCACTGATGGAACCATACTGCACATGTCATTCGCACCACGAAATCCTTGTCAGATCACACGAATTGGTCCATCTTCTTCTCCGCAAACTTTACACAGTACACACCCTCGGCCAGTTCTGGAAAGAGCTTTGACAGGGCATTTTCATAGACGCATATCTATGCGGTATGCCAAAGGCTGTGGGTTCGAGGTACCGGAGTGATTCCTCATATATCGTGTATACAGTTTTTTGAATCATTGCATATTTCTGGTCTACAGCCAGCTTCTTAGCCCCGATAACCCTCCCCAGGACCACACAACTACTCATCTCCCGGTAACCCCATGGAGTCCTCGTATAGATTTGCAATATTGTCCTCTGACTGCTGCCGACAAAGGAGAGCCATGTCCTCCCTCTGTCAAAACTCAAGCTCAGACATAACGAGCAGAGGCTGGTAACCATTAAACCAGCCTTCGGGGTCATATTCCTTTTTGAGGCGCCGAAGCCTCTCCAACCTCCAGGGTTCATAACCGTACAAGGCTTCTGGTGCGTCCTTGGAGCCGTGACCGTAGTTGACGTACTGCTGGAGTCTTCCATAGCCAGATCCCTCGATTAATTTGTCTTGTTGCTCCGATAACCATTCGTCAATTTCCTGCTCTAACTCTGTGTCTTTGTATGCACCTTCAATCATGCTCCCAAACTATCAGCTTATCCGTATAACAAAATATGTGCTTGAACTTACAGAAAATGCTGCGAGCCATGTCTCCACGGATAGGCTGTCGCATCGTCTGGCAACTCCTGGATCTTCTGCTGAGCGAAAGATTCAAACATGAAGCTGAACATCGCTCTCCCTTCATACTTTTCATTCATGCTACGCCACGAATTGATATAGGACCGTATGGTGGGGATGTCATAGCTCTTGGCGTTGGCGGCGTAAAAGTTCTTGATCGGAAATCTTGCCCATCCCTGGGGTGTGCAAAGGATGTTATTGAGACCATTGTAGGTTGCCCATGGCAGGGCATCCCACGTGGCAATTTTGGTATCCTTCCAGATCGGCGATATCTTGTCGAATAGTTTGGTGTATGGGGCAGCGTCTACTTCGGGGCCTGAATACACAAGATTAATGTTGATCGTCGGCTACAATCTGTCAGCAACGCCCTCGGTGTTTCGAAGTTATGTGCCAACCTTCCCATCTACACCTCGTCTGCGCCCGATTACAAACACACCAACCTCCTTGGGCATCGGATTAGAGATAGAATTTAGCGCCGCCAGTACATCCTCTGTCTGGTGCAATGCATATTCGAAATCCACCACAAGGTGCTTTCCATCATTTAGTTGAGGATATATCTGGTATGTTGCCTCAACCACAATACCAAAGTTGTGTCCAGCGCCTCGGATAGCCCAAAAAAGGTCCGAGTTGAATTTAGCTGATACTCGAATCACGGTTCCATTCGCTAGTAGAAGGCGAGCCGATACCAGATTGTCGTTGAGATAGCCGTATTTCCCCTGGAGCCTACCAATGCCCGCGCCCAGGGAGACTCCCAGTACGCCGGTGCAAGGACACGAGCCAACGGCTTTGTGATATTATTAGCATGGTATGATTGATACAAAATAGTTATACCACTAGCCTTTCTTCTGATACGTTACCCCACGGGGCACAGGGTTTACTTACTGACTTCCATGCCTCTAGCATATGTCGCGTTTGCGAACTCACCTGTAGTGATGCCGCCGCCTACTGTCATCAGCTGTTTTTTCTCATCGTAAACTGCACTTTTTAGGCCGCGTATATCGATCCCGATGGCATTTTTGATGCGGCGAAGCGAGGTGGTCAGACTGTGACCACCGGCTCTTGCTGCAAATGGAATGCCTCTTGAGCGTGCATAATTGACCTGTACTGATTTTAGCAACGATTTTGCGAATAAATGACAATAGTTAGCATAATTACAGTCTCGACCACATCGTTTTCTTCTGCAGCCTGTACAACAGCGATGTACTCCGGTCGCTTATAGTTGGAGTATCGAGCATTAAGTATCGTGAAGCTTTCATCGCCAGCCAGTGATATTGTGGCTTTATTGGATAGGCGCCTCTCTAGTTCCTTCTTCAAACTAAATTTTAAATAACGATCTGAAACTAGAGCGTCCAGACTGATGCCTTCTTGGCCCCAAATTAATGGCTGTTGGTCTCCGTATGTTGGCACATACGATAAAGGGCTCTCCTGTCCTATGACGAAATTCACCCATTGGAGGAGGATCCAGGGGAGTGTGGTCTTCCAAGAATTGTTATTTGCCATAGTAAACAAGTATTCTGCTTTGGTTTGGAATTACTCTCTGTAACTGAGGCAGTATGAGCTGTCCTATAACTTTAAATTAGCACGTTTACATGGGCAGGGCTGACTGGTCGTCGTGAGGACCAAAAATCTCTCTATGCGCAAGTTCATACGATATTTCTTGGTTTCAGCAGATATTCTATTTCCATGTAGTGTACCACAAATCGGCAGTGTCATACCAGACGTCAGATGAATAGTGTGCGCTCCGAACCCATGTCTCCTTCTGTGCTGTCATGTATGTTGTCGTATCAGGCAATAGTCCCTCCAAAGCTCAAGGTTCGGTCCTTCATGCAGTCACCTCGGGTCAATCACCTGACAAGCATGATGCACATATGTCAGATCTACTAAGACCAAGGTACTTTCCAGGCTAGGTGTCATAAAATAAGTGAAAAGTGGGTTTTGCCATGTGATTGTTCCCTGGATTGCACCTGCCGTCTGGAAGTCTCACTGATGCCGACTTCGGCCCAGGGGTTAAGTGTACTATGAGTAATAAACAGGATAACTAGTAGGTGATGGTATACAGTCATCTTGGATATCTCTGTTTGCCCAGTGTCGGGCAGCTTAACAGTTCACTGCGAATATCCAATATTTCTTAACTATAGCTAACATCCCATATCAAGCAAGTTTTAACTGTAGCTAGGGTTTCATGTTCAGTGCAGTTGTGAGAAGCTTCTACTAAATCCTGAGCCTTTTCGGCCTTGTATTTTGGCTCTATAAAAGTTCTACCGTGTGTCAAGCACCGTACAAAATTAAAGACAGAGTTGTTGATCCACACTTTCGCGTTACCAACGTTCGTCGGTAGACTTACTTTAACACAAGGCGCTTGGACTCGACTACAAGTTACCACCTGCAACGTTTCCGCCCTATTGCATCAGAATGGCGCCAATCTCTGTCACCGAACCATTCATCCCAGAGGCATTGGAGCCCATAGCCATCGTGGGAATGGGTGGGTCATTATAATCTCTCACCGCTGGACATTAGTTGTAACCCTAACCTGAACAAGGGTGCCGCTGGCCGGGCGATTCTGAGTCCCCATCTGAGCTATGGGAGTATCTTCAAGAGAGGAGACACTCATACACCAAATTTCCCGAGGATAGAATCAACGTTGATGCATTCTACCATCCCGACATTAACCGACCTGGCTCCTTTAGAACCGAGGGGGGCTGTTTTCTTCGGTCTGACGTACGGCAGTTTGACCCGACCTTTTTCGGCATCCACCCTAGGGAAGTTCTTACTTTAGATCCTGCTCAACGAAAGTTTCTAGAAGTCGTCTACGAGACAATTGAGTCGGCAGGTGTCCCCCTGCATAAACTGTCCGGTTCCAAGACCGGAACATTTGTGGGCAACTTCAATTATGATCATCAACTGATGCACTATCGCGACCCTGAGAATGCATTGCCGTATTCCGTGACTGGGAGCGGTATTACTATCATCAGCAACAGGATCAACTATGTCTTCAACTTGAAAGGGCCTTCAATGACCCTTGACACGGCCTGTTCTAGCTCTCTGTATGCGCTTCATCTAGCTTGTTCTGCCATCCAGACTGGAGACTGCGACGCAGCCATTGTCGGCGGAACCAACTTGATTCTTACGCCGGAGTGCCAGATCTTCTCATCCGTTCTGGGAGCGGTCTCTCCCACGTCTGTCTGTCACACCTTTGACTCACAAGGTACAGTCCCGTCTCGGACCCTAGCCGTGAGTTACAGTGACTGACAAATTCCATAGCTGATGGCTATGCTCGGGCGGATGGAATCGGTGCGCTCTACATCAAGAGATTGCAACAAGCAGTCGCTGATGGAGACCCAATTCGTGCTGTGATCCGCGGTACTGCATTCAACGCCAATGGCCGGACTGGGGGAATTACCCACCCCAGCCCCGAAGGGCAAGCAGCTTGCATAAAACAGGCGTACGAACGAGCCGGGGGGTTAGACATGTCACTGACAGGCTACTTCGAATGTCATGGCACAGGAACTCCCGTTGGGTACGTTTTTGCTTCTTCTTCTGTTTGTGGCTTTATATACGTCCATTTCTTGGCGCTGATGTTGGAACAGTGACCCAATCGAGGTCGGTGCCATCGGCCGCCTGTTCACTGACTCCAGGACCAGCGCTAACCCTCTGTTAATCGGATCCATCAAGTCCAACATGGGTCATAGCGAGCCCTCCAGCGGTATGGCTGGTGTCATGAAGGCCGTTCTGGCAATAGAGCGAGGTCTCATACCACCCACGATCGGGATCAAGGAACTTAATCCCAACGTAGATTTGAAGGATGGTCGGCTGAAAATCGTCCAGGAAAGTACTCCGTGGCCGGATTTACCAGTTCGACGAGCGAGTATCAACTCTTTTGGTTATGGGGGGTCAAATGCGCATGTAAGTCTGCATATATCATATATGATATCGTGTCTGACCTAATATTACAGGCCATCGTCGAGTCCATTGAGACTCTATTTCCTGGTTATCGATCCCGCCATCAGGCCAACAAACAATCCTCCTCCATGGAGGCATTCGCAAACCGTAATGGGATTAGTCGGCAATATTCCGACCCAACCACTCCCTCATCAATCAATGGCTTAGCCAACGGAGATATGAGTGGCCAGAATGGTACCCACAATGCCAATGGAGTTGAAAACGGCCATATTGGACTACTTACCAACAAGCCTCGATCGACTAAATCGAGAACCCAGTTCATTCTCCCCTTGTCAGCACACGACGGGAGGACGCTACAGGCAAATTATGATGCATTAGCAGCGCACTACCGCGACTGGAGCCTGTTTGACATTGCGTACACATTAAGCGCCAGGCGTAGTCTGCTTCAAAATCGCTGCTTTGTCATAGTGAAGGCCGCCGAAGCCGAGAACGGCCTGCCACAAGAGAAATCGTCCATAGTGAAGACGGCAGCGGGTGACTCACGTACTCTTGGCTTCGTATTCACTGGCCAGGGCTCTCAATGGCCCCGCATGGGTGCGTCGTTGATGACCGAGTTCCCCAGCTGTCTGGTGACTGTACGCCGCCTGGACAAGTACCTGGACGACCTCGATAAAGGACGCGGTCGAGACTGGACCATTGAGGAAGTCCTTCAACAGGACACTGGGAATACCCGAGTCCACGAAGCGGAGCTTTCCCAGCCCCTCGTGACTGCTGTGCAGATCATGATTGTCAATCTCCTCTCCCAGTGGAACGTCAAGCCTCGAGCCGTTATCGGCCACTCCTCAGGCGAAATAGCGGCCGGGTATGCCGCAGGCCTGTTGACCGAGGAAGAAGCTATGGTTGCAGCATACCTCCGAGGGAAGGCCATAATACAAAATGCGGCGCCCGGGCTAATGATGGCAGTGGGAGGTGCCCTGTCTCATCTCCAACCACTGGTGGATCACTATGACGGTCGCGTCACGATCGCTTGTCATAATTCTCCCGAGAGCTATACGTTAAGCGGTGATGCCGACGTCATGACCGATCTCAAGGTTGTGTTTGATGAAAAGAAGATATTCTGCCGCGCGCTTCATACTGGCGGCAACGCTTATCACTCGGAGCATATGAGAACAATCGGCCAAGGCTACGAGATGAGTCTGAATGCATGCATGCCCAAGAGATCAGCCAAGATGTCAGCTCAGGAAGATTCGCCAGTCATAATCACGCAAGCTGTCTTTTTCTCCTCGGTCTATGGCCAGGCTGCACCTTGGTCCATACTCGGACCTAAGTACTGGCGCCAGAATCTCGAGTCTCCAGTACTCTTCCATCAAGGTGTATCGCAAATGTTGACTCAGGCCACGCCTGATATTCTCATTGAAATTGGACCCCACAGCGCTCTCCAGGGCCCTCTCCGCCAGCTAGCTAACTCGATGGACGGTATCCAGTTCCCAGCCTATTACGCCGCAATTACAAGGGGCAGTGACAACGTGAAAGATATCCTGACACTGGCAGGCAATCTCTACAGCAGCGGTTACGACATCGATCTGGCTCGTGTGAACGCCATAGAGAGCCGTGGCGGGAACGGCTATCAGACTGGGCGGGTCATATCCGACCTCCCCCGGTACCAATGGCAGTATCCATGCGATATTCTGCTCTATGAGAATCGCTGGACGCGTGAATGGCGCCTACGCAAGCATCCACGACATGACATCCTAGGAAGTAGGATACCGGGCACAAACCAGGCCGAGCCACTGTGGCGAAACAAGCTGTCCGTCAAGGATGTGCCTTGGCTGGCAGATCATCGTGTAAGCAAGCAATCATTAAACCGGTGATGTCTTCTGACCCTTTTACAGCTCGGCAAAGAAATGGTTTTCCCATCTACCGGCTACCTGAGCATGGCTTTAGAGGCAGCTACCCAGATTGCAGAGCTGGGGGGATTGAAAGTCTCAGATGTTGAATACTATGACATTCAGAACGTCAGTCTCTCCAAAGCCCTCATAGTACCCGAGGACGATTTAGGTATTGAGACCCTATTCACTCTACGACCGACCCCGCTCAATAAAACCACTCGCCACGTGTGGCTTTTCGACTTCGTTCTTACCTCAGTCTCGAATGAATTTGGGGTTGACAATTTTGTGGAACATTGCCGGGGACAGGTCGAAGTTGGTCTAGAGAAATACAGTGAGTAGCTCCAAGGCCACCATAGGATCATTTTTGCCTAATCTTAGCAGGTTTCCCAGAGTACCCCTTTGTAGGAGACATCCAGGCCTCGAAGGTGAAGAAGGCTATCAATGCTGCGCAGTGGTACGAGAGTTTCGTAGGTGCAGGCTTGTGCTATGGCCCTACGTTCCAGGGCCTTTCCGATATCTCTGCCATAGGGCAGTCGAACATGAGTCGAGCTCGAGTTGGCATAGATCCTACTGCAAAGATGATGATAGGAGAGTCGCGCTATATCCTCCACCCAGCCACTCTGGACGCTAGTCTTCAACTCTCTATTCTGGCAGGCCACAAGAACACAGCTACCAAGTTCAAACGCGCATTCATGCCGACCGGGATCGATAGTGTCAAAGTGTGGCCCAAGGTTGCAGCGGAGACTCGTGGATTTGCCGATTCGTACTCGAAAGCCACGCTGAAGGGCGTCCGGGGCCTCGCTGCAGACGTGGTGCTGCTCGGAACGAACAGCCAACGAATGCTACAAGCGAGCAACATATTCTTGACGGCATCGGATCAGTCCGCCCCCAAGCTCATCGAAGAGTCAAAGCCGTACACACGCATCATTTGGAAGCCAAGCTTCGACCATCTGACCACGGATACTCTGTCTCAGATGTTCCCACCTCTGATGCTGAGTGACGATGCTGTGATTCCTTCATTGAATCACTTGGCACTGCACCAGTTGATTCACTTCAAAGCGACCCATCCCGAAATCTTCAAGCAGAGCTCGGAACAGCCGCATCTTCAAAGGCTGCTTGACTGGACAACGGAAAAGCTTAACGCTGCCGCGGCTGATCACACTTCGACTGCCTCCAAGATCATCAACTACAGCCATGCACATCGAGCCCAAGAGATTGAACGGTTATCCGAGCTGTTAAAGCCACGATCCTCCGAGGCTCGACTCATGTGTCACCTCTACAATAATCTCCCTTCTATCTACAGGGGTGAGAAGACTGGAATTCAAGTTGCGTTGCAAGACAATCTGCTGCTTGACAACTATGAGACGGGGCAAGTTTATCGAGAGGGAAATCGCCGTCTGGGAGGGGCATTGGCCCTCTATGCCCACCAGAACCCGAAGGTCAGGATCTTGGAGGTTGGAGCCGGAACTGGAAGCGCAACGAATGAAATCCTATCAGCTTTAAAGGGAGATACCGCATGGAGGCAGTATTCAGAGTACCGCTTTACGGATACTACGCCATCTTTCCTGGCAAGTGGGGAGGAGAGATTCTCCAATTATGGCGGTATGACATTTGGCACCTTTGATATGGAGCAGAGCGGCGAATCCCAAGGATACCAACAGGACTGGGACATCGTCGTGGCATCCAACGTCATTCACGCCACCTCGGATATCCGAGGCACACTCGTTAACATTCGAAACGTACTCAAGCCTGGTGGCAGGATGTTGCTATTGGAGTTAACCCAATCCCAGCTTAGTGCGGGCCTGGTCCTTGGTACCTTCAGTGACTTCTGGAAGGCGGATAACGATCCCAGCTACCCTCGATACGACGGTCCGTTTTTGAGCAAGTCGCTTTGGCAGCAAGTCCTCCCTGCTGCTGGATTTTCTGGGCTCGATTTCTACCTTGATGACTACGCCGGTGACAATGTCTCCGCAACTGTCATATGTGCCACCGCTGCGGATCCTCTGCTCAGCATTCCGCCGACAATCCAGGGTCCGGATCGCCAAGGCATCACGTTGGTTTATCGCAACGCGACGGCGCCATATATGAGACGGATGATGGACAATCTTTCCAATACTGGCACTATACCCATCTCCCTCATGCCACTTTCCGATATAAAGATTGCTCGTCATTACAGGCTTATATTCCTCCTTGAGGCAGAGAAACCATTCTTCCTTGATGCAACCCCTCAAGAGTGGGCCAACCTCCAGTATGCAATCAGCCGCTCAGTGTCGTCGTTGTGGCTGACGCGTGGTGATCTCATGGTGGGCAAAGAGCCCCTATGTGGGATGATCTCCGGTCTTGCCAAAGGAATGAAGATCGAGAACAACTCCTTGCGCTTCAGCATCCTAGATACTGACCAAATCCCTGACGGGCCCGACAATGCTTACTTCAAACTGGTCAAGGCCCTTGAAGCCAGAGTGGCAGATGCCTCGAAGTTCAACGACGATTCAGAGTTCAGATACAAAAACGGTATCCTCTACATCAGTCGCCTCGCGTTGGATAACGGCCTCTGTGCAGAGGTCACAGTTGCGAACTCCCAGGATAGGGTGTTGAAGGAGCTTCCTCTTAAGGCCCTCAAGTCGACCAAACTTCAACTGGCGATCGACAAACCAGGCGTTTTGAGTACCGTGTACTTCAAGGAGGACCCAACGTTCCTCACGCCACTAGCCGCGGATGAGGTTGAGATCGAGGTCAAATACGCCGGTATCAACAATAAGGATATCGCCGTGTTGACTGGCCGGCACCATTCCGATTCCTTCAGCGACGAGTGCTCCGGTGTGATCACTCAGATTGGGAGTGAAGTGAAACAGTTCAAGATCGGGGATCTGGTTTACTGCCAGTCATTCTCCAAGTTCGGGAACTTTGTCCGCGACAAGGCCGTATTCTGCCAGAAACTCGTCGCCGGCGACACATTGGATGGTGTGGCTACACTGCCGATTGCATTTGGCACAGCCATTTACGGCTTGATGGATTTGGGCCAGCTGACCAAGGGTGACAGCGTGCTCATCCAATCTGCAACCGGAGCTGTTGGTTTGGCAGCGTGCCAGCTCGCCCACATGGTTGGGGCTGAGATCTTCGCCACGGTGGGCACAGAAGCCAAGAAGATAGAGTTGCTGGGGATGGGCTACGGGATTCAAGCCGACCACGTCTTCCCATCCCGCGACAGGTTCACTGCCGCGAAGCTGCTGGAGCAAACTAATGGCAACGGCATCGACGTGATTCTCTGTAGCGCTCGGGGAGAGCTCATGCACGAGTATTGGAAATGCATTGCTACCTGCGGAAGATTCGTCGAGATTGGCCGCACCGAGGTCCTCGACAGCGGCAAGCTGAGCCTTGATGTCTTTGGGCGTAATGCCACATTTGCCTCGTTCGACTTGGAGGTTATGAGTAAGAACAGACCACAAGTAACCGCTAGGTATTTAGCCCCTGCGTAATTCATATGCGCAAAGAGAGCTAACTCTTGGTAGTCTAATGAGAAGGATTCATGAACTCAAGTCTGAGGGTCGTATCAAACCCTTGCCCCTGGCCAAGTTCGGCGTCGCTGAGATCGAGAGGGCTTTCGCGACATTCGTCAAGGGCACCCATATCGGCAAGCTGCTCGTCGAATATGACGACCAGTCGGAAGATAGCCTTCCAGTAAGTCTCTGTCCAATTGATCAAGCCTTTGCCGCGCGTCGTGACTCATAATTCCTAGTTGGAAAGAGACGCTTTCTCCGCCAAATTTGATCCAAATGCGTCGTACCTCCTAGTCGGTTGCTTGGGTGGTCTCGGGCGGAGCTTCAGTACCTGGGCGGTATCACGCGGAGCCCGGAATTTGATCTACCTGTCTCGCAGCGGAGCTTCGAACGAGGAAGCAAGAGCTTTTCTCGAAACGCTGAGACAGCAGGGAGTTGATGCATATGTCGTAAAGGGCGATGTGACCTCGATGGCTGACGTGCGAGCCGCCGTGGACTCGGCGAAGTTCCCACTGAAAGGCATCGTGCAGGGCGCTCTCACGCTGCACGACGGTCTGTTCGAATCCATGTCCCTCAACCGGTTTAACGCAACTGTACACCCGCGCGTCATTGGCACGTTGAATCTCCATAACGCAACAAAACATTTACCACTTGACTTTTTCGAGCTCTGGTCCTCCTGGACTGTTGTTTTTGGTACTGCAACCCAGAGCAATTACTTAGCGTCAAATGCGTTCATGGACAATTTTGCAAGGTATCGTCGCGCCCAGGGTCTCCCGTGCACGAGTGTTGCTCTCAGCCAGGTTCTCGGCATCGGCATTGTTTCCTACATCCCAGAGTACCAGCAGGCCATGATCAGGAACGGCTTTTACGGTAATGATGAAGACGAGTTCCTGCACTACTGTGAGAAGGGTATCTTGCCAGCACCAATGGACACTACCCAGGACGCCACTTTCCGATACGACCCACTGGCAGCCGGTCATCTGCTTGTTGGTATCGAGCCCGCGGGTCTGAGGATCGTCGACCAGAAGTATCCATTATCTGATATGATGTGGTATCACGACCCACGATTCCAGAATCTCATCCAGGCGACGTCTGTTCTTTCACACGGGTCCCAAAACAAACGAGAGGCCGCCGGGGAGGAAGGTACGGCACTGGAACGCATCATTGCCAAGATCTCTCGTCTTCTGTACATCCCCGCCGACGAGATAGATGCGAGTAAGGCAATAAGCAACTATGGAATAGACAGCATGGTTGCGGCAGAGCTCCGAAACTGGTTCCAAAGCGCGTTTGGAAAGGATGTAAGCACCTTGAAGATGTTAAGCGCCACTATGACAGCACAAAAGCTTTCAGAAGAAGCAGAGGCGAGTAATTCATAGACATGAGTCATTTGGCAAGAGTATACAGTATAGAATGTCGTTTGCGAAGCCGGAGTCACCATTTTCCAAGGTTGGTCTTAGCATGCCATTAAAGTGGGCGGGTGACCTTAAGTCGGGTTGATATGTGAGCCGAAAGGTGGTAGGTGTAGACAAGAGATAAGATGAGCCGGTAGATTTGCAGTAGAACGAGAAAAGGAATAAATATTTGTGATGTATTATCAAAATGCACGGATGCTAGGGGTCAGACTAGTGGTGTGTGAACGAATGGATTGGAAGCTTCTACGCTTGCGCCCAGAAAGCTAACCTACCATACCCATGATACGTGGGTAGATATGAGAAGCCCATAAGCTTATCTTATTTACACGCGTTATCCTACAGCTTATGTGTTATATTAATTCAATTCCTTTCAATCTTCTTGAGAAGTGAAAAGTGTCAGCGCAAAAAACG